AGTCTATTAAACACCGATTCGGGCTGAAAACTTCCGGGTCAATTTTTGCCAGATTCGAAAGGGGTACCATCACCGATTTCGGGCGATTTTTGGAAAGTCCATTTTCCTTGGATTTTGAAGGCGATGGATCACAGAATCGGCCTTAGGGTACTCTCCACCAACGATGAAGTCTAGCAGTGGCCGATTTGGGCGGAAATTTGGTCGAACTTTTCCGGAGGGCATTTTCGTAATTTTCAGGCGACTTTTTCGAAAGGCCATTTTCCTTGGATTTTGAAGTGTGCAGATCACGGATTCAGCCTGAGGCTATTCTTTAGGGATGGATAAGTCTATTAAACACCGATTCGGGCTGAAAACTTCCGGGTCAATTTTTGCCAGATTCGAAAGGGGTACCATCACCGATTTCGGGCGATTTTTGGAAAGTCCATTTTCCTTGGATTTTGAAGGCGATGGATCACAGAATCGGCCTTAGGGTACTCTCCACCAACGATGAAGTCTAGCAGTGGCCGATTTGGGCGGAAATTTGGTCGAACTTTTCCGGAGGGCATTTTCGTAATTTTCAGGCGACTTTTTCGAAAGGCCATTTTCCTTGGATTTTGAAGTGTGCAGATCACGGATTCAGCCTGAGGCTATTCTTTAGGGATGGATAAGTCTATTAAACACCGATTCGGGCTGAAAACTTCCGGGTCAATTTTTGCCAGATTCGAAAGGGGTACCATCACCGATTTCGGGCGATTTTTGGAAAGTCCATTTTCCTTGGATTTTGAAGGCGATGGATCACAGAATCGGCCTTAGGGTACTCTCCACCAACGATGAAGTCTAGCAGTGGCCGATTTGGGCGGAAATTTGGTCGAACTTTTCCGGAGGGCATTTTCGTAATTTTCAGGCGACTTTTTCGAAAGGCCATTTTCCTTGGATTTTGAAGTGTGCAGATCACGGATTCAGCCTGAGGCTATTCTTTAGGGATGGATAAGTCTATTAAACACCGATTCGGGCTGAAAACTTCCGGGTCAATTTTTGCCAGATTCGAAAGGGGTACCATCACCGATTTCGGGCGATTTTTGGAAAGTCCATTTTCCTTGGATTTTGAAGGCGATGGATCACAGAATCGGCCTTAGGGTACTCTCCACCAACGATGAAGTCTAGCAGTGGCCGATTTGGGCGGAAATTTGGTCGAACTTTTCCGGAGGGCATTTTCGTAATTTTCAGGCGACTTTTTCGAAAGGCCATTTTCCTTGGATTTTGAAGTGTGCAGATCACGGATTCAGCCTGAGGCTATTCTTTAGGGATGGATAAGTCTATTAAACACCGATTCGGGCTGAAAACTTCCGGGTCAATTTTTGCCAGATTCGAAAGGGGTACCATCACCGATTTCGGGCGATTTTTGGAAAGTCCATTTTCCTTGGATTTTGAAGGCGATGGATCACAGAATCGGCCTTAGGGTACTCTCCACCAACGATGAAGTCTAGCAGTGGCCGATTTGGGCGGAAATTTGGTCGAACTTTTCCGGAGGGCATTTTCGTAATTTTCAGGCGACTTTTTCGAAAGGCCATTTTCCTTGGATTTTGAAGTGTGCAGATCACGGATTCAGCCTGAGGCTATTCTTTAGGGATGGATAAGTCTATTAAACACCGATTCGGGCTGAAAACTTCCGGGTCAATTTTTGCCAGATTCGAAAGGGGTACCATCACCGATTTCGGGCGATTTTTGGAAAGTCCATTTTCCTTGGATTTTGAAGGCGATGGATCACAGAATCGGCCTTAGGGTACTCTCCACCAACGATGAAGTCTAGCAGTGGCCGATTTGGGCGGAAATTTGGTCGAACTTTTCCGGAGGGCATTTTCGTAATTTTCAGGCGACTTTTTCGAAAGGCCATTTTCCTTGGATTTTGAAGTGTGCAGATCACGGATTCAGCCTGAGGCTATTCTTTAGGGATGGATAAGTCTATTAAACACCGATTCGGGCTGAAAACTTCCGGGTCAATTTTTGCCAGATTCGAAAGGGGTACCATCACCGATTTCGGGCGATTTTTGGAAAGTCCATTTTCCTTGGATTTTGAAGGCGATGGATCACAGAATCGGCCTTAGGGTACTCTCCACCAACGATGAAGTCTAGCAGTGGCCGATTTGGGCGGAAATTTGGTCGAACTTTTCCGGAGGGCATTTTCGTAATTTTCAGGCGACTTTTTCGAAAGGCCATTTTCCTTGGATTTTGAAGTGTGCAGATCACGGATTCAGCCTGAGGCTATTCTTTAGGGATGGATAAGTCTATTAAACACCGATTCGGGCTGAAAACTTCCGGGTCAATTTTTGCCAGATTCGAAAGGGGTACCATCACCGATTTCGGGCGATTTTTGGAAAGTCCATTTTCCTTGGATTTTGAAGGCGATGGATCACAGAATCGGCCTTAGGGTACTCTCCACCAACGATGAAGTCTAGCAGTGGCCGATTTGGGCGGAAATTTGGTCGAACTTTTCCGGAGGGCATTTTCGTAATTTTCAGGCGACTTTTTCGAAAGGCCATTTTCCTTGGATTTTGAAGTGTGCAGATCACGGATTCAGCCTGAGGCTATTCTTTAGGGATGGATAAGTCTATTAAACACCGATTCGGGCTGAAAACTTCCGGGTCAATTTTTGCCAGATTCGAAAGGGGTACCATCACCGATTTCGGGCGATTTTTGGAAAGTCCATTTTCCTTGGATTTTGAAGGCGATGGATCACAGAATCGGCCTTAGGGTACTCTCCACCAACGATGAAGTCTAGCAGTGGCCGATTTGGGCGGAAATTTGGTCGAACTTTTCCGGAGGGCATTTTCGTAATTTTCAGGCGACTTTTTCGAAAGGCCATTTTCCTTGGATTTTGAAGTGTGCAGATCACGGATTCAGCCTGAGGCTATTCTTTAGGGATGGATAAGTCTATTAAACACCGATTCGGGCTGAAAACTTCCGGGTCAATTTTTGCCAGATTCGAAAGGGGTACCATCACCGATTTCGGGCGATTTTTGGAAAGTCCATTTTCCTTGGATTTTGAAGGCGATGGATCACAGAATCGGCCTTAGGGTACTCTCCACCAACGATGAAGTCTAGCAGTGGCCGATTTGGGCGGAAATTTGGTCGAACTTTTCCGGAGGGCATTTTCGTAATTTTCAGGCGATTTTTCGAAAGACCATTTTCCTTGGATTTTGAAGTGTGCAGATCACGGATTCAGCCTGAGGCTATTCTTTAGGGATGGATAAGTCTATTAAACACCGATTCGGGCAGAAAATTTCCGGGTCAATTTTTGCCAGATTCGAAAGGGGTACCATCACCGATTTCGGGCGATTTTTGGAAAGTCCATTTTCCTTGGATTTTGAAGGCGATGGATCACAGAATCGGCCTTAGGGTACTCTCCACCAACGATGAAGTCTAGCAGTGGCGATTTGGGCGGAAATTTGGTCGAACTTTTCCGGAGGGCATTTTCGTAATTTTCAGGCGACTTTTTCGAAAGGCCATTTTCCTTGGATTTTGAAACACCGATTCGGGCTGAAAACTTCCGGGTCAATTTTTGCCAGATTCGAAAGGGGTACCATCACCGATTTCGGGTGATTTTTTGGAAATATCTTTTTCCTTCGATTTTGAAGGCGATCGATCACAGATTCTGCTTTAGGGTACTCTCCTCCAACGATGAAGTCTAGCAGTGGCCGATTTCGGCGGAAATTTGTTCGAATTTTTCTGCAGGGCGGTTTCCTAATTTTTAGCCGACTTTTTCGAAAAGCCATTTTTCTTCGATTTTGAAGTGTGCAGATCATGATTCAGTCTGAGGCTATTCTTTAGGGATGGATGAGTCTTTTTTTTTTTTTTTTTTTACAAAAGGGATGGATAAGTCTATTAAACACCGATTCGTGCAGAAAATTTCCAGGTCAATTTTTGCGAGATTCCAAAGGGGTACATCACCGATTTCGGACGATTTTTTGAAAAGACTATTTTCCTTGCTTTTATTTGCTTTAATATGATTGTAGCCGATTTGTGTGTTAATATTTTCGCCTGATTGATTTTAAGTTTCTGAAAGTACTGGAGGTGACCAGTTCCATGAGGAAGTACTTCATTTTTATCATTCTGTGTGACGAACTTGTTTTTTTGCTAATTTGACCGGGGATGGGCATAGCCTGATGGGTAATGGTGCATCTAGTTCTTAGGTTCGTTCAGCTGATACAACGGATGGTATTCCAAGTCTTCCATTTTTCTTCCTAGTGGCCCTATTAATCTTGAGAACTTCAAAGTTGGTCAATCTAGGCGGATGAAGCGATTCATCTTTCAAGTTGGTGTCGCAAATGCATTTTTTCCAAACATAAAGGTTAGCATACTCTGTCTACTCTCTGCATCTGGATGCTGCTCTGGTGGGTGTCATAGCTATTGGTGTTTGGTTTTCCATAGTTGAGTGAATGGCGAATCAAACTACCTAATAGGTAGGCTGCTTTTTGTAGCTCAGTGGAGTATATTGCACTCCTTAAGTTTTGATTCTGGAACGTATATGATGCATTTTAAAGGTGTGCAGCAGCAGCAGCCTGAATAAGTTAGTTCTTGGGATTTTGGCAAGGGAAAAGAAGTGGGGAATTGCATTTCTGAAAGCCAGGTGATAAGATAGGAAGGATATCAGTAACAATTGAGCCAAGTGGACGTTTGACTTGCCGGCTATACCATTTAGATGGAGACCAAGAATACAGAAACTCAGAAGCTATTGCTTGATGCTACTGCCCGCGAATCGACAGTCATGTAGTAGTATTCAGTATCTCCAGCTACGTGTTCATGGAAGTGCAGAGATCGGCCGATGTCATGATGGTGCTCGCTGCAATGGCCGTCGGGTCGGGGTTGATCCCCAGCAGAAGCTTGCAGGAGCGAGGACGTTTCCCGTCCTTGAATGCCATGATGAGCCTAGTATGTCTGTGATTTTTCTCCTTCCCTTATCTTGTTGCCGTACCAGTGTTTCTGTGCGTGGAGATTATATAAAGGAGAATTTCGGTCATGGTTACACCAAACAAGAAAGGCCCTCTGGTTTGGTTTCTCAGATTTTTGGACGAAGGGAAGGAAACAGCATTCATTGTTGTTACGAGGCAACAAGAGAAAATGCAGATACAATCGATGCCGATGTTGGACAAGAATGGGATTATCTCAGACAAGAACGAATGAAACAGAGGACTTTGTTTTCAGGTTCGGCGGGTTTCTCGAATATTTGGGAAATAGATCGTGATGGCTGTTTTGGCCTGAAGTGTCTCCCTTTTCTTGGCTGAGCTTATGGACGGTTTTGAAGAAGAATTGAAACGAGATTGGAATCTGGGGTTTGAGGAGAATTAAGCTACAGATGGATTAGTCCGACAGCTATAAGCAGCATCACCAAGGCGGATGCAGAGGAGCATAGATATGGGAATCTAGTTTTCCTAGATTCGCACCCTCCTTCAGATGGATCGGAGGGTCCAAATAAGGTTGTCAAATGGGTTTAAACGGGTATATATTTTTCTCACATGTTTTTCTAAACCAACATAAACCGAGATACGAGTTGGTTGTGCTCCAATCGAAACACATTTTACTAAACCGGCATATAAATAGTGATGGCAAAAGGGGGGGCGGGGCAGGTTCCTCAACGTAAAACCCGCGCGGATACGGGGCGGGGCGGGTCGACCCACTTTTACATGTTATTCGAAAAAGGAACCCGTCCCGCCCCACGCTACTGCAGGGAGGGTAAAACCCGCGCAGGTACGGGGCGGGGCGGGTCGACCCACTCTTACATGTTATTCGGAAAAAATACAAGTAAATTTTACTTTTTACGATAAAACGAAGGGTAAAACAATTTAAGAATGAAAAATAGTGATAATAGAATGGGTAATTGAGTCTAACAAGTTGAAAGAGCGACTCTAACTAGTTGAAGAAAAGTCAAAATAGGAGAAATATGTATAGAAATTGTAAGAAATTGAGATAAAATGAGTCTAGAACGGGGCGGGCGGGTCAGAAGTAGATACCCATGCCCCGCCCCATGCTACTGCGGGTCGGGCAATACCCGCCCCATCGCGGGTCAGGTCGGGTAATACCCGCGGGGCGGGTTGAAATTGCCATCACTACATATAGATGCAGGTCGGTTGTGCTCCAATCAAAGAATACCAATTTACTCGGGTTATTGCATGATTGGTTACTGAAATTATAAAAAACGTTCATGTTTGGTCACTGAAAATATTTAAATTCAATCTTAGTCACTCAAATTAGTTAAATGGTTCAAGTTTGGTCACTATCCGTCCATTTCTGTTAACTCTAGTTTACGTGGCAGTCAACTTTCATAGTTGACCGTTAAATATGTGACGTGGAAATTAAAAAATTATTAAAAATAAAAAAATAAACTTTCATATTTTCCACCTCATTATTACATTCATTAAAAATAAAAATAAAAAATAAAAATAAACTAATCTTTTTTCTACACCCCCCAAAACATAAATTTTTGTCTGCAAGCGCGCCGTCTCCGCCAACTCGTCGCTCCACTCCGCCTTCGACCTCAACGCCTGCTTCGATTCTGGGCCGACATTCCCTCGTTGGTGGTCTCTGGAGTTCGAGAGGCGAATCGATTCCATGATCCGCTCTCCATCGCCTGGAGCGACAGAACCTATCCATCAATCTCGTCGCCGAGAGGTAACGAAAGACGGTTTCTTTAAACCCTAGAAAAATTGAATTTTCAATCGCATTTCTTAGATGATGATTTAGAGAAACGATTGGGATTGAATTGATTTGAATTTTTTCCCCAGGTGCCCTAAGCTTCAATCACTTTCGATCCAGACCTCACTGAATGTCACAGACGCATCCATGGCTACAATCTCCTTGAATTGCTCGCAACTTGTCGAGCTGGACATCAGATATTGCCACGAGATCTCACACAAAACCTTGGCTCTCGTGGGCGAAATTGCCCGAACCTGAAAACCCTGAAGAAACTTCTACAACTGGTTGGATTCTTCTTCCCAACGTCCAGGGAATGTGCCAAACTAGTACCTCATGGCTTGCCCTTTTGAAGCAGATTCAGAAATCGCTGCAATTGGGAAGTTCATGACAGGGTTGAAGCACTTAGAGCTTCGATTCTCGAGGTTAACGGCCAAAAGGATCGAATCAATCAGCGAAAGGTGCTTGAATTTGGAGTTCCTGTATTTGTTAGGGTGTGTTAATGTAGGGGGTGCTGCGAGCTCGACTTTGAGTAGGTTGAGAAGCCGGATTCTGCATTTCCATGTCGTTGATCGGGCATTCATTGGGGTGTGGGCATTGAGATTTGTCTGATGAGAGGTTTCAGACTGATGCATTATGCATCTGGATGATGCTTCTGGTGTAAAAGTTGCCTGCTTTGTGAACTCTCTGTAGTTTTTTTGAACTTACTCGGTTTCGCCGCTGGTTCTGGTTTTCGGGTACGATTGATTTTCGTTTCATATATGTGGTGATGGTGAGGTTGGGTCGGTTAGGGTATTGGGGGTGTGTGTATTTTAATGAATGTAATAATGAGGTGAAAAATACAAAAGTTTATTTTATATTTTTAATAATTTTTTAATTGCCACATCACATATTTAACGGTCAACTATGAAAGTTGACTGCCACGTAAGCTAGAGTTAACGGAAATGGACGGAGAGTGACCAAACTTGAACCATTTAACTAATTTGAGTGACCAAGATTGGATTTAAATATTTTTAGTGACCAAACATGAATGTTTTTTGTAATTTCAGTGACCAATCATGCAATTAACCCGTAACCCCAATTTACTATAATGACATATATACTGGTTTAGTAATTGGCCCGTCCAATTATTAATTTGATCCATTTTTATATATTTATAAAATTCATGGAATTACTGATCAGAACGCATTATATTCGGTTAAGTGTATTTCAATTAAAATGTTGGTTTAATTCGGTGCGGACCAAACGGTTCCACACTTTCAGCCTGATGTGTGTTGGTAAGTATATGGCTCAATTGATGAATATCAGGCTAGTTTTGGCAAAAATCATAGCTGAGTTTATGGGCGACTTGAAAGGATAAAAACGAGTTTGTACTCTGGATTTGAGTAGGGCTGAGAATCGGTGCGATTGCGGTTAACCGCAACCGAAATGGAGCAATATACACCAACTGCGACCGCACCGCAAGGGGTTTGCGGTTAACCACTAACCGCGAAGTGAGGTTAACGGTTAACACGGTTAACCATGTTGCTAACCATATTTATGTTTTGGAGACAACGAAGTAGCTCGCATTTGAATTAGAACAAGAAGGAGAGAAATAAGCTCAAAGAAAGTGATTTTGGTCTATGGTTGTGACGGAGGTTAGTGTGGTTAGTGCGGTTAACCGCAGGTAACCGCGTTAGTAATCGGTTAAAATGCGTTTACATGTTGTTCGGTTGCGGTTGCGGTTAACTCAAAAACCGCAAAACATGCAATAATTCTAACCGCGACCGCAAAATACCCTATTTTTTGTTTTGCGGTTAACCACTAACCGCACGGTTTCGGTGCGGTTAGTAATTTAACCGCAAAACCGCAACTGAATTCCCACCCCTAAAGTCGAGGAGAATTGAGCTACAGATGGATTCTTCTACTCCAATAAGCATCATCACCAAGACTGATGCAGAGGATCATAGATATATCAATATATGAATTCCTAGATTCGCTTCCTAGTCCATATGGATTGGGAGGTTCAAATTAGACACGTTCATATTGAGAATAAGGATACCTCGATTTTTGAATTTAGCATAATTTCAATGGTAATTGTCCCGATTATATATTGAACAAACTATGATGTTTTGGGAGGGAGAGAACCCTATTACATTATGTAACATGTTAGAATGTTTTGTGCATCATCCTTTTTTTTACCTAAAAAAGTCACAGATTTCCAAATCAACTATTTGTCCCAAATATCAGCCCACTAATATTTAGTTCATATATAGTTAGTAGCCGTAGCGGAGGCAGAATTTGAATAGGAATTGATATGAAACATGATATTTTTTTATAACCCCATAACCTCAACTCCACTCCACATTTGAGACTTTCAGACTATTGGCACCACAGACCAAGTAAAAAAAAGTGTGGAAGCTTCCATAGAATGTGGTAAATGAGAGCTCTGTTTAGACTTTAGTATATCAATTCTTCCCCATCACATTCACATGTGGAGTACATGGATCGACCATTACTCCCATTTTAAAATTGCAATAGCTGATACCTTTTGACCTAATCCATTGTTTGAAAACCCATGGTATAGAAGAACATATAAATAACGAAAAGAAAACGTTCTTGGCCTCCTCTTCTTTCCTCTTCCTCGACCCCTCCACGTTGATTCCTGACACGTGCTTTTCACTTCACACTTTCCCTATATAAAACAACCCAAAAAAACCCACCTCTCTCCCCCCAATCCCATTTCCCATCACCCTGTAGCAACGAGAGCTACCTAATCCGCAACTCACCAAATTAGTAACCCTAACTTTTTTTTCTTCCTGAGTTCTAACATTTCCTACTTCTCACAGCAACCATGTATACCCTAACAAGCCACATAACAATGTGCCTCGTCGTCCTCGCCATCGTCGCACTCGCCGTCTCGGCCACATCCGCCGCCGCCGTCCACCATCGACCAACCAAGCCCACATTTATCATTCAAGACGCCACCCTCTACAGCTTCAACCTCACCAAATCCAAAACGTTCCTCAACACCACCCTCCGGGTCACAATCTCGGCCGGCAACCCGAACCCTCGGGCCGGGATCGAGTACGACACGCTCGGCATATACGCTGCGTACCGCGACCAGCAAGTGACGAATTTCGCGGACCTCGTCCACGGCTACCTTGGGCCCAAAAAGGTGGTTACGTGGGCCCCTGCGCTGATGACGGGTGACGGGGAGGACGTACCGGTCACACGGGCCCAAGCACGGGCTGTGGGCCGTGACTTGCAGGCTGGGCTCGTTGTGATGAATGTGACGGTGAACGGGAGGATGAGGTGGAAGGTTGGGCCGCGGCGGTCCAAGAAGTACTACTTGGCTGCGTACTGCCCGGCTTACCTGAGAGCTTCCGAGGGGAAAAGTGGCGGCGTCGGCGGGGGTGTTAAGTATCAGCTTGATCAAGGTTGCAGTGTTACGTTGTCGACTTGATTGACTAGTAATTGGTGTTTACCGGCCGGGGTGGTTTCTTTTCTTTGCTGAACGTATTACGCCTTTTGCTTATGTTTTTAGTTTTTACATAATGATCACTTGTTGTACGGTGGTTGTGATGAGTATTACAGGTGGTGTTTTTGGATAATTTTGGTGTGTGTGACGGTTATAATTGTTAATCGAAACAGGAATAGAAATCGGCACACAGATTTACGTGGTTTCCTCGTTCTGTATGAACGAGACTAGTCCACGGCCGAAGCTAGATTTTTCTCTTATTCAGCTTAACCTTAACAGGTTCACTTACATACATATTTATACAAACTAGGGTTTTCAACCCTAGGTCACTTACTCGGCTAACCCTAGGTCACTTACACTAATCAACCGTGACTAGGGAAGTGGGCCGAAGCCCATACATACTGCTCAACAGCCTCCCCCCAAATCGATGAGGATCTCTCATCATCAATTTGCGAGAAAGGTAAAAGTGTCGACTAGCCGAGAACGACTTGGTTAACAGATCGGCAATCTGGTCTTCAGAAGTGATGTAGAAAAGTCGGAGAATGCCTTCACGAACCAAGTCTCGTATGTAATGAAGATGAACCTCGATATGCTTCGTGCGATCATGAAGCACCGGATTCGTAGCAATCTGAATGACGCTCGTGTTATCCACATAGAGCTGGAGAGGAACAACACAAGTCACACCTAAATCACCCAGCAGCCGCCGAAGCCAGACCAGCTCAGAAGTCACATCCGACATAGCACGATACTCTGCCTCGGTAGAAGATTTGGACACCCTGTCCTGCTTCTTACAACGCCATGAAATGAATGACTCACCAAGACAAATACACCAACCAGTAGTCGAACGGCGAGTATCCACACAACCAGCATAGTCAGAGTCAGAGAAACCCTGAAGGTCAAGAGAACCAGACGACGGAAGAAACAACCTCACCTCACGAGTACCCTGAAGGTACCGCAATATACGATGGACAGCAGCAAGATGATCCGTACGAGGAGCAGACATAAATTGACTCACAATCTGTACCGCATAGGCAATATCAGGACGAGTCGACGTCAGATATATAAGGCTCCCCACCACGCTACGATAATGCTTACCACCATCGGGCAAAAGATCACCAGAGTCGCGGCCAAGCTTCAAACCGAGCTCCATGGGAGTAGAAACAGCGGAGTACTCAGCAAACCGAGAAGAGGCCAATAAGTCATCAATGTACTTACTCTGACATAAGAGAATCCCAGCGCTACTGCGTTTAACCTCAAGTCCCAGAAAGTAGGAGACATACCCAAGCTCCTTAAGGCTAAATGAAGCATGAAGCCCTTTGGTAAGTTCAGTAATCCCCAAGGCATCATCACCAGTGACGATCATGTCATCGACATACAATAAGAGCACCACAAGCCCACGAGAAGAGCTACGTATAAACAGAGAGGGATCATTAAGACTCTGCTCAGAACCAAGAGCGAGAATAGTGGAATGAAACTTGTCAAACCACGCCCGAGGAGCCTGTTTCAGGCCATAGAGTGAACGACGAAGTAAGCACACCTGGCCTGGCTCGCCGTAGGTATAACCAGGAGGTGGTTCCATATAGACAGTCTCCTTAAGCTCCCCATGCAGAAAAGCATTCTTAACATCAAGCTGAAATAAGGGCCAACCACGAACAGATGCCACAGCCAAGAGAGCACGAACTGTGACCATCTTCGCCACAGGGGCGAAGGTCTCCTCAAAATCAATCCCATATTCCTGACAAAAACCCTGTGCAACCACCCTCGATTTGAACCGCTCAATGGAGCCATCCGGTCGGACTTTAATGGTATAGACCCACCGAGAGCCAATAACGGGAACAGAAGGAGGAGGCCGAGGGACCATATCCCATGTATGATTAGCATGGAGAGCATCAATTTCCTTCGTCATGGAATTATCCCAATCCGGATTCCCCTTAGCCTGTGAGTAACGAGTAGGGACGGAAATGGGATCAACACTGAAGGCCATATAATCCAGATGACGTACCGGGGGAACACCTCGGGTGCTGCGAAGTGAGCGTCGAAGTGGTTCCACTGGAGGAGGAGAGGGCGAAGATGATTCAGACAATGACTCGGCGGATGAACTGGACGTCGAGGACGCGGGCGAAGGGGTGGGGGAGTCGGGGGGCAGCTCGGGGGCATCACCATCATCAAGGTATGCATCATCATCATCACCAAAGGAGGGCGGAGCAAGGGAAAGGTTGAACAAGGGAGGGTCGGTGGACACGGAGGAAGAAGAATGGTACATCAAATTCTCAAGAAACACAACATGGCATGCAATACGAACACGACGGGAGGAGGGATCATAACAAAGGTAGCCTTTATGAATGTCACTATAGCCAAGGAAACAACAACGAGCAGTTTTAGAAGTAAGCTTGGTGCGTTCAGATCGAGGGAGAAGAACAAAACAGACACACCCAAAAACGCGAAGACGGGAATATGGTGGGGGTTTGGAAAACAAGCGGAAGTAAGGGCTAGTTTGGTCTAGAACTGGTGTAATCTGATAGTTGATAAGACGCATAGTAGTAGCAACAGTTTCAGGCCAAAAAGACGATGGGACATAGGAGGAAAGAAGAAGAGCACGAGTGACTTCTAACACATGACGATTTTTCCTTTCAACGACCCCATTTTGTTGAGACACCCCAGGACAAGATTTTTGAGACAAAATCCCCATATCACGATAAAGTTGTAACAGAGGACCTGAACTAAACTCCCCTCCGGGATCAGAACGGACTACACGAACAATTCTACCAAACTGGGTTTTAATCATAGCAAGAAACTCGGTGGCAACAGTCAAGAGATCAGACTTAAGACGAAGAAAGTACACCCATGTATACCTCGTAGCATGATCAATGAACAGGGCAAAATATTTATAACCTAGTGGAGAAGTCGTGGGACTAGGCCCCCAAAGATCAGTGTGTATCAAATCAAAAGGCTCAGAAATAATGGTCAGACTAGAAGGAAAAGAGATTTTCGTAGTCTTAGCCTCAATGCAACTAGTACATGAAAAATCCGACGAACACTGACCAAGGGTGTTCTCCCCAAATAACTGCTGTTTAAACATTGTCATAAGTCTACTAGAGTTTGCATGACCTAACCGAGCATGCCATAAATGAAAGTTTCTATCGGGAAGACTCGAGAACACTGTAGGAAAGAAGGTGGCTGGTGATGACAATGATGATGAGGGACGCAACTGGTCAAGAACAAATAAGCGCCCCGTCTTGCTGCCCCTACCGATCTCCCTCCCTGTCTTCTGATCCTGAATAACACAGCCAGAAGGTGCAAAAGTAACACAATATCCCTGGTCAGTAAGCTGACCTACAGAAACCAAGCTAGGCACCAACTTCGGCACATGATATGTAGACGGTAAGACAACATTAGAATCATGAACAGTGCCCATGGCTGCTACACTTAACTTCTCACCATTAGCAACTTGAAGAGATAAATCATTCACAGGTCGTAATTTCTCAAGCATAGAACTATCACCAGTCATATGATTGAAACACGCAGAATCAAGGATCCAGTGAGGAAACTTACCGGAGGCTTGAAGACTAGCAAAAGCGGTAGAAATGGCCTTGTTTACCATTTGCTCAAGAGTTGCGGGAGTCACCAACATGCCTTGAGAGCCATAGGCATCACCAAGGACCTGCGCAGCATATGCAGAACGTGGCACAGAAGAGCCTCCCCGAGATGCAGCTCCATTTCCGCGACCCTCATCCTCGCGAGACCGACCATTCCCACGTCCCTCTTCTTCGCGGAATCTGCCCTCCAACGCAGGACATGCTGAAATTATATGTCCAGTCTTTTTACAGTAGTGACAAAAATTCCTTTTCTTGTAGTACTTTTTTCGTATGCCCCTTTTCATGGCAATGGAAACATCGGCAGCTGAAACTCGGCGCTGGAAGGAAGGCCTAAACGCTGCATAGGCCGAGTCTACTAGCTGCTCAGCCTGGTCCCGCGGCGTAGAGGAACGGTGGCCGCCTCCACCTGAAGAAGCCCGCTGTGGCGAGCTGTGCGAGACGCTAAAAGCAGCAGCCCCGTCGCCGGTGCCGGGTTGGATGTCAATTGCCGCCTGGGTTCGCAACCTCGTTTCCTCCTGGATCAAAGCGCTAAGAACCCCTTCAGCCTTCAAGTTCTCTCTATTTAGCAAGGAAGCACGAATGGGTTCGAACTCCCGATTCAGCCGCATCAAGAATTGCATCAGCTGAATCTTCTCTCTTTCGCGACGAACTTCCGCCGAATCAGCAGTGGAGAGAAGAGAGAGCATCACGAGATCTTGCTCAGTCCACAAGTTACGCGCAGCATTGTAGTAAGACGTGACATCCATGCTGCCTTGATAGAGAGAAGCGAGTTCCATCTCTATTTCATACTGCCGAGAGGCTGTAGCTGTTTTGTATATATCCGCCAGGTATTGCCACATTGCACCAGCAGTTGGAAGCATGCGAAGCCCAAGGATTATCGTGGCATCAACAGAATTGAGGAGAAGCATACGAACCTTAGCATCATTCAAGGCCCACTGTTGTACTTGATCGGCCGAGGCAGGAGGAGAAGCCGGCCGATCTACAGTTCCATCGAGCCAACCGAGAAGCCCTTTCCCTTCAATCAACATTCGAAACTGAAACTCCCATATGGCATAGTTCTTGGAGTTGAGACGAGCAGTAATCTGATCAGAGGTCATAGGCTCTGATACCATGTTAATCGAAACAGGAATAGAAATCGACACACAGATTTACGTGGTTTCCTCGTTCTGTATGAACGAGACTAGTCCACGGCCGAAGCTAGGTTTTTCTCTTATTCAGCTTAACCTTAACAGGTTCACTTACATACATATTTATACAAACTAGGGTTTTCAACCCTAGGTCACTTACTCGGCTAACCCTAGGTCACTTACACTAATCAACCGTGACTAGGGAAGTGGGCCGAAGCCCATACATACTGCTCAACAATAATGGTGGTGATGATTCGGTTCATTGTCAAAAGGATTACAAAATCTGGAATAAAAGTCGTGTATGTTTATGATGTCTATCGCTTTTTTCAAAAGTAAAAGTGCTAAAGTGTCACACACACTATGACAAAGAAGAAAAAAGATTTACGAAATAAATTATGACAAGTGAACATCAATTGAATGTAAACAATCTCCAATATTTTCTTGCTCTATTGAACTATCCAAAACAACAAATAAATTTTAGTAGGGGTGTGCTATGCTTTGGTGAATCAAACCAACACACAATATTAGAAGTCTTTGTGATTATCTATAAACCATAAAATCATATGAACTAATTAAAACTTGATTTACGATTGAAAGAAAATTTTATAAAACGAAATTTTCATGTTTCAATCGGATATGTGAAGTAATGTCATATTTTTTGAACCTTGATTAGAGACTAATTTCCAAGACATCAAAATAGAGACGATATGAAATATTCCCTGTTAAGTTATATACGTTGCATTGGTTTTTCGGTATTGAGCATGTATGTTTATGTAGTAGGCGAGGCCCATACGTGAACCAGATAGCACAATCCGAACCTCTCATTCTAGAGTTCTTGGTTGTGCAATTGCATATTAATGTACATGATGCACACCGATTCAGATATAAAAAATAGAAAAAGATTTAATCTTTGTTCATGGGCTAGCTAGTCTTGCTCACACCAAACAAGGATATTAAACGACGTAAAGTTTGTCACTTATTTTCATGTTTCGATTATCATCATTACCCATCTCTACAATAATTCATTCCCATTGCAAACAAAATTTCCATGAAGAATCCACATAACAAGGTTCTTTATTAGGATTACAGGAGTCATGTTTAGTTTTCTTTTTTTTTTTTCTGAGTGATATTAATGAGAAATAATAGTTAAGCTTACAATTCTACCCAGGATCTCTAACAGATTTTAAAGAAGCCACCCCAAGAAATCAAAAGATTATAGCTCTACAAGAGATAAAACCAGTACTTTACGCGCCACTCTATGGACAGCACTGTTTAGTTTTCATTGCATCCTCTTGTTTATAGAACAACAAAAAGAATTCGGAACCGGGTTAGCTTGTTTCTTGAAGAAGATGAAAAAGAAGAGGTATGATGTAGGATTTAACTTTATTAGGATTTCCGACTAGCTTAAGTTAATTAGTCTACATTAATTGTAGTAAGTTGATATATCCCTTTTTAGGCTAATTAACGGGTCCCAAATAAATGCACAATATAATCCACTAAAAGGGAATGAAAATCATCAACGACTTCCCACTATATAAAACCGAACCCTAAAACATCTCCTCAAGTCTCCCCCTCACCATATAACGAACCGCACAACCCACAACCATGAAAGACGGCCGCGGCAGCCACAAGCTCTCCCACGTCATCGCCGACATGTCCGCCGCCAAAAGTTACACCCTAATCGCCCTCGCCGTCACCGCCATCCTCGCCCTCGCAATCCTCACCACGTGGCTCGTCCTCCTCCCACAAAAACCCACGTTCGCCCTCCAAGACGCCACCCTCTACGCCTTCAAGTTAACCAACTCCAACCTCTTCCTCACCACGACTTTCCAGGTCACGCTCTCGTCACGCAACCCGAACCGGCGGGTCGGGGTCGACTACACCCGCCTCGGGGTCTACGCCTCGTACCGGAACCAGCAGATCACGAACTCCACCGTGCTCCCGCAGAGCTACCTCGGGACCAAGGACATGACGGTGTGGTCCCCGTTTTTGTCGGGTATCGACGTGGCGATCTCGCCGAATTGGGTGGAAGGTGTGAGGCTTGACGTGGAGGCTGGGGATGTGATCGTGGACGTGAAGGTGTACGGGAGGTTGAGGTGGAAGGTCGGGTCGTGGCTGTCGGGGACGTATCATTTGGCGGTGAACTGTCCTGTGTATCTCAAGATGGCCGGACGAGCGGCGGAGGAGGGTGGTGGCGGTGGTGGCGGCGGCGGGGGAGGTGGAGGTGGTGATTGGGTTGCGGTTATTGGTGGTGTGAGGGGTGGGGTTAGGTATGATGAGCTTGATCAAGGTTGCAATGTTGTGGTGTCGACTTGATTGGTGTTTTAGCCTTTAGGTTAGAGTTGGACTATGCCAATGCGGTAGGTTTTTTTTATAATCTCTGTGTTTTGATGTCATTTTAATTTCATTCGTGGTTACTTATTCCACTGTCGTTTATACAGGGTGGATAGTTTTGTTACTTACGACAAATACAATGTATACATGCTTTTCAATATCGTGTGATTAAGACAGCGGAATTTGCATGATGTGATAGTAATCAAGTAATGTTCAAGGTTTTGTTGATTGCTTATCGGATGTTTATCCGAACTTTATTCTTATGATCAACCATTAAACCCGTTTATCAAGTTCGAGTCGGCAAACTGTATGTCATTTTACATTCTTTTGGACTGTCTTTAGATCAGATTCGTGGATATAGTCCCCAAAAGATTTAGATCAGTCCATCAGGAGTTTAGTTTAGAAAATTGAATGATCACTATTACTACTCTTCAATAAACTCCAAGGCTCCAAACCATACCCCATTGATGGATTTAAAATTATCATATAAAAGAAAGATATTCGTGTGATCATACTTATGCGTGTAGCTAAACTCTGCATGATCCATTTTTTTTATGAAAGTATAGACTAATAATTTGATAATTTATGAGTATAATAATTTATCCAAAGGCAACTTTGTAATGAGTAGGTCGGGAAAAGATGAAGTTCTTAGTGCAAATAGAGTTGGCAGAATATACTACCATTAGCACACACCTGGCTCCTACCCTTTTGAGCTTACTGTTACAAAAGAAAGAACAAAGTATAGTGGCTGTTCGTATTATTGTACAGCCTACTCTTAGGGAAAAGAAGTGTAAAAGAAAGAATCCATTGAGAGATTGGTACATTATTTTCATGTGCTATATGAATATTGCTCTAGGATTTCCGTGTTTTTGGTACCATATGTGGAGTCCACGCACATGAGACCAAACCCGCTAATCATGTGAGAGAGGAAAGTACTACTCATGATATATACCTAGGGAACACTATATTCATGAAAGTAATGTGATATTTTTATGTATTGTTGTTAGGTCAATTTACACGATGGATATATACCTTTACATCAATTAGCAAGTCGATCACTCGATTTTGGATCTTCGGAAGAAATTGGCTACTAAGATTTCCTCCTAAATGGTCCTAATTTCTGCGTCAACTTGCCCAAGTTAACAACAAGGAAACCTGTATACCGTCAATTCTTCCTATCCATCGGGTACGAGTTAAAAAAATAGAGTTGTTTTAGGTAATAGCTATGTTCAACCCCTGATTGTCTAATGATCTTTGATTTGAAACGTGTGGATCAAATTAAAATGGACAACTCATGTTATTTTTTTAGAGTCTGCATGGTCTTCACCTACAAACTGCAAGGAGAAATTAATCTGAATAGCTGTAAGCTAGTTCTTTTTTTTTTTTTTTAGAAAGACGGCCGACAAAGCGACCAAATCACATTAAAATAGACCGAGTTTGGGTGATATCCAATACATCAAAAGTAGTACAGTGACAGACATTCACGTCACTGACATCAAAAGAATGCGATCCAATATGTCTCTTATTAGCAAGAAAATCGGCGGCAACATTGCTCTAAACTAGTTCTATGTGACTGGAGTGAGTAAAAAAAAACTACATTGATTGAGGGCTTGTCCGAGATCAACTCAAAGTTTAGTGACCACTTATATAATTCACCAGGCACATAATTGCTTAAGTTGATGCCTCCCGATGCTAATTAATGGTCCGAAACAAATCCACCATAAAGAAATGGAAAGGAAAAGCTTTCACAGTTTCACCCCATTCTTTCCAACTCCTTCCATTGACTTGCTTTCACTTCACACTCTCTCTTTCTCTACTATATAAAAACAACCCAAAAAGCTCCTCTTCTTCCCCAAATCCCTCTCTTTCCAAAAATCCCCTCCTTCTCTCCAAAACCACCCACCAACAATGTGCAAGAAAGAGTGCGGCCACGACTCCGACGACGGAGAGGACAACAAGTCCGCCGCAATGAGGTACATCATAATGGCCGCCGTGGCCCTCATCATCATCGGCCTCACGGTCCTCATCATGTGGGCCGTCCTCCGGCCCAAAAAGCCCACATTCCTCCTCCAGGACGCCACGCTCTACGCCTTCAACCTAACCAACTCCAACCTCTTCCTCACCACCACGCTCCAGGTCACGCTCTCGTCACGCAACCCGAACCGGCGGGTCGGGATCGACTACACCCGCCTCGGGATCTACGCATCGTACCGCAACCAGCAGATCACGCTGGCCACGGAGCTGCCCCAGGGATACCTGGGGACGAAGGACGTGACCATGTGGTCCCCGTTTCTGTACGGGGAGACCGTGCCGGTCTCCCCGAACCTGGTCCAGGCCGTGGGCCAGGATCTGGCGGCCGGGGTGGTGATAGTGAACGTGAAGGTGTACGGGAGGGTGAGGTGGAAAGTTGGGTCGTGGCTTTCGGGCAAGTACCACCTGGCGGTGAACTGTCCGGCGTATCTCAGATCTGCGGCCGGCGGTGGAGGCGGAGGAGGATTGGTTGCTGTCGGCGGGGGAGCGGGGGTGAAGTATCAGTTTGATCATGGTTGTAACGTTGAAGTGTCGGCTTGATTGATTTATTAATTAGTTCTTTTTTTTTCTCTCTCTTTTTTTTTTTTACTTTCTGTACGTAGTTGATCTCATAAAATCTCGTTTAATTCGCTTCTTACCGTCTCGTTTTTCATTTTTTGGATAATATATTTTTAGCAATTACAGTTGAAATGTTGATAATTCTTATATAACATTTTGTTATCCCACAAATAACTGTATAATTCAATTAATAAGGTACGAATTGTTATTTAGATGATTCTAACGCGAAATTTCTCACTGTGTTATAACTGTAGTAAAAAAATAAAAAATCAATACCGTATACCAATATTATGATTTATGTTCGCACAAAGTAATAATTAATTAAGGTTTTGTTTTAACGGACTTATTAAGGTTGTAGTAGTGATTAGTGAAGCAAACCACGTGGAAATGGGGCAATGTGGATCGAGAACATAGCCGTTCTACTTGGGTCGTTGACTAGGGTCCATTAATCTATGATAATATTTAATTTAATGTAATTAGATGAGTGAACCAAAGCAAATCAATAACACTTCAGATTCTTGGGGAAACAGGATTAATTCTATTTTTTATATATATTTTGTAAGTAAATAAATATATGGGTCACGTTAGTCGAGTAGAATTCGAAGAGCATACTTTTTGGATCATGTTTCACCATACCACGGCACCCACTATGGCAATTAATTGACACAGGTTCTTGATTCTCCCAAACCCCTAACCTGTTCAATCCACCGACGACGTTTTTTTATACAGAATTCGTTATAAGAAGAAAATGGGCTCGGTGAATCTCACCTGTTACAGATTTTATGGGCTCTGATAGCATTACCATGTTGGGCTCGGTTACGGGCCCACTCATCAGACATCAGAACTAGGCCTGCTTCCTTTTGCAGTCACATTTCTTTCTTGCCAACTTTTTATTTTATTTTTATAAGGGTTATATAGATGTTATTTTTTTTTATAATGATGACAGCCTTTTATTAATTTAAACAAAGGAAAAATACAACCGAACAAAGTACACGCACAGCAGGCGGAGGCAGAGAGCCAAACAGTTGACCTGCATGCTGGAACAAAAACGAAACATTACGGAAACATTACAGGAAAGGAGCTGAAATCCAGGCCCTGTATACAAAGTAAAGAAGAAGCCGAAGTGGGATAAAACCGAATCTAGTGCTGCTGATTCTCGTCGAGGTTGTTCAACAAAATAGATGTTATTTTGTTTATTATTAAGGTACTAATTAATGGATTCGAACCTGAGACCTCCAAGTTCTAGACTAGTGGTATTATCACTAGACCAAACTCTTGTTCGTTCTTGCCAACTTTATTTTGTTCATATATGCTTTCATGAACATTTTCCACTTCACTGTTAACAACATTTCGCATAGCCATGGTTTGTCAGACCAATATATTGTTGGCAGGTTGAATTGGCTCTTACTAGTATCGGGTAGAATGTTGTGTTTGAATCGACTGGAAGACTTCTCGGTTTGTAATGGTTTTCAAAACCGTTAAATCTGGTAGGTCTAATCAGAATGTTTGAGATCGAGTGCATTAGTTTCCCTATATCTCCTGAACATAAACAAGTAAACTTCACACCAAAAGTAATCACATAATAACTTTTTCCAAGCATGCAGATTGTGGCTAAGGCCACTCAAAGACCTAGCTAGCTTTGGAACTCGTATTGCCACCGCCATTCATTCCCATTAACCATTGGAGGGGTTCTTCCTCCCTCTCTCTCTCTTCTCTATTTCTCTCTGCCTGCATGTCTTTCTATCTTCCCCGCTCTTAAATCTTCCAATATTCATAATAGTTAGCATTAACCAACTCCAACACGCAGTAAAGAAAGGAGAATTCAGAGGGTAGATCAGAGGAGCAAGCTAGCTAAGAAGCGGGGAAGCGAACTTCCTGATAGAAGAAAATGGGTATCCCTTCGTTTTACAAATGGCTGGTGAGCAGATACCCAAACATCGTCGTCAAAGCCCTTCCTCCACAAGACCAAGAACACAACAGCTTGCTACTCCCAAACCCAAATGGATTCGAGTTCGATAACCTCTATCTCGACCTGAACTCAATCATCCACCCTTGCTTCCATCCCGAAGACCCTTCAAACGTGAGCTCCCGCTAATCCTTGTTTCATCCGGATTTCTCCAAAAAGGGCAGAGTACTCTGTTTTCGCTCTTTTTTTTCTGGTTCATTTCCTCACATCCTCTGTTTTGCTCTGTAGCCAATTCAGCCGACAACCTTCGACCAAGTCTACAGCGCGGTGTTCGACTACATCGATCACTTGTTCAGCATCGTGCGGCCCAGGAAGCTCGTGTTCATGGCTGTTGACGGAGTAGGTCCACGTGCAAATATGAATCAGCAGCGGGGAAGACGATATCGATCAGCCAGAGACAACGAGATTGCGGTTAGTGTACATCGTAAAGATTCGATCTTTTTTTTTTTTGTTTCTTTGTATGCAAATGGATGTAACAAAAATGTTATGATTGTAGGAAGAGATGGAGAACTGCTTAAGAAAGCAATTTGAGGCGGCAGGCAAACAACTCCTTCCGAATTCAGAGTCTGAATTGTTGGACTCAAGCATCATAACCCCTGGAACAGAGTTCATGTTCGAGCTGTCGAAGAAGCTTCAACAGTACGTTACATCGAGAATGGAAACTTGCCCTGGCTGGAAGGAGATCAAAGTTGTTCTCTCTGATGCAAATGTACCGGGCGAGGGCGAGCATAAGATCATGTCGTTCATTCGACACCAACGTAGTCTCGCTGATTACAACCCGAATACACGACATTGCCTCTATGGCCTGGTATCGAGATAAGCAGCAGTAACCCTAACTATGTATTTCATTAATTTGGTTTCGTATTAATTTGTGCATGTGCCGTATGATTCATGTTGATGTGTGTAACAGGATGCTGATTTGATCATTCTGGCTCTAGCAACACATGAAGTCCACTTCTCGATACTGCGAGAGGTGATTCGAATAGTCTTGTTGGTGTTTCGGATTCTTTGTTATATCTAGTTTAAAAGACTACATAAGGGGGTGTCTTGGTCAAATTTTTGTTTGTACAGGATGCTGGTGTTCGAGAAGAGCAACCGATGTGTTTATCTGCTTCGAAGAGTAGCCTTTCCACGGTGGAGACGAAATCATTTAAGTCGAGAGGAGGGTTCAAAGATGTGAAGGTTGTAGAAGAACAAGCAATTACTGAAAAGCCTGCATCTTTCATCAGGAAGGCACATCAGGTTACATCACAATTGATGTTTTACGTGTTTTCCAAGCAACATATGGATATAGACTTTTACAGTCTTTCCATCTGCTAATTCTCTTCAGTTTCGCATTTTGCAGTTCCTCCATGTTTGGATTCTGAGGGAGTACTTAGAGGTTGACATGAGAATCCCTGATCCTCCCGAGAATTTCAAATATGATGTAGACCGAGTCGTTGACGATTTCGTGTTCATCTGCTCTTTTCTGGGGAATGATTTTCTTCCTCGCATGCCTACCCTGGAGGCTCATGAGGTTGTGATCAATTGATCATAAGAGAGTACTTTTTTTGAATTCAAACCTCTAACATGTAAAAAAATTTAAGAGTACCTTGTGATGACATTTTCTAGGGCGCCCTTGATCTCTTGATGACTGTTTATAAGGAGCATTTCAGAATTCTGGGTGGATACTTGGTGGACATGCAAAGAGTAAACTTTGAACTTTGAAGCATTGTATCTGATGATAATCAAGCTGTTGCTTCAGTATACTCAAAATGAGAGATATGTTTTGACCTTCTGAATCAGGTTCAAGACTCTAACAGTGCATTTATCGAGCTGAAAAGAGTAGAGAAGTTCATCCTGGAGGTTGGGAAATTTGAGGACAAGATTTTCAACAAAAGATCGCAACTTCGAGATCGAAAGATTAAGCAGATTGCTGCTTATGCAGTTGCAGTAAGCCATAACTTTTCATATTATGTACTCTCAATTCCTATGTTGATCATAACTGCCTCCTTTAACTTTGAATCTCCAGGAGAATGAAGACTTGCTGCCTGAGATATTGAAGGATCGGAGCTCAACTTCCATTGGAATCCCCTCATCTTCTGAAGCCCAAGTAAGCTGGAAAAAATGGCATTTTTATGTTGACGCTTTGTGAGTTGGCCTCTACTGGTCAAGTTTACCGATTTCGTGTAACAGATTCTGAAGAATACGATTGATTTCAAGTTTAAATTAAGGGCTTGCATTCGGAAGAAAGGTGATCATTTCAGAAATGGTGATTTGGGCGAAGACAAAGTATGTATAATTCATCTCTCGGGTTTGGCCTAAATTAACGTTTCCAGACTTTTCTTGGGAGTGAAGCAAGTCTGTTTGGTCATGGAAAACTTTATCATAGGTGAGACTTGGCAACGAAGGCTGGAAAAAGAGATACTATCAAGAGAAATTCTCAGCAGAAACTCCAAGCGAGATGGAAGTTAAAAGAAAAGATATTGTACGTATCATCCAGAAAATTCTGCACAACATTGCTTCGTACTGTGATATTCATAAGATCAGCTAGAGTATTGAATGATGTTTCTCTTTGCATCGCTGCTATTTTTCTACCCCTGAAGGTTCAGAAATATACAGAAGGATTGTTGTGGGTGCTGGAATACTACTACTCTGGAGTCCCTTCATGGAGTTGGTAAGCTGGTTCGACCTACGATTCTAGATGTAGAATGAAAACTTGGAAAAGGGAAGCTGATGAAACTAAAAGGCTGAAACTTCATTGCAGGTATTACCCATATCATTATGGACCCTTTGCATCTGATCTCAAGGGCCTTTCACAAGTGAAGGTTAAGTTCCAGAAAGGATCTCCATTCAAGCCCTTTGAGCAGCTCATGGCTATACTACCACCCCAAAGGTTATATTGAACTGATTCTGACTTGCTGTGTTATAAGCTGATGCAAAACTAACTTAAATGAGCTTTTCATGTGTAGTTCCACTACACTCCGTAAACCATATCAGAAACTGATGACCGATGAGCAGTCCAACATCATCGACTTATTCCCCATGGATTTTGAAATCGACATGAATGAAAAGAGGTTTGCATGGCAGGTTAGCGAAACCTACCCGTTTCCTGTCCATTAGTTTTGGTTAATGGTGACAATGAATCCCATGTGTGGATTGTTCTTTCCAAGGGGATATGCAAGCTTCCATTCGTTGATGAACAACGGCTGTTAGATGAGGTCCATAAGGTCGAGAAGGAACTCCAGGCTCATGAAACCGAAAGAAACAAGCAAACAGCAGACAGACTGTTCGTTAGAAGAAGCAGCTTGCCTGAAGGTCTGCTGGTTTCACTTGTTTCACAAGGATCCCCAAGCATGCTGAACATTGCCTCATGGTTGGTCCAGTCAATTCTTATCCAGTCATATGATGAAGCCCCTAGTAGATAATTCAATTACTTATAAGCCAAGCTGTAACTGAATGCTTGGCTTTTGTTGCAGTGGAATTAGAGGATTTGTTCACTCTGGCCAAGAGACTTGGAGCAGCACTATGGACAGACCTATCTTGTAAGCATCTTTCATAAAAAAAACCTGAGTGTTTGAAGAAACCTTCACATGACAGTCATTTCATCTGTTCTTCTTCCTAGGTCTCTCTCGCTCCACGCTTCCCAGGAAATCAAATACACTTCCCGTCCTCTAGCAGGAACTACCTTCCTAGACAAGGTACACAGAAACTGCATCCAGTACTGTAAAGAAAGGTATAGTATCCTCTTGCTGTCTGCATAATTAAAGCTAGCTTCTTTTTCTGGTAATGTGCAGACCATAACTGAAGCTGACATCGAAGCCACACAGCTGTGACATGAAATCCCCATCTACACCAACACCCACAGGTTCATCTCTTTCTGCCATGTCAATTGTCTTAACTCAGGACCATTCCTTAACTCTGATGAGCTCATTGTTTTTCATAGCAACCAAAAGTGGAGCAGAAGAAGCAATAGAGGACAACCACACAATTAAAATGACACAAGCTCGAAACCTTCCTCTACGAGTAACACTAATTCAGTTCGATTTGTGACCGATCTTTCTCCAAGAGCGATCACTGGTTTCGACAGCTACAAGTTCAAGTCACTTAACTACTACCCAACCAACCCAGGCAGCAGCCACGGCAGTTGAATGCCAACATTAATGATCATTTAAGGTATCAACATGGTACTGGAAGAAGGCAATGGAGCTCCTCACCATCATCATCAGCAGCTGGCAATGATTAATTACCACCCATCTCTTGCAGAATGGTATGGAAGAGGTGGTGGCAATAGTAAGTTAGTAACAATGGACCACGTGGGTCTTCTTCTACATCAAGCTGGAGGGCAAGAGGGCAGTCCTGATAATTGGGGGAATCCTTCTGGCAGGAAAAGTGTCAGTACCGTTGTAGTGTTTTCTTTATCATTGCTCCTTTTTCTTGTTAGAAGATATGAATATTTTGATGGAGCAATGAGTTCCTTTTTGTCTTGTGGCGAATGGCCCAATGTGTTCTTTGTCTTGTTTGGCACATGTCGTCTTCCCCTTTCTGGTCTTCCCTACTGCCTTGCTGTTTTGCCCTTTTGGCCCCAACCTTGATACTACTACAGGCGTCCTTCACTCTTGAGTCTTGACCCTTTACTTTTATCTTGCGCAAACTAAACTAACACCGTACAAAACCCAATTCAGTAAAGATGCTCTTTCCCTTTTCCCAAACCGGAATGGAGAAACTAGTAAACTTTACAGCCTTTTCTATCATGTTGTGCTTGTTCTGTGATTCAGTCACATAGTTACATCCCTTAGCATGTGGATGGGGTAATTAATCAGCATGTGCTCCCGCCATTTCGTTGTTCTCCCACGCTTTTATAATTAAAATGGAGTTGTTGGTCTTTATAAGCAACTTCGATGTACGATTCAAATGAACAGAAATGTGTAGGCAATTCAACGATTTCAGATCATGGTCATTGTCTTCTCATCGACAATGGAGTCGTATTACCAAAACACTGCATTTTCTGAAGAAGGTTACACTGTTACAGACTTGAACAAAGAATAACAATGGTGTGAACTGGGAAATACATGTCTAAGATTATTTCCCTGCTTATTACCACCTAATGAATGAATCAATTTCTTTACGAAGCTTTGAACCGGGGAAAAGAAAGGAATTAAGAATGACAATTGATCAGAAGAAAAAGAAGGTAAGTTCTTGAAATGAAACCCATTTCAATGGTGGCTGCAAGGTTGCTGCTTGAACCCAAATCTCTGATTCGCCAAATCATACTCCACCCGGAAATTCTGCATCTGGAAGTTCCCCAGTATCACGCTCGGCCCGCCGCCGCTCCCTTCTTCCATCCCGTCCGTCACCACCGCCAAGCACGCCACCTCGCCGGAGCCGACATACGTGAAGTAATTCTCCACGGGCAGTACCATGTCGGCGCCGCCCTTGAAATGGAGCCTCAGCTCCGGAAACGCCGCTGCGCCTTTCCCGTGAACCCGGAAACAGGGCCGCAGCCCAGTCGCGGTCTCGGCGGCGCGTGACCTGCTGTAATTGCCATTGCTCCTCTCCATCTGCGCCACCAACTCTCTGCTCACGGGCTCGAACACGCCGCGAGACATGAACGTGAACGTGGTCCCGGAATCGACGATCGTCCCGCCGCTGCCGTCGATTCCGGGGGACAGGTGCCGGTGCGGGATCTCCACGCGCCGCCCGCCGACGCTGATTCGCCGGAGACCAAGATAATAATAGACGGAGTAGTCCGGCTTGTTCAGGACGATTGGGTTCTTAACGAATGGCGTGTAGATCATCCCTCGGGTCTTCGTACCCGAGTCCGACCCGGAATCAAGTACCAAATACCCGCTCCGAACAGAGTCGTCGTCGAATTGATGAGAGAGCAAGCAGTAGGAGAACCTAGCCAGCCCGAGTTGACTCGCGAGAGAGGAACGGCCGCGGCCGAGTCCCGCGATTCCCGCGGGTTGGCGAGACGAGAAAACGGAGCATCCAATTAGGAAATTGGGGATCGTTAGGTTACGGAATCGGAGGGTTTCGGAGAGAGCGACGCCTCCGGTGGTCCCCGAACCGTAGAGGATTAGATACGGCGGGCAGATCTGAGAACAATACCTAGACCGCCGACCACCGCCGTTGTAACCGCAATTCCCGCACTGTTCGGACCGCCGGCGGCGGCCGTGGATCCAGGAGCATTTGGGGTTTCTGCAGCCGACGATTTTTGAAGACGAGGAGAGCACGGGGATGAAAGAGGGAATTCGGGAGGTGGGTGAAGGGAAGACACAATGCTCGCAGAAGTAGTGAGTGGTGCAGGGGAACCAGACGAAGCTGCTGGCTGTGTCGACGACGAAGGAGAGGGTTTGGGGAGGGGTTCCGAAGCTGAGGGAAGTGGAGTAGCCGCCATAGCTGTGTGGGGAGAGCTCGGTTTTGGCGGTGAAATCGGAAGCTGAGGAGGTGGAAGTCGCAGATTGCCGGTTTGCAGGGTGTTTGATTTGGTGGGCTCTGGTGAGGGAAGAGTTGACGAGGGAGTTGAGATTCTGGTAAGGGCTCGAGAAGGAAGTGGGCGGGAGGAGATGTTGTTGCAGAGGGAGGGTGATTGGGGAAGGGGAGATGAAGGAAGGAAGGAGAGTGAAGAGGATGAGGAAGAAGAAGAAGGCAGCCATGGAAGGGACCATGACAGCTTCTGTTTGTGTTTGGAGGTCTGGGTTTGGGAATTTTCTGGAGAGAGGGAAAGAGAATGGAATGAAAGCACGTTTGTGGAATAAATATAGGTGTTTTAGAGTTGATGATAAGGAGGGTAGTGGATGATGGTTGGCATTGGATAATGGAGAGTGATGAGCATGGAATGGATAGAGGAGCTTTGCTCTGCTTTTTCTGATACTTTTGCAGTAAAATTTACAGAGCCTGCTGGGAGATTGGAGATGGGAACACAAGTTGGACAGTGGAACCTGAATTTATATTGAAGCATCCTGTTTATGCTCTCTTCAGCTTCAGCACGCACACTAGCAAGCCAAATCACCGGGTATTATGGTTTTTGATACCGAGCAAGTGTAGTTGGTGTTTAGTGATGGCAATTTACTACTTAATTAATTCGTGATACGATCTGTTTAGATATGTTTAGAGTGGGTATTGCTTGATCTGCAATTGCGTAGGGCGGATGGGTATTGCTTACGATTTGTCTCGCCCCGTCTCTGCTCATTCTACAATGATTTACATCAATATCTACTTATGTTTCTTCTTTTGACCTTTTTAAAATTATATTTCATCTCAAATAAATTTTAAAACTCTTTTTTCAACTATTTATACTCAATTGTTTCTTTTACTATATTTCTCATTCATTTATGAAGTGTTTCTCTATGTAATATTCTAAAGGAGTAGAATATCGATGTAAGAATGGACAGACCTGCCTTGATACGTACCCACACCACACATATGGTACCTGCCATGACCCCTGCTTAGTGCGTGGCGGATATAGGTATTGAGGTACCCGCCCCACCTCATTGTCATCACCGTTGGTGTCTCAATTAGGATGAAAGAATATCCACAACATGTTAGTTGCTCGATTCGAAACACATGAATCAAATCAACTATTGGATGGTTGGAATTTGTAATGGGTGGGTTAGCCGATTTTTAAACTGAAATCTACCCACCCATGGTTTTGATAGGTGATGGAAAAATTACCGTTATACCTATCCATTTGTACAATATGAGTGGGTTGGGTGAGTGATTGCGAATGGTGCATGGTAAATGAGTTTGCGGATTTTGGTGGGTAAAAAAAGTTTTCGAATAATAAGATAACTACGGGCTATAAAAGCTTGCAATTTGCTAATTGAATATCAAAGCTACAAAAAACAAGAAAGCATATCACAATTAAGCATAATTTATTGCATAATCTAAGATCAATCAAATCATTTGAGAACAAAATAACATTCGATGGATAGTCATTATATTTTTTTAATAATTGACGTATAATTTATGTTATAAAAAACAAAGTCTGTAGAAAATGGTGATTATTTAATTGAATCAATCACGATTAATATTTTAAGATGGAAAAATAGGTATATTATTGTAAAATGTAGACTAGTGACAACTAAAGTCGGGTTGTTTTGTGGGATAATGACCATGTACGCGCCACTCTCTCAAATTTTATGGGTCATACAAAAAACAACTCACACCCACTCATTATATCCACCCAAAATCCAAACACTTGTTGGATGCATTATAATTGGGTGAATTCAGATGGATTTAGTAGTTCACTCGCTCATTGCTCATCCCTATTCGAAAATCTAAATATGTACAACAATTCTTCTACAAGTATATTGTTTTACTTATTTACATTGGAGATACTTAATTTAGAGGTTATCTTCTGGTTCATGGACCCATTCCACTCTCTTACTGCACATTAGTTAATCATTGTTATCCATTGATTACACTCTTTTTAATAAAGTGTGGAGGGACATGTAATGATGGAGATTAAGGGAAATTAAGGAGGAGAGAACGGGGAGAAAGTTGGGCCGTTGGGGGGCACTAAGCACCCAGAAAAAACGGCCAGATCGAGGCGGGGAATGCCGCGGAAAGTAGGGAAACTTCGTTCGTGATTTGGTGGGAAGAGGAAGACCATGAAATGAATCGGCCGTTGATGGCTGCTTCTGATGATGGCGATGGTCGGAGGAGGGAGAGGAGTAGTGGCTTGCTAGTGGTGGGTGCAGCTTTGCCTTTCTCGTGATATCAAAGTAGCCGTTGGTTGTGCACTTTGGCACACTCTGCCCTTCATTTTCGGTGCTGTTTACGTGTTTAGAGAGAGAGAGAGGGTGCTCTCAATTCTCATACACGGATACAAAATGAGTAGAAATGGATTTATGATAGTATGTTATATCGTTATATTAAACTAGCGTGACCTAGGCCAATTGATCGAAGGAAGGTGAGGTATGAAATTTGATAATGTAATGGGGTGTATAGCTTATTATTATATAGTTTTTTTTGGGAAACACGTGATTAAAATAGTGAATTTTAGTAGGAAAAAGACATGAATGATGCAACGAATCAACAATCAGCCTTATGAACAAAAATCAAGTACCTGTTACCTTGTGAAACAATATTGTTTCTGGTAATATGATGAGATGGAGTAAGTTTTATAGAAACTGAATTCCAGAAAATCGAATAAAAATCGCCTATCCTGTCGGTTTTCGGGAAATGAGCATCTCACAATCGTTGCTAGCTTTTACTCGGCTCGTTGGCCGATTAATTTGCTTTATAAAACTTTCATCTTGTCGTCATTGTGCTTTCTCGTTTTTGTCAAGCCATGATAAAATCTGAAGAAATCAAGAATGAACAACACGATTTGGGATACGAACCGCCGTTCCTGTATCCCTAGAAAATGGTGGTAAACACGGACTCACCTACCAAATTGGTTTGGATTGAGATTTTTATCGGGTATCAGGGAACCATGTGATTATAAATTAGACTTGATCAAAACGGTCCAAAACTTGAAATTCAGCCTGTTTGACCGACCCATGCCAAACTCTAATTATTCTTTACTTTTAAACTTTCTATTTGAAAATAAAAAATAATGAAATAAAAGAGATGACTGCAATTCGCCATTTGCACATCACTAATTCGGGAATAAAACTATAGAATTTCGAAAGAAAACTGAAAATGTTTAGGATAGTTTTAATGTTAAAAATAAACAAATAGATCTTTCTGTTTATTTTTTTACTAACAAATACCCCACCATGCTTTCTTTTTCTTTTGGATGATGTATTATTGGGCTGACCATTGGACCTAACGTATTGTGTTTGAGTTCTTCTGTTCCCTTTAGCTCTGCTTTTTCCTGACTGGTCCCCTCTCCAGTCCGCTTCACTCAGACTGGTCCCCTTCCAGTCTCATACAGTCCGTGCACACCGGTAACATCGTTCCCCTTATCCTTCCCTCTTCTCCATTGAGGGCAATGTCGATCTTAAGTGTGGGGAGGATGTTTCTCTTTTGACTGCATTATATCTGTTTGTGTGCTTGGAGCCTAGTCCACTGTCCAAATTTTTTAATTTGAGGGCTCCAATTACGTGTTTCCTTGCAAATTGCCTGCTCAGTATGCTTTGAATTGACAGTCTCTATAGTAATGTGCAACCTAGGGAGGTAGTGTAGCACTATGGAGGATGTTGAAGTATAAGATTTTTCCTATCTAGCTCTCTGTTGTGCCAGTTGATTTTGTGAATTAGTGGAGCTAAGACCGTTGAATTCATGTGGTAATAGGTGACTCTGTTTGGATTGTGTTATGGACTCGTGTATCGAACAGGGTGCTCATGTGAAAAATGAAAAGCAGCTGGTCCTCCATGTCGAAATCATTAAATCTTAAACATGGGGAAAGCCCAACGTGTGTGGCACCGTTCATTGCACAAAATCGGGTTTTGGAAGAGATTTTAGTGATCCTTAATGAGGTACTCCTACAAGGTGAAGCTAAGCTGTCTCTAGTACAAGTAAAACTTCCACCCGTTGAACGGTTTGCCTACTTGAGGATGTGTTTTTAAGGGCACGGATAGAGCTTCCGACCCCCTTAATTTCATTGACCATCCACACGAGTTGAGGGAAAGGAGTTAAAAGTAGTACTCTGGCGAGCGCCAGAGGTACAAAAATTGCTCTTGCTCGACTAATAAGGGTCGATCGTGCAAAAGATTGCAATTGGAACCCCCGCTAAGTGAATGAAAAAAAGGAAGTAAAATGAAAGTGAAAAAGGGGTTCCAACGGCGAAATGAAATGAAAGAGCACCCCGGTACAACGAGTCCTTGGTTGTGAATGGTGTGAGTCCCTTTATCCATGAACTGACCGTCTTACTTCTACTTCTTCTCATGATCCTGGCTTGAGTCTAGTACTCGCATTGAGAGAGATAGAGGACGTCTTAGAAGACCAGTTGACCTTGTAAGCTGCTTTATGATCTAGAAAATCCTCTACCGACGATCGGGGTTGTTTGTTGCTATAGAGGTCTGGAGAGTTGCATTGGTTTGAGTTAGGTTTGCTTGGGGACAAGCAAACGATTAAGTGTGGGGGAGTTTGATAGACCATTGATTACACATGTTTTTACCCCTATTCTTGAGCCGTTTGAGATGTTGATTCTCGTGTTTTAAGCCGTATTCACGCTAGGTTGTGTGTTTATGTCATATTTCAGGGCTTAGCATTGGCATCAAGGCGAAGAAACGAGTTTCGGGTCGAAAGGAGCACGTTTGGGGTGAAGTGTGCTGTAGGAGAAAAATACCGGACCATGAGCAGAAATACCCGGCCGGGTATTATTTGTAGCAGACCGGGGATTTGACGCTTCGGGCGTCTCTGGGAAGCAGAAGGGGGCCCGAGCAGTGAGCAGAAATCCCCGGTCGGGGATTCTTGGACTTGACCGGGGATTTTCCCCTTTTACCCGACGATGCGTTTTAAAAATGCCCGGTCTCCACCCAAAATACCCGACCGGGTATTCAGGCCGGGGATAGCGACAGACAACCTCTTAAGGGAAAAGAAGGGCAAAACTGCAAAAGAGAAGGGGTTCCGAGTTTGAGAGAGAAAAAGTGATACCTAGAGAGATAAAGTGACGAACCTGATTCTGCAAGTGTCCTTGATCGATCTCCATCACCATTGGAGAGCGGCTTGAGCCTGGAGAAGAGCTGATTGAGTGTCAGAAGTAGATTATCATCCTTCACAGTATGGTTTCCGCATCTGAGCTAGATTTCTCATCTCTCTCTATGGAGTAACTTTCTTATTCACCTGATATGAAGAACCCTAGATTTGTATGTTAGGTATGATTGTATGAACCCAAGTACAGATTCAGTGGTATGATTATGTTCAATTGAGGTTTGATTTGTTGAATGGCATGAATCCTGATCAAATTCATGTTGTTTCTGCTTTAACCTAGAAAGAGAATATCTGCCTAGGTTGATAGAGCACCCTTGATTGAAGGTAGTGAATTGGCGACTTTAGTCGAGGAGTCAATTCACTATTCTGTACCGAATTTACTTCGGTAGTGGAAGTTTGGTTCGTTAGGGCCTCAATCTGTTTACTCTAGTGGAGGTTAGTCGCCCGCTGGAGACTCAGATTGAGAGGGTCTGGAGACCTTTAGTCGAGACTTCAGACTGTTTAAGAATCTCCCGCAGTATAACTATCATTGAACCTGAACTTGGTAAATTACAATCCGGCTTAACTACAGTCTAGGGGGAACCATATCCCGGTGACCTCTCTCGACTTGAAAACAACCTTTTTACTTGCTTTGCTGGTTTGCTTGTTTTGACCTTCACTAAAGTTTCATTGCTAAATAATAAGAACTCACGGATTAGTCATCACATCTAGGACCCGGGTTGACATTAGAACCCAAACCCGCTATACTACGCTTTAGGAGGTGGTTACACTTGGCCATTTTCTAGAGTGACAGTAGAGCGAGTCAATCCGCCAAACCACTCTCTTTAATCCGCCAAACAGATGCGGATCGCAAATCCTGAGGTCCACCGAATGAGGGTCACAACAAACTGATGTCCACCGCCCCAAACCGAACCAGGCTCTGTCAGGATAAGGACACATGATGGTTTTGTTCGCACCTTGAACAATGTTAGGCATATTCCGGAGATGACTAAGAATCTGATATTTTTGAGTCTACTCGACGACAATGGTTTCGATTTCAAAGGTGAAGGTGGAGTGTTATATGTCTACAAAGGTTCCAAGGTGATTTTGAAAGGTGTCAAGGTTGGTGCCTTGTATGGTCTACAAGGTTCTGTTTTGACATGTTCTGTTGATGATGAGTGCACCAAGTTGGTTTTGAATGACAAGTCTCAGCATGGGTTGGACTTGCCAAATGGCTCAATTAGTACGATATTGTCTGCTTTGGACCAAGCCCACACAATTTTACTTTTGGGTGTCCTCCCCAAAAGGTCTCATACTAATTCAACATGTGGACACTAATATACAAGGGTCCCTTCCCTTGTATTTCCAATGTGGTACTTGGATTGTCCCATAATAGTTAGGCCAAAACTTTACTGGACTTGGGTCATTTGCAGTTCTAGCGCCCCGCCTGCCATCGAGTTCGTCGCGGATCCTCGTCTATTCTTTTCTGTTTCTTTGACCATACCTCCCTCCGCACAAACAACAGAGAAAACAAGTGTCAGATGCCGCTATCTTCCTCCGTCATTCCTCCCACCTGATCGTTGCGCATACCATTGAAGAAGATTACCAGGCCAAGTGCTCTCGCTTCATATGCTCTGTACCACCGCACAGACAATCAAAAATACGATAGCTAATCGTTGCAAGTATGCTCTCTAACGCTATCTACTCCCCTACTCCGTCCGGTGTCTTCTATCGCATCACCGTCCTCCGATCTGGGTTGTTGAAGCCGCAACCGGAGAAGAAGGCAAAAGCCGTCGGAACCCCTCTACTCTGCCTCTCCTTTGTTGTCGCTCAATGTTGTTGGAAGAAGGTCAACTAGAGAAGGAGACGAGATTAATGGGCGGGTTGGAAATAAATGCTTGTGCTGGGTGGTTAGGTTAGGCCATTTGGTTGATTAATGTGGCGGGTTTAGCTAACTGTATGTTTGTATTGGTCGTTTTTTTTTTTTGTTGTTAAAATTTGGTGAATCTACATTTCTCTTAACCACGTAAGTAAAATACTGATGGTGTTAATGGAGATTGACAGGACTAACGAAAAGTGACCAAATTTAAAATATTAAACTAGTCTTATTAACCACTAATAAAATAAAATATTTTTAGTAACCAAGTGTTAAATTTTCTAGTTACGCCAATGATCAAACTTGCAATTTACCTCCTGGATTTCCAAACAAATTCTATGAAAAAAGGAAAGAGTTCTTCCGCCGGGCTGACGCAGTCGGATCCACGTCAAACCGCCAAGAAACCCTACCGTCCAAACAGCTCATTTCGCGGCATTTTTGCTTCTTCCGATTCACCGGAGAAGAAAGCAGCAAAGCACAGACATAGCAAGCATTCATCTCGCATTACCATCGGCTTCTTCGTAGTGCCGTAAAGAATTTTCCAGTTTCCACGGGTCTGGAAACCCGGCTTGCCTGGCCAAACCCGCCCCCAATTTGGGAGGGAATCGCATTTCAAATACTGGATTTTCGCCGGCACTTCTCCAGAGCCAAATAACCCTTCCAGTCCACACTCCGGTAGCGGCCGTATCACTCTCAGCTAGTTAAAAAAGCACTAGCGGAAGTCTGCCTTTCGGGAAATGGCGACTGCTGCTGCGTTTGGAGTGACGCCGCACAAGGTCTCGGTCTGCGTTCTGCTCCAGATGTACGCGCCGCCGGCGCAGGCCGAGCCTCTTTTCTCGGTGTCTCAGCACAATCACCTTGGCTTGTACTTGTTAGCTCTCACTAAGGTTTCTCTCTCGCTCTCCCTCTCCCTCTCACAGACTTTCTATTGAATTTGGAGGGAGTTGTTCATTCAATTTTCTGCAGTCACATGGCGATTTTCTGGAGCCCAAACTGGCCGACCTTCTGACTCAGTTGAAGGAAATTAGCGGTTCCTTGGGTGATTGGTTGATTGAACATTTGACGAGTAGGCTCTCTTCTCTGTCTTCACCTGATGATTTGGCCGCTCTCTTCAGTGAATTTCGAGGTTCAATTCTCATTTGCCTTCTTTTGTTTGGTTCTCGGGTCACTACTGTGATTGATTCTCTTTCTGCTGCAATGGCTCGTGGACTTACTTGAACGACTGTGGCTCTGTTCAGGGATACTTGGTGGAACCGAACCTGCTGTTATTGAAGACAATCAAGTTGTTTTGGACCCAAACAGCTACCTGGGGATGTTTGTCCGTCGTTGCATACTTGCTTTTAACCTCTTATCGTTCGAGGTATTCTGCGTTTTCTACTATTGTGACAGTCAAACTTTTCATCATACACCTTGAATTGGGAAGCTTTGCTACTCTTCTTACTGAGCTAAGAGCTCCTAGCAGTGTATATCTTCAATTTTGTAGGTAATTGTGTTGTTGGCCTCAAGTGGTGCTGTAAGTCCTAGCATGCTTTTCGGCTTGGCTTTTACTGAGGAAATTTAGAATGAGGAAGAAATTGTGAAGGAGAATAGTTTGCAACTGTTTGAACAGATGTGAATTCCTGTGCCATTGAACTTGTATTTGCTTGTTGCTAGGGGTTCTGCTCCATTCTCTGTTACTTGGATCCAAGTACTCCCTTTATCTCTCAACTCAGGAAGTAATTATTTGTGGAAATTGCTTCATTGCAACTGCTCAATTAGGAATTCGGGAATTAAAGCATTTTGTAATCATGTGTTGGAGAACACGGTGGCTAGCAATACTTGATATTTAACTGGTTACTTTAGTCAACATTTCGAAAAATACTTTTGGTTATTTATAATATGTTCCTAACGTAGAAATTGCAATGCAAAGATTAGTTAGAGAAACCAATCCTATGTTCGTCAACTAAATTTGCATGCATTTTACTTTTCTTTTAATCCGTCTTTGATCTTGAGTAGGAAGTTTGACACTGTGATGCTGCTAAATAGTACCTCACTGTTATTTCTGAATGCAATTCAGGGTGTCTGCCACCTTTTGACAAATATTGGAAATTACTGTAAAGAAGCCCTCTCAAGTTGCCTCCCATATGAGCTGCATGGTTTAGATGATTCTGTTAATGATTTGGAGTCATCATCAACGTACGAGAACATGGACTTGGAAAATATTGTATTTCAGAAAGTAACAGAAGAAATGGAAGCAAACAAGCAGCCCAGTCAACGGAACTCTTTTCACCTGCATACGCCCAAAGCACTCTCTGGACTGGTTCAAGGTATGCCTAGTTTTTTTCCCCCGAAATTGCATCTGAATGAATTCATGAGCTGTCAGTGTACAATTCATTCTGTCGCGAGGAGAAAGATATCCTTTTGCTGTTATTGAAGTTTGACACTACCTCTTGTGTTAGTTTTGGCAGAGTGTGTTTTTCTTGTGCTTTGATAAAAGGTTTTGTAAAGAATTTTGCTTCTGAGTGCAACATAGTAAAGTTATACTTGTGTGGTCATTTCTTAAGCTTTCTAAATTAATAAGCAGGATCAATGAATGTGCAGATATAGAGATCCTTGCTGGTTCAATATCCAATCGTGCTGGCAAAAGTGGAGAAACTTGTTCCAGCTTGGATACCAGTGCAAGTGGAGCACGACACGCTGATACTTCTGGGGATATGTTCCTGAGAACAACAAGCCAACTACAAGGCTTCTTCATGGAACAGGCAGATGCAATTGAGAAGTAACTTCATGTTTGTTTGTTTGCACTTGTGTTTTCTTGTAGCTTTATTTTTCTTATGCCACATGTCTTCTTCAAATTAATAGATGCGCTCTTGTTGCAGGGATGGTTGTTCATTCCCCTTAAATGGCTTTGAAGTTATCTTAAACCGCATTAAAAAGTTGGCACCTGAGCTACACCGTGTAAGTAAACAAGAGTACTCAAGTTGAATTTTGCTGCATTGATAATAATTTTGTTGATTAAAGTTATTTGAGGTATCCTCGCACTAATGTGTGTGGGGTGGGGGATGTATTTGGTTCCTCAAAACCATCACCACTTACTAGAAACAAATAGAAATCAGTGTGTCAATCTAGTTTTAGTACCTAAGTAGCTGCCTCTTGCATTTTAAAGGGTGTCCCTTTGTGCTTCCTTTGTTTAGTCTTTCTGTTTCCTCTGTCATTCCTTCAGCTGCTATGTTTTCATCCAGGTACACTTCTTACATTACTTGACTTGCCTTTATCATGACGATTATTTTGGTGCTTTGGAGAACCTCCGACGTTTTTTTGATTACAGGTAACTTGTACAAATCTTTCCATTTTCTGATTCGATCCGACCCGGTTGTTGGTAGAGCTATAAGCTATTTATTTGATCATAGACATTTCTGGAACCCCTCTAACGGAGGGACAAATAGTAAATTTTGAAAGAACTTATTGTCTACCTTTTTCGGATATGAATCTATCTAACCCATGCGATATAATAGAATGCTGCTTGTCATGTTAAAGTTTGATTGAGATTTTCCCTGTGCTATAGGAGCTTGCAGTTATTTCCTTTTACTGCACGTTAGAATTAATAACTTATTTGCTTCTCTATGGTATGACTTTTCTTGCCCCAGTATCTTCCTTGTATATTTCACATGTTACTGTGGGAGCAAAAAGTTGGTACTAGTTACATGTTCAGAGAATTAGTCATGACAAAATCATAGTTTGGCGAAAGTTGGTCAATGAACCTGATAAATGGTCAAACACATGACTGAACCAACAACTGTATGAGCATTGAAGCTGTGGCTATCTTACTGCTAAATGCTTTCTGTCAAGAAATTTAAAGGAACTAGGTAGGAGTAAACATGAGCAGCTTCAAGAAGTTATTGAGACTAATCAATGTTGATAAAGTATTGCACTCGGACATGATATGATCTACTGCAGGATATGCCTATATTATGACATTTCCTTCCACCACATGAATGTTTATAATGTGTAGAAGCTAGATATAATGGCTATTCATGTATGGCATACAATACTATGTGACATAATTGCATAACAACTGGGTACTTGCTGACACTGAGAGCCATCAGAGGTTCTTGGCTTGTTAAAAGGGAAACAAAGAAAAAGAAAATAACAAGAAATTAGAAGATAGAATGGGAACATTCTAGGGAATTAATAGTTTGAGGAATGGTGGTATTTGTGGAGTCGGATATATCAGTACTTATAACTGAAAACTAGGTAGTTTGCAGAAGTCAACACAAGGCTTGTTGCTGAAGATAAACATGTACTTCATGCTGAAAGCAACTTTTGTGTTTCCTGGAATCTCAGGCATTGAGATTAACTCATTCAGTGGAAACCCAACTTTAATTGCTGATCTCACAAGGCTATGTTTGCTCTTTTGAAGAAGGATTAAGAATGTACGCCTTTAAGTTAGCTCCACGAAGTCTTTTTCTCCCTCCTCTTTGAGCATTGTCTTCTTGTAAATGTCAACTTCTCTTTGATAAGCTATTATCTCAGATATTTTTCTCCTGGGTTTGGTGGGAATATTAAGTTTCCTGCTTATGTCACAAAAGTGTAGGGATCGGTGGATTTGATATTACTCCTGTACCTTCACGATCGAAAGGATTTGAGAGATATGAGACAGGACTGTTGTGTTTGGGAATGCTGCAATTCCACTTTGGGCATCCAAAGCAAGCTTTGGAGGTACGCATGGGAATATTACTTTTCCTGATTTGCTTATCTCTGTCCTGCTAATTTATGCAAAACATAGAATTTGGCAGTTACATGTGCCCAGCTGGCCAGTGGTTTTGAGCTTTATGAATCTCAGTTTTATAGTTGTGTTCCAAACTGACCTGCACCGTGGTATAAGCAGTGGAATTTGTTGAAGTATTCTTTGTAATCCTAGTCCTTAACTGTCTTAAATTCTGGAAACCCATATGGAAAAATTGTTATGATAATTATTTGCAGCGAAGTTAAAGTGAAATAGTCTGTCCTTGGTACCTTCCTTGGTCTGTCGAGCTGAGCCCATATGTTTTTTCTATCTTGTATTTCTGTTGCTCTCTTGTTTTCTTTATGTAATTGTTCTGAACTACACATTTATTTTCAGGTTCTGACTGAAGCAGTCCGTGTTTCTCAACAGGTAAGATGCTTCTTTTTTTCATTTTATGTTGAAAAAGAACTGGAAAAATATTATGGCAAGAAATTTTTTCAATATGTCAACTAGCATAAGGTTGGTGGTGATTTACTTTACCTGTGGTGGACAGCTTAATGTACACAAGTACTCAATGCCAAGCTCTCCCCTTATGTAGGAAAAACCCTCGGCATGTGATCTGAGTTTTGCATTCAAGGATTGTTTAAAACCTTTAATTTGGATGTATTCCAAGAAGACAGTATTTAAAAAAATTCATCGTTATGTCACAAAAACTTACTGCAATGCATGCATTTGAAAGAAGATGAGGTGCTTAGAGTACATTGAAATTATATATTTTCAAATTCAAACTCTGTAGAGAATTGATTTATTGGTTTCCCTCGCAAAATCCAAAAAGTGTGGTTTTCACAAAACATGAGCTCTTACAATCAGGTCATATACATGCTTAACATGCTTATTTCATGTAATGTAAAAGTACATGCATTATTAGAATTCCAGACTAGCCCTCAACTCCTGCTGCTTGTTACCTCCTCTGCATATTTTCTGGATTCCGCAATGAACTATTTGTGTTGTTGCTTGGTAATCCTCTGTCTGTGCAGCAAAGTAATGATAGTTGTCTTGCATACACTTTGGCCACCATCTGCACCTTATCTTCAGAAATGGGTAGCTCCAGCACGAGTGGGATGCTTGGAACATCATATTCACCTACTGCTACCATTGGCACATCATTGTATTTCAAGCAACAATTATTCGTTCTCTTGAGAGAGGCTCTTAAAAGAGCTGAAAGTTTGAAGTTGAAAAGGCTGGTCGCTTCTAATCGTCTGGCAATGGCCAAGTTTGACTTAATGGTAAGAATGGTTAAGCTCTCTTCCAGGTCTTGGTTGCTTTTTTGGACCTCGTTTTCAGTCTTGGATCATATGCATCTACTTCTCTGTACGATGTTAATTTTCTGATTAGTTGTTTTAATTAATGCATTTATACTATTATGCGCAGAATGTTCAGAGACCACTGCTATCATTTGGTCCCAAAGCATCCATGAAGCTTCGAACGTGTCCAGTCACGGTTTGTAAGGTATGTGGTCGTAGTTGCTGCTGTTTCCTCAAATGACAAGCCAAACATGTGCCAATCCTTCCACATATTAATTTTCTTGCAGGAACTGAGATCATGCTTGCATTTGGTTAGTGAATATGGCTCTGAAAGCCCTACAATGACAATTGAAGGTGCTTTTAGCACAGCATGGCTTAACAATTTAAGAAGACCAATGGGTGCATCAGTGTTGTCCCTAGACAATGGAGTTGGGGAGGGTTCTAATGCCTTTCAATTCTGTGCTCAACCAAGTTCAATTCCCAGATCTGTTTTGCAATTAGTAGGTTCTTCATACTTGGTTCGTGCTACTGCTTGGGAGATATATGGAAGGTGATTCTTTCCGAAGGATTTTAATAGAATTTACTAATGTTTTTCTACTGTCAGAGCCAAGTGTGTCTGCCCTCCCTTAATTATTGATAGTCATGCTGCTCCTACAACGCTCCCCTCTTTTTCTAACTTCAGACTCTGGCCTGTTGGCTGTTTGCTTTAATCCAGTATTACTTGGCTGTACAAGAACATACTATGTGCTTTTTATGATGCAGTTTTTTTGTACATCCTGCTGTGTACTTTAAAGTTTTGGATTTTACTTGCTTGATCACTCTAACCTTGGACCTCTGTAAACAGTGCTTCCCTTGCTCGGGTGAACTCATTGGTCTTTGCAACTTGTTATCTTGATGCTTCAAGGTAACTATGATGCTAAAATTATGACCTCTCTCTCAAATTATGCATTCATCTACATGATTATGTTTTGATCCTTTGTTGGACTTGGTTTGGTGCAAAGTTCGTCAGATGCAGCATTGGTGCATGCAAAGCTGATCCAGCACTTAGCAACGTTTCAAGGATATAAAGGTTGGATTTATGGAATCTCTTATTTGCATTGTGCTATTATCTGGAAGATCGTTACCATGTTATTTCATTTCATGGAATTCTAACATGAACTTTCTTTATCCAGATGCTTTCTCTGCTCTCAAAGTAGCTGAGCAGAAGTTCTTATCCATCTCAAGACCAGTAATTTTGCTACTTAAACTGCAGCTGCTCCATGAGCGTGCTTTGCATAGGTGATGGCACTGATGGGCTCTACTTTTTGTTCGTATTTTATACACTTCGAGACTTGTAAACTTCAAGTTGTTTAATTGACTATACAGAGGAAATCTGAAGTTAGCATTACAACTGTGTAATGAGCTTGGAGTATTAGCATCGCCTTTCAATGGTGTTGATAATCAGCTGAAAATTGAAGCAAGCATGCGCCATGCCCGGACATTGCTTGCAGCCAAACAGTACAGACAGGTTAGCAGGCCTTGTTTCAGCAAAACTTCAACTGGCAATCTAAACAGTACCTATTGATTCAGAATAGATCCTCCCACCTTTATCTTTCCTGAAGTTGATGAACTTGATTGGTTGTGAACTCTGATGTTAAACATTAACTTGATTGGTTGGTTACGTGTGCGTGCGTGAAAAATGGGATTGTTTGGTCCTCGTTGTCTAAACCAAGTTGGAATAATATACCTCTATTGTACTGGTTTGTCTTATGTGTTTGATGTAATTTCATGCAGGCATCAGAAGTTGCTCAGTCTCTCTTCTGCTTGTGCTACCAATTCAACTTGCAGGTTGAGAATGCTAGTGTTCTTCTTCTGCTGGCTGAGATTCACAAGGTACAATGATAGTTGGATAATGTATGTTGACCAATGCGACTGGCTTGGAACCAAGTCTAATTTGTACTCTCACGAAAATGTTTTGCATTTGATTATAACACTTGCTACTGGTACGTGCAAATTGCCGTGTTTTAGATAACGGCGGCCAATTTACTGAATATCATTCAAAAGACCATTTTGAGATCTGACAATGGTTTCTTAGTCGATCTTACGAGGATCTATGTTTTTGCATTCTTCCATTTCTCCAATAAAGCTTATTGTTTTCCATTTTCTCCATTTTATGGGCTGATGTAATGATAATCCCTTTTTTTGTTTGTTGGCAGAAATCAGGAAATGCTGTTTTAGGCCTTCCATATGCACTTGCAAGCCTCTCATTTTGTCAGTCGTTTAACTTGGATCTCCTAGAAGCATCAGCCAAAGTGACTTTGGCAGAGCTGTGGCTGTCACTGGGAACAAACCATGCAAAAAGGGCTCTAACTCTGCTACACGGAGCTTTTCCAATGGTACTTGGTCATGGTGGCCTGGAGCTCCGTGCTAGGGCTCGGCTTATTGAAGCACAATGCTATTTATGCGAGCCAAACTATTCAGGTTTCCTCCCCTATCCCTCCTGGACTTGTGACCTGTTTTTCTTTTCATAATTGCAAGTTTTATATACTGTGAGTTGCCCTGATCTATATAGCTGACCATTTAATCTTTCAGCGGTCGAGGACTCCGAGATTGTGCTAGATGCTCTGAAGCAGGCTTCAGATGAATTTCAAGTATTGGAGGTAGGTGGTTTCTATTATTTTTTTCATACAAAAAAAAAACCTTGTATAATACGGAGTGGGTTTATTCATACATTCCTAGTTTCAATCTTGACAAATGGTCTGCATCGTTTATGGTCGAAACAGTACCACGAAATGGCAGCAGAAGCTTTCTACTTGATGGCTATGGTTTACAACAAACTGGGACGACTGGAGGAAAGAGAAGAAGCTTCAGATTCTTTCAAGAAACACATACTGGCTCTTGAGAATCCTCAGGAGGAAGAAGAAGAAGAAGATGAACCCGTATCGGAAATGCTTGTAGAGAAAAACTAACTGTAGAAGCTCTCGACAGTGTCGGGGTTTTGTATCCTTCTATGGTTGTAGCTGCTATTTCTTCGTAACATGTTCATTGCAACAATATATGCTAACAGTTCGCTCGACTTGTATAGCGTAAGTGCATGAGACATTGATTGAGTGGCAGCTTTTGCAGTCGATAGTAACTATAGGTCATCCATTAATGCCCAGTTCAGGTGGCAATCGCAGGATAGCGGGCCGTTTGCGATCGGCCTGTATTTCAATACCCATGTATGGATTTGACTGGGCCTGGGCCATATTTGAGTGGGGTGGGCGGATACGTTCTTTTTTTTTAAAATGTAACATTTCGATTTGTGTACATCAAGGTTGTCAACCCGCGGGTTGACCCGGACCCGGTTGAGTTAGTGGGTCAAGGGTTAATGGGTCACCCGTTTTAGCCCGGTTTAGCCCGGCAATATGGAAAGCGTCATTATATTGTACTTATCCTGATAAATTATATCAAATCTCATCTAACATATGAGTTATAACATATAATATTACACCAAAATAACATTTCGTACTTAGATTCAACATATAGTGAAAATTCACACACTTAGGATTCCAAAGATTGAGTTAGGCGGAAAAAAAAATCGGAAAATAGGCGCATTTCGCAAAACAAAGAAAAAAATAGCACAATTTGACCTTCAACCCAGTACCTTATGACGGTCGACCCGGCGGGTACGTGCGGCCCGTTTTTCTCAACGGGTCAGAGTCAAAGTGGATCGACCCGCGGGTTGACAACCTTGGTGTACATAAAGACCCAAGCGAAATGCTTTCCATTGGTGGAAAGGGATTTATTTGAAGAATGTAGGGCTGCACTAAGAGATTTTTAAGTTGTTACTATACTGCTCTATTGAGGTGCAGAAGAGAACATGTATAGGACTTGCTAGATCTCGTGCACTACTAAGATCTATATCGGCGCCTGCGCCTGTAAACACTAAATTTTCAACTATCAATTTTTCTTTCTGGTAGCGATTTTCAACTATCAATCTAATTACACATGATATGAGATCAACAACTGCTGAAAGCCTGAAACACGAGAGAAGAAAGAGATGGTAACTACACAACACGAGGGGAAGAAAGAATATGGCCCAAAGGGTCTGCTACTACAACCCACCACTACTTACACTTTCCATCAATCTAATTCTTCTTCAAGAAAGCATCAACCCTCGTGTTCACTCCCCTCGACAGAAACTTCATGCAGATCGGCGGCTTCACGCCAACCAACGCCAGTATTGAGCTCGGCAGCGTCCAGATCCCATCTCCACAAATCAACCCCGACGCCACCGCCGGCCCAAACGCATCCGCCTTCTCCTTGTCAACCTTCCCCCACACGAACAAGATCAAGCTCCCAACACACATGTCGATGGCGAAGTAGCCGCCGAGGTAGAACGGTATCGCCATCGCCATGGGAAGCGGTATGAACTTCGACCACCTCGGCCCGACCAGGTCCCTCAGCCCGTTGATGAGCATGGCGGCGAAGAAGAAAATGCAGCAGAGCATCAGGCAGTTCTTCGGCAGAGCAGAGAAGCCTTCCACTCCCAGCACGGACATGTTGCGGAAGACGAGAGCATATGGGGCCGGGTACTCGGACCCGGGCTGGCCCAAGTCGTCGAAGGCCTTGTAGAACAGCCAGAAGACGCAGGGGGCGATGACGCAGCCCATTGCGGTGCCGATCACCTGGCTGATGAACATGGAGCGAGGCGAGGCGAGCGTCATGTAACCTGTCTTGAAGTCCTGCATCAGGTCGGAAGCCGTGGAGACGATGTTCATGATGACGCCGCAGGCGGCCAGCCCGGCGAGGACTCCGCCGTGGGACGCCCCGACCCATGCGCCGATTGTGAAGATGGCGAGCTTGCCGTAGGTGGAGGCCAGGGACCAGTCGGTCAGCCCGGTGCCGTATGCGTTGCAGAAGGCGAGGACTGGCGCGACGATGTAGATGGCGACGATGTGGTACCAGCTGAGCTGGTGGAATATGTGGGGGACGAGGATGGCGGAGACTATGGCGATGGAGATGTAGCCGCCGACGGCGATCCAGATTGGGATTTGGTCCTTGAGGAATAGCTCGGTGCGTCTCTGTTCGTCGTAGGTCAGTGGTGGAGGAAGGGTTGTCGTTGTGGAGGATGTCGAGTTGCTGCCGCCGCCGGCGACGGGGAGAACGGTGGTGATGGATGGGTCTTTACGATAGAACTGGTTGTATAACCCATGTATGGTTCGACTGAAGACTTTGATGAAGTTGTAGAGACCATCGCCGAGGATCATGGCAATGGCGATGAATATCTGAGGGGAAAGAGTCGGAGTTTTCCGGTTAGATTGCATATACTAAACGATGAAAGTTCCGGTTCTACGTAGAGTGAATCTAGGATTAGTTAGTTACCCTGTATCCTTGGAGGCCGGAGAGACTGCTCGGTGGAAGGTCAGCAGAGTACCAGTTGCCTTTCTGGTTATTGATTAGAGGCCACATGAGACCCCAGGATATTATTGCTCCGACTAGCAAAGATATGTTGACTAGATATGGACAGATCATTCCCACACCGACGTAAATGGTAGAGAAATCAAAGAAGAATCTGCATTACAGTGATTATTATGATCACAAACTCAGACATTGAAATGAAGAAAACAAACTTGGGAAGACATTATGGCAACATTGTATAGCTGGAGCAGAGAGATAAGAGGAGATTTTTTTACTTGTGTTCATAGGCCTGGAGACCGAAAGTAGGGTAGTTCACAAATCCACAGCCATCCCCTGCCGTGAAGAACCATTGGAAGAAGCCCCACAGGAAGCTAAATGATAAGAATTTCCCCAATGCTCTGACTTGCTTCCTGCATTGTGAAGACGTGCCAGTTAGTAAGGCCCGACTGCTCGTTACATCGCAAAACAGAATAAGCAAGACAGGATGGAAAAGAGTGCAGAGGTCTCTCACTTGGCTAGCTTGGCACCCTGAGGAGTGTGGAAACTATTGATAAGGTGAGCAGTTGCAGTGCCACTTGGATAGGTCAATTTGAAGTCTACCACCATAATCTGAATCATTAACACAAATATACAAGTTAAAACAAACAACCCAATTTCTGTTCTAGTGTAACCCTGGCCTTTCTAATTAGAGAAGCATATGATTGCATGAAGGATCTGTTAAGAGATTGGCAATAAAAACACATAAACAGTGCAAAAGTGCAGTTGATTCCAACCCTTCTGTTAGGATTGCATAGCCAATGATAGCATATAGACCAAAACTGAGTCCATTTCCAGATCATGACAAGATTGCTTTGTTAGAGCTACTTTGGATTCATCACTAATTTGGTAGGCTTATGTGATGAGGATAATAGAACGTATATCTCATCAGAAGTCTAAAGCGAATGAGACTCGAAACCGAAGAACCATATTTGAGCAAATGGAAAGTTACCTTTCTGAGAGGAACCACAGAGAAAAGGCCAAGAAAGCTGACTACAAAAAGGAAGCCAATCATCCATCCCAGAGATGGTTCTTTGATATTCTGAGCGCTGTTGGCTTCTTTGGATTGCTTGGCAACTGTATCACTCATTCCAAATAGGTAACTTCCAAAACCACCTGCATCAGCCATAACAAACTCTCAAGAACACAAAATCAGCCCCCTGGCAGTAATAAGAACCACAGCAGAGTTCCTCCAAAATTTCACCTCTCATTTCCACAAAGCTCAGATGAATTTAACAAGCAACATCGATTTCCTAGCAGGAGAAATAACTAGAGGAGGTTTCTTCTCTAGAGATTCGCTACCATGATCACATCAAAACTACTTCGCCGCCGGTTAATGCTACCGACTGACCACAACAATTTCTCGGTAATCGTTGCAATTTCGCAGAATGAACAGGAACACGAAGATGAACTCAATTTTGCTCCAACAAGCAATTCAATCGCCATTTCATTTCCGAAAACAGCAAGATCAGTACGAAAGCAAGCAGTTAATTAAAAAAAGAGAGAAAAGGCAGGAGCGGTTACCGCTGAAGGCGATTCCGGAAGTGGCGACGACGCAGGTCTGAATGACGGTGTTCTCCTGACGAGTGAACGGCTGCTTGAGCATGCCGGACTTCTGAAGCAGCTTGGTCCAGGTCTTGACGAAGAAGAATCCGAGCAATCCGGCGGAGACGTTGAGCGACGGGATTATACCGGTGGTGAGGTTGAGCTTCATGACGATGAAAGTGAACAGAACCCCTAGGATGAGGCTAACGACGAACGCCCTGAACGTGAGCTGCTTCTGCCACGGCGGCACCTCCTTCGCCTCGAAGATCTTCTCCACTGATTCCAGCTCCAATTCCATAGAAGACGACATCGTCTTGCCAACCTTCCTTCTGCTCGCCGTCGTCGTCTTCTCTTCCACTTCGTCGGCGTAGTAGCTATCTTCTTCCCGGCCGCCGCTGAAGTTTCTCGCAGTCGCCATTTTTTGGGATCTACGGTGGGGGAGAAATCGGAGCGCTCTGGTTTGCCTGTGTATTTATATCGCAGTTCCGCGTGTCTTAAATGTTGGTTACTTCAGGGGCATATACGGAAAAGACGCAGAGATGTAATGTAAAGGGAATAAGGGATTCAGATGGATAAGATAATAAAAAAAATGGGCGAGATTCGTAATTTTCCCATGGATTTGGAGTGTGGGGGAGAATGACAATGGACGGATTATTGGCCACCTATAATTCGAACCCAAGGTCCGGTTAGTACGGTTCAACCGTCAACCCTTTTTAAATTACGGAAATAGACAGACCACAGTGTGGGTTTGATTTGTAATTTGTCTGCAGAGAACCAGCAATGGGCCAATGGCGTCATGCAGGCGCCAGCCGGCCATTCCGATTTGATTGACCGATGAAGCGGCGTTTTGGATATTTTGCCCTTTTTGCTTTTTGCTTTGCTGCCAGCCATAACTGTTGACTAAACGAGTGATGGGCTCATAGCACGTGTAATTTCACTAATTTGATTTCATAATGCAAATCCGGGCCAATTACCTGAATGACCACCGAACTTTTTGAGGAACCAAGTTCCAGTACCCCACTTTCAGTAGATAATATGCTAGCATTTTGATTAATTAACGTGAAATTTGGAATTACGAACATAATTGCAACTACGTCCATCCATATCCAATCTTTGTGGTGTAGGCGTGTAGCTGGTAGCTACATAGTTCTATCATATATTCACTATTTATGTTAAAAAATTTCGATGGCGTGTTATCTTTATGAAATTAAATATATATATATATATATATATAAAAGTCATCCCAGAAGAAGATGTATGATTTTCGTACATATGCTAATAACTCAAAGTGCATGTATCAATTTCAAACATTACTTATAAGACTATTAATCACATTGTGATTTTTGTGACCGAATGCATGCTCGATGAAGCAATACAAAGCAAGAATAAAATAATGAATGGGAACACTAGAAAGAAGGATTTGGAAATGATAGTGGTAAACAAGGTTGTCAACCCGTCACTCGCAGGTTGACCCATTTTGACCCTGACCCAGTGAGGAAAACGGGCCGTGCGCACCCGCCGGGTCGACCGCTACAAGGTACCGGGTTGGAGGTCAAATTGTGTCATTTTTTTTCCTTTGTTTTGCGAAATGCGCCTATTTTCCGATTTTTCTTTTCGCCTAACTCAATCTTTGGAATCCTAAGATGAACATTTGAATATTAATGTTATATAAGTGTGTGTGAATTTTCACTATATGTTGAATCTAAGTACGAAATATTATTTTGGTGTAATATTATATGTTATAACTCATATGTTAGATGAGATTTGATATAATTTATCAGGATAAGTACAATATAATGACGATTTCCATATTTCCGAGCTAAAACGGGTGACCCATTAACCCTTGACCCACTAGCTCAACCGGATCCGAGTCAAACCGCGGGTTGACAACCTTAAGTGGTATCTATCTATCTCTATAATGTATGTACTTGAGTGTTGACTTGGAAAAAAGGATAGTTCGCAGTTTCAAAGTCACCTTTGGGGTTTCCCCTTTTCAGTCAAATGTGTTTAGGTCATGTCTTCCAAAACCGATTGGAAAATATTGTTTTTGGTTATCTGTATTTTGAATGGATCCAGTTATTTTTACAGAGGTTTATTTATAGAAGTGGTTAGATATTATATATAGACTTCTCTTAACAATCTGAATTATTGGAATCAGTTGATTTATAATTTCCTATAATATTAAAATTAGTTTGTCTTTCAGGTCACGTATTCAAATTCTCGTAACCCTCAATATTAAATCGGTAAGTTCTCGATCCAATACCGCAATTACTCGATCCAAGCCAAATGGAACTAAAGTACTAACTGACAAATTGTTTTGTTTTTTTCTCCGGTGGGTAGCTTAGCGTCATGGCGTGCAAATACGCACTAGGAATAGTTGCGTAGCGTTTCGTCTCGGGAGACAGCTAATTTTTGGATTTTGATGGGGGAGATTGGAAGCTTTGATTAATTGCCCTTTGGCTGGCCTGACCACATCTCCAGCCCACTAATTTTTCTGCTGCCAATTTTATTTTCCACAGACAATTTTTTTTCCACGCGAGCGACATCATCGTCGTTCCGTATAATTGTAACTCTCGATTCAATTGGTAACCACCGAGTTGCCCAAAAATTCCACAAAGAGCTAACCCAATTATTAATGAGGCTTTCTTCCACATGCAGTAGTAATTGAACCTTCTGGTCTTTTCCTTTACTTTGAATTTCTTAGGGTTAAAAGACACATTTGGTCACTGAAATTACAAAATCGGGACATGTTTAGTCACTAGAAAAAATTAATATCAAATTTGGTCACTATAATTACTAAAACTGGACACATTTAGTCACTCGCCGTTAGTCTCCGTCCAACTCCGTTAATGAAGTCCGTTAAGTGATGATGTGGCAAACAGAATTGCCTAATCAGCCGGATATAACCCAACAAAAATAAAACCCGACCCGCCACGTCATTTAAACCAACCCAACCCAACCCATGACCCAACTCCACCCAACCCTTCTTCCTCGCCTCCTCCCCGGCATCCGCTGCCGCCGCCAAAGCCTTCCTCCTCCCGCCGGTCTCAATCGCCTCCGCCTCCTCACTCTCCTCCCTCAAAACCCTCCCGCTCCGACTGACCTCCAGATCCAGACGATTCTCCCCCACCAGATCCACCGCCGCCGCGGTACCCTCAATCTCCGCCTCGATCTCCGTCGGCGACAAGCTCCCCGACGCCACGCTCTCCTACCTCGACGCCGACGACGAGGTCCAGACCGTCACGATCTCGTCCCTCACCGCGAGGAAGAAGGCCATCCTCTTCGCCGTCCCCGGAGCTTTCACCCCGACCTGCTCGCAGAAGCACGTCCCGGGGTTCGTGGAGAAGGCGGCGGAGCTGAAATCGAAGGGAGTCGACACAATCGCCTGCGTCTTAGTGAACGACGTGTTCGTTATGAAGGCGTGGAAGGAGAATTTGGGGATTAAGGACGACGCCGGCTTGCTGCTGCTCTCCGACGGGAATGGAGATTTCACCAGGGCGTTGGGGGTGGAGCTGGATCTGAGCGATAAGCCGGTTGGGCTCGGGTTTAGGTCGAGGAGGTATGCGCTGCTGGCGGAGGACGGCGTCGTGAAGGTGATGAATCTGGAGGAAGGCGGCGCGTTCACTTTCAGCAGCGCCGAGGATATGGGTTGGGTTGGGTTGGTTTTAATGATGTGGCGGGTTATAATGACGTGGCGGGTCGGGTTTTATTTTTGTTCGGTTATATCCGGCTGATTAGGCAATTCTGTTTGCCACATCATCACTTAACGGACTTCATTAACGGAGTTGGACGGAGACTAACGGCGAGTGACTAAATGTGTCCGGTTTTAGTAATTATAGTGACCAAATTTGATATTAATTTTTTCTAGTGACTAAACATGTCCCGATTTTGTAATCTCAGTGACCAAATATGTCTTTAACCCGAATTTCTTATAATAAGCAATGTTTGTAAAATGGTAACATATAAGCGGTTCGATCGAAAAAAATTGTCTATCCAATTGTTGGTTGGTAAACAGTTTTAACGATATAAATTGATTGAACTACAACTTCAACACAAATTTCTTTTTCTATATAATTTCCGGTACGATTTTGTAATTCTCATAGTATGTGAATGAATGTTAAACGATTTTTCTACCGCATACCACTTGAACAAGCTAATGGAGCTGGAAGGAATCGAATGAGGAACAAGATTACGGCTGGTCAAGGACCACTACAGGCCTCCATTTTTACACACTTTTAAAACTTTGGGCTAACATCTTCTTTCCCTGTCAAGTGGGCAAGTGTTCCATTGGACTATGGCTACGCAGGGAGAGATGTTTCCAATGTCTCACCAAACTCTTCCTACTTAGGACAATTGTGCTCAATTTTAAATCAAATTAAACTAAAGTAGAAATTAATTTAACTTTTATGTGGAGAACTAGATTGTGAATCATGTGATTCTAGCGAATTCGAGAATCTAACTCTTATGGTTGATTAAAATGGAGTCTAACACATTTATTATTTGGTAACTGTAATTCTTTGATGTAAATAAAGAAAAAAAAATCAGGATATATGATCTTTTATTTTATAAGAGATTGATAAACCTGTTTCCGAGGGATTTTGAATTTACAAAGCTAGAATTTCAAATGTTAAATTCAACAAAGTAAGTGATTGAATCAATTCTCTAAATATCATTCTCCAAACCATGCTGATTTGGTTAAGAGTTCACGGATTTTGTTTTCGGTCCATCCAATTTACATATAGTATGTACTGAACTTTTTCTTATATATATAAAAGAAATAGCAGGTACTGAACTTCAATTACTTGTAGACCTACATCTCTTTTTGGTATCCACATGGACTGTCCATGACAGAAATTTGGGCCTGGCTCAATCTCATATCTGGCCTAATTCAAAGCATATGGGCCCTCTAGTAACAGAAGGACATTTGGGCTCAAACGAATTGGAATTACAAGTCTTGCAACGGTGTTGAACCCAAGCTTAACCCCCAACGAATTACAATTTGAACTTGCGGTTCGTATTTTAACTAGAGTTCAACTCAAACACGACTCATTAATAAGCTCAATAGGTCTATTCGAGTTCACGGCTCATCAATCAGCTCCCGAACTCGAAAGAGCTTATCTCGGTATAATGCTGAGTCGTTTGTGAGCTACTCGACTCATTTCCAGCCGCACTACCGAGTTGTCAATGCCAAATTCCACAATAGTTGACCCAATAAAGTCCCTACTCGATAGATTGAAATGGTAAAAGATTATACTATTAAGAATAAATGAGTTGAGCTCCAGCTCGTGACCTTAACGATGAACCAATGTTTTAACAATTGAGCCAGTTTGAGTTCCACTGACTCATATTGTTGATAAAGGAGTCGAACCTGAACAAGACGAAATTCAACTTGACCGACTCATTGTTTAGCATCCCTAAATGCAGGGGCGGAGCTACACTCAAGCTAGGGTGGGCCCCCGGCCCCCCGGGATTGGTTTCGGCCCCTAGGATCGTAAGAATATTTAGTACAAATTATAAGTAGAACTTGTTTCGTAAATTTTGTTGTGTAATAGTCATGTGGTCTAATGATAGTCAAGCTTAACTTGTGTTTTAAAGCACACGAGTTTGATCCACCCTGGATACATACATTTTGTTTAATTATTTTCGGCCCCCCAATCTCAAAATCCTGGCTCCGACCCTGCCTAAATGTGAGTGATGAATTTGGTACGTTTTGAAGTTTGATGACTATTATGTAACATCAAGCATGGTTTGGTGACCATTTCGGATATTAACCCGCAATACGGTGGCCACTCACTGCCCAGAGTAACTAAATACTCTGATTCTGATTTGGTTGGTTGGTTTCTTATCTTCCTCTTCCCTTCGCTCAGGTCGCCGGAAAAAGAAGGGGGAAAAACCGATTCAAATCACAGGTGAGCCGTTCCAATTCCAATATACTCTAATCGGAATTGATTCCTCGGTTTCTTCGTCTTCGATTGCCACTTTTCTCCGGTTGGATTTTCCCTTCATGCTTCACCAATAGTTAGGTTCGAAAAGCTCCGAGTCTTTCTGCTCCATTTCTCCCTTCGATTGCCTCTATTTACTACTCTGTATAACTCACTGCATCTCTGGGCTGTTCCTCGCTAGTGGAATTGGATTATTTTTGGATAATTGTGAAGTTATCTTTGATCATTCAAATTGCAGGGTTTGAGCCTTTTAGTAAAACCCTTGAAATGGTTAAACAGAAACTAACTCAAAATGGACTCTCACAGTGAGGGTTGTGCCATGAAATCGAATTAAACTCTTCCAATCTCGTTCATGGAATGGTTATTTTGGCATGTGATTGTCGTTTCTCTTGGCCGCACGCAGGTCTGCATTACGCCTGTGCTGCAAAATCAGCCTCTTTATCACTTATCTTCAGAATTCAAATGGCTTTGCCTATGGAATTGGAGCTCTTGAGACAGGCTTTCTTGATTCGTTATTGTATCAAGAATTCGATAGCTCAATCTTATGTTTGAAATTTCGAACATGGTTCATAGTCTCAGAGTATAACAAATGGAGGAACTTGCCACAGAATGTCATTCTGTGCTGTGTTTCTTTCGAAATTTGCCTAAAATGGAGTGGAAGCCTACATTGCAGCTGTTGTCATTCTAAGTGTTTGATTGATCCCCTGTTTCTGTTGGGCAGACGAGTTTACTTTACTCCATGGGGAACAAGCCTGTGAAGCCAGAGAAAAAGAATGATGCCATCCTAGTGAGGGTGGTTCCTCCAGTAGACCCTGCTTATATGAAGTGGCTTGCTCGCGACGTCGAGAGGATTCATGGATTCAAGCCCACCAATGTTCGTGCAGTGCAGCCCCCGGACCGTTATGTCGAGTACATGCAGCTGAATGGATGGCTGGACATTGATCTCAATGATCCTGATTTGGCTCATCTGTTTCCAGGTAAATAGTAACAGTGCTGGTCCGTCAGTAGCTGAGTTTGGTGTTGTTGAAATGAGCTTTTTAGCCAGAGGAGTGGGTCAGAATTTTGGAGTCACTGTTGATGTAAATCCTTGGAAGACCAAACTACATTTTTTGCTTTTTGTGGCTGGAGATTATGTTTTTTCATTCTGTAATGACCATTTACAGTGCACATTGTTGTAGAACTAAATGTGGGTTTCCTTTGCTTGATGAGATATTGAGATGTGTAGCTTGCAGTCCAATGAAACTGGTTACTGCCTTACTGGTTACTGCCTAATTTTGACCTTGAATGAGGGTTGGTGGATTAATGGGGAGAGATAAGAATGACTTCTGATCGGGTTATATGGCTTTTCTACTGGGGTGAATTTGTTAGCCGGCTTGACCTTGAGAATTACTCTCTCTCAAAGTCAATGCTCGTTAGCCAAAATAGTTCATTCTGACTTCTGAATGAGGGAGAAGCAGTTAAGGCTTGTTGTGGGTTGATGATAAGAAGGTTAAAAGCGCGCCAACAAGCTTTGGTTTCCTTTTTCCCTTTTTGTACCTACTTCTTCTTTGGCAGAATTGGCATTCTCATAAAAATTAGGATAAATACAATTTAATATCCAAACCTTTTATTTTAAATAATATAATAGCCAAACCTTTTCGAAAACAATCTAATATCCAAATCGTCAACTTTTTGTCTGTTTGACCGTTAGTTGACACTTCAAAAAAGTTCGAAGTATGACACTTCATCAATATCCATCGATATCTTCTCTGAAAAACCACCAACATATCGTAGTTCCAAACCCGAGAAGTCTATGACTCCACCATGATGGTATAGAATATCTAAATATTCAGTCATCTGCAATGCCAAAACAAGAAAACAAAGTTGTATCGTGACAATTTCCCCTAAACAAAGCTTTTTTGAAGTGTCAACCAACGGTCAAATGAACGGAAAGTTGACAATTTGGATATTAGATTGTTTTCGAAAAGGTTTGGCTATTATATTGTTTAAAATGAAAGGTTTGGATATTAAATTGTATTTACCCTAAAAATTAAGGCCAAATTCACCTGTATAGCCAAAACTTTGACGGTTTTGCCAAATATAGCCACTTTTGGAGAAATACCAGAAATAGCCACTTCCGTTCAATTGTTTGACGGTGTTAGTTAACGTGCTGACTGGACAAACGACAGCGGTTGACGTGGCATATTTTATTCAAAAATAATGTAAGTGGAAAATAAACAAAATTCTATCTTTTTACAATTAAATAAAAAATTATAAAAATAAAAAACAAAATTATCTTTCTCTCCATCACCAACACCGCTTGTTCACCTCCCCTTCGTCTCGCTCTTCTTCATGCTGAATTCCCCGCTTTCCCGACCTCTTCCAGCCTCGAAATCAGGCTGCTCGCCGGTCGAGTCGTGGCGAATCTCAGCTCTTCCTTCTCATCCTCTTCTTCTCCTCGAACAACGGCGAGAGATCGAACCCTTCGGACAGAGAAATGATGTGCAACGCATTCAGGGTCTCCTTCGAATTCTCCGATTTCGTTTCGTCTTCTTCGCAATTGAACGCGTTGAATTCGATCTCCTCCTTGCTGCGTACGGTTTTGGGGATGGATTTTCTGAACCAGGACGACTCTATGACCTTCGAGATGGTGATTCGGCTCGCCGGATTAGAGTCGAGGAGCTTGGTGACGAGGCGGCAGGACTCGGAGGAAAACCACGACGGACATTTGAAGTCTCCCCTGTAGATTTTTCTATACATGGCGACCAGATTGTCGTCTTGAAAGGGGAGGAGGTTCTCTGGGTTCAGATCTAGGTGGTAGACGCCGCGGCTGTGGCAGAAATCGATGGCGGAGATCAATTGCTAGAAGTAAATCCTAGCGGCGTCTTCCCTCAGCCGGCCTCTGGCAACCTTGGAGAAGAGCTCGCCGCCGTGGACGAGCTCCATGGCGATGTAGATCTTGGACTTGCTCGCACCTGACGTGGCAGTGTTCGATCCCAGCCTCTCGATCTTCCCAAACTTACCCCAATCCACAATTCGAGCCGCCGTCGTCACCTAACTCTTCTTCTCATCTTATTTCGAGTTGCCGCTTCGGCAGAAGAAGAAGAGGCGCTCCAACTGCCGCTGTAACTCCTGTTGGAGATTCTTCCAGATCTTGAAACTCTTGCCCGCCTCTCCGATTCCGAGGGCATCATCCTCCCCGGGTAAACCTATCGCCGCCATCGAATTCGGCGCCGCTCCGGTTCATCTCCCTGTCCAACATCTTCACCACTCGTCCGATGGAAATGGAAATGGATTGGGCGAGGAATAGAGAGAAGAAGTGTGTAGGTTTTGAAATTGGCTTCTGGGTAGGATGAAGATGATGACGGGATCGCGGCGGTAGGGAGATGTGTCGTAGTGATGGTGGTGATTAGGTAGTGATTTATTTATTGTTTTATTTATTAATTGTTTTATGGTAATTTTTTTTACCCATTAAAAATTACGTGGCATCCCACCTGTCAATGGATGTTGAGGTGGGAAGGAAAGACACGGTGAGGTGGCAGCCACATCAACTGTCTGTTAATTAGACTAACGGTGTCATTGACGCCGTCAAACTATGTAACGAAAATGGCTATATTTGTCATCGAACTTTCAAAAATCTGGCTATTTATGGTATTTCTCCAAAATTGACTATATTTGTCACAATCGTCAAAGTTTTGGCTATGCAAGTGAATTTGGCCTAAAAATAATGCATTGAGAATTTGAGATGAACTGCATACTCCAGGCTCTGAAAGTCTAAACTTAAATCGTAGTTTATTATTTTTCAAGTCGAAACAAAGTAGCAAACACCATAAGATCTAATGGAACTGTACTTACTCCATGTGTTCCCATCTTCACATAGTTCAGTTTTTGTATAATGAATCAAATAATTTTGGTTTTTGTTATTTTGGCATTGTCCATTGTATATGTCAACCAATAATGTCCCATTTTTTCAATGATAAATAGTTACTCCAATTTTGATTTAAAGACCAACTGAACAGTGATAGAGTAATATTTTTTAAAATGGTTTTAGTATTCAACTCATATGATTTATTTGTGATTGAGAATTTCATTCAAAAGCACAAAATCAGAGTGAAACGGGGAGAAATTACACTAAACTAAATAAATGAAAAGAAAATTTATAAGTGCCAACAAGCTACTATTCACTAAAGGAAAAGCATCAATCAAGCAGGTCGTGCGCGTGGGGAGCAACCAAGTGTGTCACACTATCAACTAATCCACAATAGTGTACCGGTGTCTCCCTTGACACCTTAAGCAAATGAAATTTATTCGAACATTCTTAATATAGTATGACCCGTTGTATCAAATATGTCATACTAAAGTAGTATTTCACACAATTGGATCCAATTGTTAAAATCCATTAGTTCGGGGCTCTTAGTCTAATATATATTCTGAGGAGGGACGTGCTTATATAATCGCTCGCTTCCCTCCACATCTATATCCGAACCAAATTCCCTCCCTTCCTTCTTCCCACACTTTTCCCTCGTTTTCTGCTCTTCGTTTACCTTCCTCCCTCCCGCTTTTTTTTTTCTTTTCCATTTTCTTGCTTCCCAAACCGGCCAGATCTCCAAGACTCCACCCGATTTCAACCCCAATTCCAGTTCCCGCCATCGCTAACTGAACAATTTCCCCAAACCTCTTCCAGCTTCACCGGTCTTCTTCTCTTCTTCGAGGACCACAGATGTCGAATTCCGAGCCTCCTGCTGGTTCCGAAGCGACGCCGCCACCGCCACCGCCGCCGGCACAACAGCAACAGCAGCAGAGCGTCCCCGCCACCGTCGTCCCGTCGCCCTCCTCCAGGCCTTCTTCTCTTATTCGAGGACCACAGATGTCGAATTCCGAGCCTCCTGCTGGTTCCGAAGCGATGCCGCCACCGCCCCCGCCGCCGGGACAACAGCAACAGCAGCAGAGCGTCCCCGCCACCGTCGTCCCGTCCCCCTCCTCCAGTGCGCCGAAGCCTAAGCTGGCTTTCTCTACTGCGAAGCCTCCGTTCTCTTCTCCTGGCGACTATCACCGATTCAGTACCCACCCTCGCCGCACCGCTGATCAGGAGCCCGAGGCAATCATCGTCAAATCGCCGGTAACTAATTCTTTCCTCTTCTACTTTAATTTCTTTTACGATTCCTCAAGTTCTTGATTCGTACTACCCCCGCTTGTTTCTGTGCTTTCAACGTTATTCTCCTTGATGGCGGGAGATCTGCTCCTTTTTGGAATTCCCGCAATAGGTCAGTGAATTAGGATTTCTTGGACGAGAATTTTCCTAGTTGTATTAGTAGGAGTTCAATGCTTAGTAAACAGGCGATTTTAGAGCTTCGGGAGTTTAAGAGGTTGAATTAGCGCGATTCAATGATGATGTCAGTAATTGTTGCTTGCTGATCTTAGCGAGGGACTTGCTGCTTCCAAGAACCTGACTGTCCAAACAGTTATTTTTCCAAGATCAAAGATACACATTAGAGCAGGAAAGAATCATGTTCTTCACTTCGTTATCTATGTCAGGGAGATTAGCATTCCGCAAAATAATAAGTTTGACGGAATGGAACCTGAAAATAATACACGTTGTTAGGTATTCTTCTCAAGATTGCTTCTGCTTTGGTTAAGATGATGCTTTGATGTACGAGCCATGTCTATTCTATCTTACCCTGACCTTAGCATGGGAATTAGATTCATGTCGATTTTGTTTACGAGTTTGTCTACATTCTGAAAAGAAAATACCGATGTGCATGCGGCTGTAGAGACTTTTACACGAAAATGTGAGGCTTCTTCAGTCTCTTCTGCTCTCCCATAACTGGAAAAGCTGTTTGCATGCGTGAGTACCTTGCTGAAATAGTTCAGATGCATTGAGTGACACTCATATGGATATGAGCTCTGGTTCTTCTACTTCAACGGCTCCATTTTTTGTTCATAGTGACGGACCTGTGAACTGTTGTGTTAGGTGCTTAGGGGATGCTTTTTTTGCTCTCTCTATCGGTGCTGTCATTTTTCTGCTTCTGCTGTCTTGTGTATTTCACAGCCTTTGACCTTTGGCAATTGATTCCAGTCACTTAACAATATTAAGTGCGTATTGCCTAATATGGGAATTAGAAAAAGTAACCAATTTGTTTTTCATCAGCCATTAAAGCGGAAGGGTGATACAGCAGCACATGAAGCTGAGTATAGAGAGTGGAATGTTAGCTCGGCATATACTGAAGTTGCAAACAGTCCCATCCAGACACCGGTCTCCGGGGAAGGTGAAAAAGCTTCGAAGGCATCCAACGGTTCAAGGAGTACTAAATCTGCACAGCAGAACGACAATGCAAATACTGGTGAGTCAATAACCTCATGATATCTATTGTGGTCATTCCAATTTTCTTTTTTGCTATACTATTTTATCTTGGCATTTTGATCCAATAGAACTTATCAGCATTAGGATTTATTACAAAATATTAATGCTCTGGATCCATCCAGCACTGAAGGAGATTTTTCTCTTTGTGTTCTTACAGGTTTGCCTGGCAATAATCTTACTTCAACTGGTCCTTTTCGTGACGATAGCTCTCTAGGTAACTTTCAGCATATCTGGCCATATTAGTTAGCTTCTATGAATCCTTATCGCTACCTAACCTCCCTCCACAAAATGATGATTCTAGGTCTCCTAACAAAGAAATTCATCAATTTGATCAAACATGCTGAAGATGGAATTCTTGATCTCAATAAAGCTGCTGAAACTTTAGAGGTGATAATTTATTTTCTCACTGGTCGGGCAATATTACTGAATCTGTGTATTAAAGTTTTTTCATTGCTACAGGTTCAAAAAAGACGCATATACGACATAACAAATGTACTGGAAGGAATTGGTCTGATAGAAAAGAAGTTCAAGAACATAATTCAATGGAAGTAAGGACCTTGAGTATCTTGCTCTATTCCCTCCTTATCCAGTTTCCAACTCATCTTCCATCTCGTATCTTCTTTATACTTTTCGCACTGGAAAAGTAATCCATGTTTTTCTATTATCACAGGGGACATGATGCCACTCCAGGAGAGACTGATGAGAGTGCTACTAGTTTGCAGGTGTGTAATGATCATTCCATTGTCTGTGAACTAGTTTGAAGCTGTGTAAATGACCAACCTGTTGTCAGTTGGGGTTAGCTGTGGAAATTCTGCAGGTTCCACTTTTTTACTACTAAGTAATCCAGAGGGCCATGATTTCTGATTTTTTATAACAGTACCAAGATGGTTTGAAGCATGTTGGATTATACGCAGTTTTTGCTGCGAATCTGTACAACTTGGATTGTTTCATCGTACTTGGTCAATTGTTTCATTAAGCAGGAAGAAATTGAAAATCTCAACATTGAGGAAAGCAGTTACGATGAGCGGATAAGGTTTTCTTCATTGTCTTTTCACATTTTAATTTGGTTAATTTCTGTTGCAATGTCTTGACATCTCTGAGAGTTGAAAAACTTATTGCAGGGAAGTGCAAGAGAGGCTGAGAGTCCTCAGCGAGGATAGCAACAATCTTAGGTTAACATTCATATATCTTCCCCGCTTTCAATATGTTTGAAGCATATTATGTGATTTTAGTTTGTTTTTTGGCTTGTATTTGTTTCAGGTTTCTTTTTGTCACCGAGGATGATATCATCAACTTACCCGGTTTCCAGGTTAATAAGATTTGCATGAGTATTTTGCAGGTTTCCAATTCAATTCTCCATCAAGTCTGGTTCTTGTTTCAATATACTTTTGATTTTGGCAGAATGAAACACTAATGGTTATCAAAGCTCCACGTGGTACTACAATTGAGGTCCCTAAACCTGACGAGGTAAATAGCTCAAGTACTTCAGAGAAAAATGTCTATGTTTCAAGTCTGCAGAATACTTCTCCAAAGTTATCTCCTTTCTTCTCTATAGGCTGTTGACAATGCTCAGAGAAGATACAGAATGGTGGTCAGAAGTACAACGGACCATATAGATGTCTATCTTGTCAGGTTACCCTTGCTTCCCAGCCTTGTATTATCCTCCAAGTTAAGCGACAGTCAAATGGACGTTCATAACTGATCGAGTCGTCTACTTCTGGGCTTGAATGTATGCCTCAGCAAATTTGAAGTGAAGAGTGAGGAGATCCAGGGCGTTGAACCGCCAGCCCCTAGCCTTCCATCTACCTCCGTCATAAACGATAATCCAGCAACTACCACAGTGGTTACGGAGAAGAGTAGTAAAGGAAAGGAGATTGCAGTAGAGGGACAGGATGTTCTTAATTCTCCTCATGATCCTTTCAGTGGCATCATGAAGATTGTTCCTAGTGATGCTGATGTGAGTATACCAATTTTGCTTTGCACAAGGAACTAACCTTCCGTTGGTTCATTAGGTTTCAAGATTGACGTTTCCTGCTTTTCTGTGTGGTTATGCAGCGTGATGCAGATTACTGGTTTTTGTCGGACGCCGAATATAGCCTCACAGACATGTGGCGAACTGATCGTATCCTTTGTTATAACTAGAAGTTCTTACCTTCAGTCTACTACATAAACTTATGCTCTAGCAGCAGCTATCACGATTCAGGCTCATGAGATTATGAAAAGTCCTTCACCCATGAGCAGCCACCGTCGGGCTTGACTGGGACAACCTTGGCATTTCAAATACCAGCAGCAGCAGCAGCAGCAGCAGCAGCAGCATACCACCAAACACTCAAACTCCACCACCTTCCGATCCAACCACAGAACCACCACCTTCCAATCCAACCAAAAAACCGCCACCTTCTGCTTCAAACACCACTCCACCGTGAAACTATGTCACTCTCTCCTAGATATCACATCAGTGTAAAGAGAAGAAACTACTGCAGAACGCGCAAGTGGAAGCAGCCTGAGTTCCATGTACAGCGGAAGGAAGCAACAATTGTCTGTGAATGATTCATGTCTAGTTAGCTAATAAGAAGACGGCTCATTTCCCCTTTTGTGTACATTCCTTGAGCCGTAGGCCGCATTTTGTACTCCCTCTGTTCAGATAAAATCTCAGAATCATGTAAAGAATAGATACATAGATACAAGAGCTACTAGGTGTAAGATACGATCTGTAGAACAGCTTCCGGATCATGAAAAATCTATCTCCATACAGAGCATTATGTACGTAATTTTTCCAAACAGAAGGAGCTAGCTCAGCTGTCTCCATTTTTGGGTTCCTAATGGAGAAAAAAAACAGTTACATGAGATTTTGTTGCATTCTACTTTTCTACTGCTCTTTTTGGCCAGGCTTCTTCCCAATCCAGCCAGCCACGATCGGAGTAAGCGCCACGGTCGGAGGGAACCTGATCGGAGATGCAGCTTTGTGTGCAGCATAAGCCAAGGCGAAGGTCCCAACTTTCTCCCCCGTGGCATCTGTAGCAATCCCAACCTGCAGAGAAGTAAGCAAGGTGAGTAGCAATTTTGGGGTTTTTGGTTTATGGGGTTAATGAACAAAATTGAAACCTTCTGCAGCAGAGCTTGAACGTCGACGCCGGAATTGACGAGAGCGTAGCAGAGGGAGAAGGAGATGATGGAGAGGGTAATCGACGTGGCCAAGTAAGCTCCGCCGTATTTGGTAAGCAGCTCTTTAGCTTGGTCTCCCTTGGATTTCTCTTGCTCGCCGCCGTCTCCAGTTTTCTCATCATCCTTGGAGCTGAATATCTTCCATAGGCCGGCTTCGAGGCCGTACTTCTGCGTGATTTCGTCCGGGGAGGAAGCTGGAGGTGGGGATTTCAGCTGTTCAGTTTTCTCTCGGGTAGCTCGGGTTCTGAATCGGGAAGGGATGGATCTGGGAGGTTTTAGAGAAGCTGTGGAGTTGCAGTTTATCCTGCCGAAGAGTATCGAAGAAGCAGAGCCTTGCAGAGTTGCAGACATCGTCACAACTGGATAGAGGCTAAGCTTTCTTTAACTTCGGATAGATTGTTGATATGTGTTGCAGGTGAAATGGCGGATTTTCCTTCTCCCTCGAAAGCTTGAGGAAGCAATGGTGGAGACTGGAGAGAGTGAAAGTGCAGTGAATGGTGGCGTCGCGTGGCGTGATTGTGTTCAGAAGTTTGGTAATGGGACTGAGATGTGGGTACATAAAGCCCACTCACTTGCACAACGCGCTTTCATCAGTCTGGGCCGGATCTGGTTCATCCGGATCCGTATGGCTATGGGCCGTGTCCATTTTTCTACTGTAATTTTCTTATTATGGAACTGGATTTATAAATGGTAAATGATTAGTTTCAAGCAATCCTCCATTGTGTACTTTTCTCCATTTCAAATTTCCTGCAATGAGAGTGAAAGTAGGAAGGTCATTTTTGTCTTTACACATTTATTATTTATTTCATATAAAAATAGCAATATCAAAATTTGAACCCGAGCCGCTTCAAACAAAAATAACAATTACAACCAGTTACACTAAACAAATTTATTGTATTCTTTTTTATACAAAACATAGACAAAGTTAATCTCTAAAAATCAGAGGACTTTTTCATCATAATTAGCAAGCTCACTAAGTCTACCGTATGTATTTTTATCGAGCTTGATGCTTCTATTTTTATAGTAGAGTTTCATGTAATTTTCTCAATTTTAAATTCTCGCTCTCTCCTTAATTTTTGCTAAAGGTAAATGGGTAATTGGCTAACATGGAAGAAACTAATTATGTAACTACGTGTTGTATCCTTGCATTTTTCAATTTAAATTTTGTGATTTTTTATCTTTGTTCTTTTCTCTTTCTAACTTCCTCCGAAATTTCATCCTTCGTGCAATATTTTGCGCCTTTCACTTCCCAGTACAAGACTGTCATTGAAAATCAATCTTCAGGTATCTCTTGGCACTACGGTTTTATTGTTGGGGATTTTAAGTTGGGCGAGTAGAAAATTTCAACTCCGATATCAATCCTTGGTGAATAGAATGGAGTTCATCAATAACTGGAGTTGTAGAAGGAGGATTAGAAATTGAATTTTTGGTTGAATATATGCCTCTTGAGATAGAAATTTGGTTGTACAACGGAGAGTGGTGGCTATTGGATCTTTAGATTTATGGTTTTTACAATTGTCACAACCTATTTCTATCTTAAAACGAGGAATCATTGATTGATTGTTTGAAATAGGTCGCTTTTTTATTCAACCTACTGGAACTAATAGATAAGGAGTGTCTAATTTTGCGCCTTATTACTTTGATCGAGTCTATTCGTATATTGGAGATAACCCTGATTTTTTTCGTTTGCTCTCAAGTTGTGATGGTCCCCTCTTAGCTGAGTTTTTAGTATTTAGATGACTTGAATCAACAACTCTCCATTTCTTTTTGATTTGTGACATATTGTTTCTAAAAGCAGAGCATTGAACCCTTTATATAGGATTGTGAGGTTTAAGATTTAGTTTCAAACTATCTATGGGTCGTGTGAGAATTTCAGTGAGCTTTTATACTCTATATTTTTTTACTGTAAAATAAAACTAACCAATAGCATTTTAACGGGGACTTAATTAGCATTATGAAAATGGGGTCAATGATACATTTTTCTATTTTATATTCTTAAATGATTATGATATTTCTCCGAATGTTCGACCTATATATTATTTCTTTATGTATCATCTCGATCGAATGATTATCAATAAGATTAAACGGGCTAATAGACTTAAAAATAACAAAAAAATACAAATAATCAAATATGAGCATTCCGGCCAAAGGGCCGGGTTATAAGCTAGTTCTTAAAACAACCTTTCACGTTTATTCTTAAAACAACGAATTTTCTAATTAGGGCGCACACAATAAAAATGATGGACCGCCGATGGGATTTTATCGGCCAGCACCATTGTGTTCTAGAAGAGATGCACTTGGTTTCAGTTCGCTCATCAGTCGAAGAGAAGACAGGAACAAGAAACATAGATACACATAGCAAGAAGATAAAAAGTCTCTTTGTCGACGGACTGTTCTCATATATATTGCGAATTTGCGACCATCATCGTCCCTTTTTTGTTTGTTTGTTGTGGTTGTTCGCTTGGCCGGCCGCCGATGCAGCCATCTCCATACTTTATCAGTCCTATCTCTCTTTACATATGAATCCACCATATATGCAGACATAGTGCAAATATATATATATATATGGAAAAAAGCAATATTCTTCCTGTTCGTTTATTATTTAAATGTTAATTTGGTGACAGTGTGCATCAAGCGTTTGTAGTCCAACGGTTAGGATAATTGCCTCCCAAGCAATAGACCCGGGTTCGACTCCCGGCAGACGCACTCTTTTATTCCCTTTTTTACAGCACGATGGCTTCTGCCTGCTGTTGGCCTGGCTGTTAAATTAGCAGTACCAGAGTGAAAGGAACACGATTTCTTCCTTCCTTCCATTAATGGTGATCTCTACTTCTTGGTCCTGATTAAATGGCATCACATGCAATTCAACGTGCCTTTCAATCCTTCTTTCCATGTGCTCTCTTCATGGCTCGGGGCCCTTCACAATTAAGCTCGATCGATGTCTCACCCTACGAATATAACCAGTCTTTACATACATACATACGAAGACATTCACATTGTGTAAATATGCCAAGGCAACAAGCAGAAAAAATCCATGTCGTGCTCCTCATCTCCATGCATCTAGGAACATCAATAACTCTTTCCTTTTCAACACAAAGACATGTTTTTGTATAGCGTGAGTAGCAAAGGAGATGGTACGTTGTTGTCGCTTGGGCTACTCAGTTAGCTATGTACTTACTTACTCATTGGGGTTTGGAATTGGTTTTTCCTGTTGAATGGGACAGAAGATGTATATATGCCACTTGCGTCTTCTTATCATTTGCAATGCAGTCAAAATCGCGCTTTAAAACTTTGAGACTTACGATTTTACGCTTTTGGGTCACCAAAACGCTTTCGTTTCCATATAAAAACTTAAATGTATAAAATCGGACTAAATTGCGCTGTAAAGCTTAAAAACTTACGACTTCACGGTTCTAGTTCACCAAAACGATTTACGTTTTTACGCTTTTAGTTCACTAAATGAGTATTCTTTTCATGAAATTAATTATAAAAAGTATATTTTAAAGTAAATCACTAACAATATGATACATTTGAGATTAAAAGATACATACTAGGTACTTGGATGCATTCTCAACTTCAATAGAGTAATCTAATTCACCAGCTAGGATTTTCCCAAATTCATTAGCATAGAGGGAAAAGTGGCTTATCGTTAAAATTTATGTTTACGAACGTATTATTAAGATGCTATAAGTTGCTCTACTTTAAATATGAATCGCATGTATTTATTAACGTATCTAAATTCTAAGTATTCATATTTTGCATAGCATATGTCCTACTTAATAGATTTTTAGTTATTTTTCAGTATGCGTAAAAAACTTAAGCTTTTACGCTTTGATTCTACGCTTTATGATTTTTCCCCTTTGGAGGAGAATACTCTAAAAGAAAATCCTTGCTGAATTTGACAAAAAACGGAGAATATCATACTAATTGAGCTACCCGATTTCGACAAATCAAGATGCGATTGATTACTCTATATACCTTCGAGTCTTTTCGCACTTACCACAACCATCTAATTGGTGTCCACCTTAGCCGTTCAATATTAAAAATCTGTAATTAACAACAATGAGAGTGATTAAATCCAAAACGCACCTATCATTCTATCTTGTGGGTGGGGTTATTATTAATTAGCTACTGCTGGTTTATCATTGATTAATATTTCCCGGTTTCCTTTGTTTTCATTATCTCGATCCGTTACTGATCAGTATTAATTTATGTTTATGATGTGTAATTGTGAGTCAATTCCCATCCTACAGATCACTTATTCTATAACACATTCTGAATTAAAACAAAAAAAAATGGAGAATTGGAGATGCCACTGTACTGCTACTGCTAGCTGTCCTTTCTGTTTTGTTCTCTTCTTCTCCATTCCTCTTTTTATATCCGCAGACCACAATTCCATCTTTGAACACTCGGCTCTGCTATGCTAACACACAACTGGTAAACAAGAAAAGAGGGGAAAAATCAATCTGAAATATACCGACGGAAATGCGTCAAATAGTCATATTAAAAGCGGTCTGGTCCACTCCACCACCAAACACTAACCATCAACGTTGCCACAACAACCACATCCAAACAAAATTTCCCTTCCTTTCATCTCCACTAAAGGGTGGGCGGGGATTATTCGGTTTGGTTCGGTTTAGATTTGAATCAAAACCAACGTAGGATGAAATGAAAAAGGAAACCATATTCAATTCAATTCTGTTCGATTTGGTTTAGAATCGAATCGAAATTAAATTACATATTCAATTCGGTCTCGGTTCTCATAAGCTAAAAACCTAACCAAAACCGAATCTAACAAAATATTTATCATCTATCTCCCTTTTTTGTGATATAATCTCACTCGGCGAGCCGTTGTCCTTCTCTCTTCCCCCACTCACCCAACTGAACTGATCTTCCTTTTTTAGCTCTACTCTACCATTTGCTTAATTCAATTCCCTCCTCCTCTCTCTCTCTCTCTCCCTCTCTCCAAATTAAACCGAATTCCAGATTTCCGGCGATGTCCTCCGCCGCAGGAAAACCAACGGTCCACCACAACAGCAAGCTCAAGCAGGGGAATCCAAATCCAAACACTGCTACTACAACCAAGACGACGAAGAAGAAGAAGAAGCAGCAGCTCCTCTTCGGAGTCTTCAGATCTTCCTCAACCTCCAATTCCTTCTGCGGCTGCGGCCTCTCCGACGTCCACGACCCTGCCTCCTCCTCCAAATTCACCGTCTCCAGAACCACCACCGTCCCTCCTTCCCCTTCCTCCAGCATCAACATCCTCGCCTTCCTCCCCAAGCACCCCAACTCCCCCGCCGCCGCCGCCGACGACGAAGATCGAGATCCGTCGCGCGCCGATTACTCCTCCTCCGTCACCAGCACCACCACCGCGACGACGACGACGGCGACGTCCTCCACCTGCTCCTCCTCATCCTCGTCCTACGAGAGCAGCAGCGCGGCGGATCGGGGGAGATCGGCGATCGGGAGCAGCATCGCGGTGGTGAAGGACTCGGACGATCCGTACGAGGATTTTAGGGATTCGATGATGCAGATGGTGGTGGAGAAGGGGATTTACAGCCGGACGGGACTGGAGGAGCTGCTGAAGCGGTTCCTGGAGCTGAATTCCCCCTGCTACCACACCGTCATCGTTCGGGCGTTCACTCAGATCTGGAACGAGGTGGTGGTCGCCGCCGCCGACGTCGTCGGCAGGCAGCAGCACGGCACGTGCGGAGGCCGCTGATCGGAGAATCTCCAGATCGTTTGGCACGTGGCGGGTAGCTGGCAGGGTCGACGCATAATATAACGTGTGATCAAATTCCCCCCCTCGTCTGAAAAATGATCGTTTCTAGGTCTTCTACTATAAGCAGGAAATTAGCTAGCCGTCCCGTTCTAGTTAGTTCAGGTTTTTTAATAATGGTTTATACATAGTTACTTTTGTTTTTGAATTTTTACCGTGCAAGATTGATCGCTTTCTACGGCTAGTAAAAATTTCGAATCGCATCTAAATATGCATAAATTGTGTGTGTGGGGATCCTAAGTTGTGTTTTTTGGTTTCTTCCTGTCTGGTGCGAAATACTCCGTGTTTGTGAAATCGTATTGTAACGAAGCCTAATTCGTGAAGCAGCAGGCGGTGTCTGTGTGGTTGAAACGAAAGTGGTTGTTGGCCTGTGTTAATTTCTTTCTGCGATTGCTTGCCCCACTTCTCTAATGCATTTCCTTCTTCCCCATGACAATTTTGGTCAAAAGATTCTCTTGTTTTCTATAATTATTCCCGTTTTGATGAATGGTTAATGAGTATATGTTTTCATTTTCATCTTCCGTCATTCCCAATATATTGTTGGGGTTTTGGATACCAAAGTCAATGAATTATTTCCCTAGTCATGGTTTGGACCGTAGTAGATCGAATTAACGTTTGAATTAGATCATATCGAACCAAATATAACGTAATTTGGTTTTTGGTCTCGTAAATTATATAAACATTGAAGAAAGTGAATCGAAATCAATATTAGGAGCAAAGCAGACAAAACCAAATTGATTTGAATATAATGATAGATCGAATCCGTAATTTTAAAATATTTTTCACTCTTGAATCTCAATTTGTATTGTGGTAACTTGACGGGGAAAATTAAGATAATTGTTGATAATATAATCCAAGGAAGGTTAACGAGGTTATTAGATCTTATGGACTTTTTTTTTGCCATTCAGTACCCCAAGATCGGGGACAGAAAAAGATACATTGTCTGAAGAAGATCCAAAAGGATTCCTACATACATCGTAACCAAGAGACGAAGTCGAAACCCTTAAACATACGGGGTGACATGAACAGGGCATGACGAGCCACAGAATGAGCTTCCCTGTTGTTAGAACGACCTATGAACCGAAGCGAGTAATCCGATAATTCATCTAGCAAACTACAGATTTCCTTCAGAAGAATACCAACTTTGAAATGGTGAAAATCTCGAGCACAACATTTGTCAATTATTATCTTTGCATCCCCAGCCACACTAACTGAATGAAGATTCTTCCTCTGACATTCAAGCAAAACGTCCCGCAACACAAGCGCCTCCAACACCATCGCATCATGCACACCTTCCCATTGACGAGCTTGCGCTGAGAGCGGACAACCTGAACTATCTTTGATCACAAAAGCTGATGTGCCCAACAAACCCAAACGAGTAGCCCCAGTGAAGGTAGCGACACAATGGAACCCATTCTAATAGATCTGATGGACTTGGCGAAGCCGATATCATTTTAGGCCTTCAATAAAGATGGGCCGATGCTTGCCCGGCCCAGAGTGTCTGTGTTGTTCATTGAATGTTCGGGTTGGACTTTAGAAAATCCATTCTGCTCAAGGTGTACATTATGCACCTGGTAAATAGTAATCTACTACATGAATTGAATTCAGGAGAAGTTGGTTTTTATACTTTATAGGCTTTTCATTCTTAGAAAAACATACTGATGAAGTCATTGTGATTTGAGACTGAATCAAAAAGGGGGGAAGAAGAGATTTATTAGGCGCATGATTTCATTAAACATTACCATAGGTTACAAGTATTACAAGCAGGAGACCAAAGGAGTTGCAAACAAACCAGCTAAAGGGTAAAACAACAACAGACTGCCAGACAGACAGATGTAACCGAGAGACTGCCTGGAACAGAAACAAATTTGGACTAGTTCTGCAGATGATTCAGTCAACAGAGACTGGCTGCATGTTCTCAGCTTCTTTCCTCAGCTCTTGGAACAGCACCGAAGACAGGTACCTCTCCCCGAAGCTAGCATGGATTGTCTGATCACAACACAAACAAAGAGCGATTCGATCAGTTCATAGGATCATGAATTCTGCCTAATATGCCAGGAGGTGACAAAGAATGTTCATCACAAGCCTTGTCATACCACAATAAGCTTCCCCTTGTTCTCTGGCATCTGAGCCAGCTTAAGTGCTGCCACTGTATTAGCTCCAGATGATATCCCAACCTACCAGCACAATTTCAGATCCACCATCACAAGTTAACAACAGAACTCAGATCCACATCAAAATTGTTCTAACAAAATTGCTAGAGCCTTTTATTCATATTACCATGAGTCCCTCCTCCACAGCCAGCCTCCTGGCCATGTTCACTGCATCTTCGCTGCTAACCTGACACCACGCATTTTTCGCAAGTGCTGTAAGATCTCACTTAGTTTGGGTATCCAGAGAATGTGACAGGGATGCAGGTCTCTTTTACCTCAAGAACCGCCTCCATCACGTCCATGTCCAATATGTCAGGTTTGAACCCTACTCCATTGCCTGTAATCTGGTGAGGACCTATGTTCATTGACCACAAAAAACCATTAGGAATAAACAGGAGCTTCTTGCAAGTTCCAACCCTGATGAAAAATGAAGCCAGAAAATTCAAAGTGGGGTTTCTCTGTACCCGGTTTGCCACCATTCAGCACATTGCTTTCTGCAGGCTCAACTCCATATATCTGCCATGAAAAAGTGTTAAACCCCCAATCTTGATTACACTCATTTTCACTACAAAATCAATATAAAAAAACCCCACTCAGACTGAGAGTCTTAATCATCAGTACCTTGACATTAGGGTTCTGTGATTTCAGGTACTGTCCAACACCAGAGACAGTCCCTCCACTGCCAATTCCCATCACAAAGATGTCCACTTGTCCCAATGTGTCTTCCCAAATTTCAGGACCCGTCGTCTCGAAATGGATCTGTGTCCCCCATCATACACACCTATATGTCAGAGATCAATCCAACACAGACAGATCGATATTGATGTTCGAACGCGCGCGAATTTTTACATATATGGACCTTAGTGTTGGCAGGGTTGGAGAATTGTTGAAGCATGAATGCATCTGGAGTAGATTCCAACAGATTATAAGCTTTCTTCACTGTTCCCCCCATCCCTTTAGTTGGATCAGTGAGGATGAGCTCGGCTCCGAATGCTCTCATACACACCCTTCTCTCCATGCTTGTGTAGGAAGGCATGGTCAGAACCATCTTGTACCCTTTCATTGCTGCCATGAATGCCATGCTGATGCCCATGTTTCCTGAAGTTGGCTCGATCAGGGTTGTCTGTTGCAAAGCCACATAGATTTGCAATGACATTATTAGAGAAGGGAAATTTTGAGGCATCTTTGAAATGTGAACATACAAACAAGCTAACTAACTGACCTTTCCTGGAGAAATCAAGTTCTTAGCTTCTGCATCTGCAAACATTGAGAATGCTGGTCTGTACAACAGAAAGAATGACAAGAGAAAAAGTAAGGGGGTTTGGTCTCTAGAACACAAGATCTAGTAATTCATGGAAGATGGGGGGGAATTATGTATGTAATTTAACCTGTCCTTAACGCTAGATGTTGGTTGGAACATTTCTTGCTTGGCAGCAATGTAAGCTCCACATCCTTCAGTCACTTGGTTGAGGAACACAAGGGGAGTTCTCCCAATGAGCTGAAAATTTAGTAAACCACCTTTTGTTTTAGATACAAAAGTTTATTGAACTGTTCTAGCAAAAAAGAAAAACTAGTATATATATATATATATATATGGTGGCTACTTCGGTGCACTCACTTTTTTGGGTGCACTCAGTGCACCCAACTCTAAAAGCGTCCATAATACATCAAATTTTGAACTTTAATTAGTACTCTCAATATAATATGATGATATGACATAGAATCATAACAAATCAATCCATTACCCTAACCCATTAACCTTCAATTTTGAATCCCAACCCAAAATCCCAAATTGTAAACCTAAACCCTAACCCTAAACCCCTAAATCCTAAATACTTCAAATTAAAGTAAATTTTGAATGAATTTTTTTCAAATTCATGTGCTTCTTGTTCATAATATCATAAGCAACAATTGATACCGTTTTGACATGAATCGCATGGTCAGAATGACAATTATGAGGCGGGTGCACTGAGTGCACCCGAAAAAGTGGGTGCACCGAATACGCCACCATATATATATATATATATCACTGAGTTTGTTGTTTAATAACTAGCTACATATTGATTTTTCCATTCGAAATCAAAGATTCGAGATTAGTTCGTAGAATCGAACTAGATTGATCGACTGAAAACGAACCTAAGTCCTATTGGTTGTTTTTACATTTTCAGAAAATAAAAACGGAAGATAATCATATCAAAGATTGTTTTAGATAAGTCAATCGTATGTATCCAATCAGTCAGTCCATCTCGTTAAACTTTCATGCAAACTTTAACTTTAATAGATAATTTTTCAATCGAATTACCTATATATAACAAACACGGCATGAAATTAAAAGTGCAAATACACCATAAATTTTCACTTTTATTTTTAATAATCCAACCAAGATGTATTATTGTGGCCAGGGGCAGGGATGCACAATAAAATTAAAAGTATTTCCTCTGTTTTTTTCGTAAAAAAATAAAATTTTAAGTGTAATTTTATCAAATGTGTCAAATTGGATCGACCCGGCCCGCCCCGTACCCAGTACAAGTATTACTAGGGGTGGCAGTCGGTCGGTTTCGGTTTAACTGAAAACCAAAAACCCGGTTATCGGTTAAACCGAGCCACCACCTATAACTGCCGACCACCGACAGAAGAGAGGTCACGGTTAGTCGGCCAACCGACCGGTCGGTTCCGGGTTTAGGCTCGGTTAGCCGGCCAACCGAAAAAATACATTTTCCAAAAAAAAAAACTAAAAATTAATTAAAATAAACAGAAAAATCTCCACCACTCCTTCCTTATCTCCTCCTCTCTCCTTCCTTTCTCCACCAGACCTCCTCTCTCCTTCCTTCTTCTTCTATCACCTTCTTTCTCCATGGAAAGAGATCTGCAGGGGGCGGCGACGGGCGGCGAGGAGGTCGTCGAGGCGGCTTCTTCACCGCGAGCGCGCCGGTGAGTTGCTGCTGGAGTTGATGGTGGTGTTGGTGTTGGCGGCGCCGCGGCGGGGCGACGAGCTGCTGGAGTGCTGGTGTTGGCGGCACCGCGGCGGGGGCGACGAGCTGCTGTTGGAGGCGGCGAGGTGGAGGGGGAAGGGGAAGGTCGACTACGAGGGTGGAGGGAGGAAGGGGAAGGGGAAGGGGAAGGTCGACTGCGAGGTGGAGGGAGGAAGGGGAAGAGGTCGGGGTCGAGGAAGGTTGGAGGCGGCGAGGTGGAGGGGGAAGGGGAAGGGGAAGGTCGTCTGCGAGGGTGGAGGGAGGAAGGGGAAGGGGTCGGGGAAGGGGTTGACTGCAAGGGTTGGGGATCAGATTTGGGGAGCTAGGGTTATTGCAAGTGGGGTCGGCGTCGTTTTGGGGGAGGGGGCGTTCGGTTGGCCGGTTAACCGCCAGTTTCCGACCCCGGTTAGTCGGCTAGCCGAACCCCTACCCTTTCCCACCGTCAACCGACCGTTGTCATTGGAGTCGGTTTTTCGGTTAGCCGAAAACCGATCGGTTCGGTTGAAACCGTCCGGTTAACTGCTAATCGGAAAACCGTCCGCCAACCCTAAGTATTACCTTCCCCCTCCACCTCGCCGCCTCCAACAGCAGCTCGTCGCCGCCGCCGCGGCGCCGCCAACACTAGCACTCCAGCAGCTTGTCGCCCACCGCGGCGCCGCCAACACCAACACCACCATCAACTCCAGCAGCAACTCACCGGCGCGCTCGCGGTGAAGAAGCCGCCTCGACGACCTCCTCGCCGCCCGTCGCCGCCCCTGCAGATCTCTTTCCATGGAGAAAGAAGGTGAGAGAAGAAGAAGGAAGGAGAGATGAGGTCTGGTGGAGGAAGGAAGGAGAGAGGAGATAAGGAAGGAGTGGTGGAGATTTTTCTGTTTATTTTAATTAATTTTTAGTTTTTTTTTTTTTTGGAAAATGTATTTTTTCAGTTGGTCGGCTAACCGAGCTTAAACCCTGAACCGACCGGTCGGTTGGCCGGCTAACCGTGACCTCTCTTCGGTCGGTGGTCGGCAGTTATAGAGGATGTCTCGGTTTAACCGATAACCGGTTTTCGATTTTCGGTTAAACCGAAACCGACCGATTACCACCCCTATCTCCACCCATAATAGCATGAAACGGGACATGGGTATTGAGATTCCCGCCCCGTCCCGCACCGTTGTCATCACTAACTTTGTGTGTGTATGTGGAATCTGGATCTTTCTTTCCGCCTGCCCTATTAGTGTCGCGTCAAATATTATTTGTTATTATTTTTTACTTATAAAAAGCCAAGATTATGTAATATTGCCACCTGTCGAGGAAAAGACTTCTTTATTTACAGTTTTGCCATTCTTCCACGTTGCTTTATAGTAGGTGGAGATAAAGGACAAAGGGCAGCTGTCTCTGTCTGCCCGAAGCCCATTTCACCAAATCAATTTGCCAATTTGGCTACTCTACTACTCGTCCATTCAATTTTTGTTTCCAAATCATACATTTTATAAACTTAACCCGATCCATAATTAATGCTCGTGCATGTGCAGTATCACTTTAGCAGCCCTTAAAAAAAAAAGATACAGAAAGGTGCTTTCTACACTACTTTATTATTATTATTATTATCTGAATTTAACAGATCAAGACCAAATTTGAAATTCTCCAGCCTTGCTGTTCTTACCTTCTCTCGTCTGAATTATCTCCAAGGATGTAAGCTTTGTGAACTCCATAGTTACGAAGATTGAACTAACTAACACAATTCTCCCGTTAAATTTATTTAACAAAACGACACCTACTAATTCCACTGATTAGAATTTCATCGATTCAAATTCCGCCTATTTCAATATTCTCTCGTATTTTTAAAATCACTCCATCCAGATAACTCATAAGTTCTAATTAAAACCAGAGAATTACAATTTGTGCTCGTTTTGAATATATTTCCCCCACAGAGAGCTTTTTTTTACGGTAATTAATCTGTATTCAGCCAACCAATAAACAGAGTTTAGTAATGAAGAGTGTCAAGAACCACTTGATCCCAATAACTCGAATTATTAGAAGAGGTTCAATAGTGGATCATATACCACAACACTAACAGGATCTCACATTCACCGTCACAGACAGAGACAGGGGATGATTACTGATCGAGGTAAAGCTAATTATTGGCTGCTGCAATCGGAATTGAAAAATTACGTACCTTGGAAGCGTCGGGCTTGATTTGAGTGCCGGGGAGAAGTTTGGGCAGATCTCTGAGTCTCTGAGAGAAGGAGGCGGCGGAATCGGCCGCCACCTCCGTCGAAAGGCTACTCAGCAGCAGCGGCTGCTGGCGGTGGCGGGAAGTAAGTAGAGGCGCTGATCGTTTCCTCAGGAAGCTCCTTAAAGCAGACGCCATTGATGGAGGAGCCGAGGGAAAGAGCTTTCTTAAGCGAGCTAATTTGGTTGTTTTGGCAGACGAAAAATGCAAGTGAAGTGAGTGTGTGTGGGCGAGAGCCTCTCCTTTAAATAAAAAAACAGCTTTTCGATTTTTCAAAATAGTTTATTCTAGAAACAAAAACAAAAACAAAAACAAAAACAAAAATGGAAATTTGCGTTTTATCATCAATGATTGTGCAGTAATTTCCCGGCGAGAACCGGTCAAAAAGAATTTCGCCGGTAAGTTGCCATGTATTGTATTGTAGCTAAGAACATAGTGCGGCGAGTCCAAAAGGAAAGGAAATATTAGATTGATTCAACCCAGAAGAAGACTGACCGGCCGGAATCTTGCCAAAAGGAAACGCAGCATCAGTGAAGTTTCAGCCGGACATAACTTAATAATTAATAAATAAAACGATACCACCGGGATTATGAACAAGAATAATGTTGCCAATTTGCCATCTATCTTCTTCCAAATATAAAAAAATAAAATAAAAACCATCACTGATTACCACTTCGATATAGGGATGAAAATGGGTCGAATTGGGCACCGATAGCGACTATTCATTATCCTATCCTAATTAGTTTTTTTCGTTTTACCCGCACCTATTTCCGTGCAAGATTCGGGTAGAAAATTAAAATCATGTCCATACACAAGGTAGCTATGAATATCCATGAATAATATTTTTTCTTTTATCTTCTCAATTATTGTGTTATTAATAACAAGGTACAAATATATTAACATTAAATGAAGTGAAATTTATAAATAAATAATCACCCATACCAAGAGAAATAATAAAAAAGGAATAGTAGCTCATTAGATGCTGACAAATATACTAGAAATAGCAAATATATTAAAATAAAAAATTAATATTTTGTATGTATAATCGGAAGGGTTCGGATTGAATAATGAGAAAACCATATCCATTCATTATCCGTGATATTAATGTACGGATTTTACCCATACCATCGGATACTTTATTTTAATCGAATTTCATCCCACCCAGTTAGATCGGGATCGGACGGATATCCGAAATTATGAGTATTTTTAACATCACTACTTCCGTATTTGATCTTTGCCTATTTGAACACCATACCTGAACACTAATTAACCCTGGGATACTACGAACACATTATCCTTTAGTAGAAGTAACCAACCATCTTAATCTCAAAACTCTTTTTCAACCACTGATTCCTACTCCATTTTGGGCCATGTTAATTAGCGTGGTCTGATGAAATACGCAACTTCAGCGATCTACACACAGGTTGCTAAATGGGCTTCATCCAAAAAAAAAAAAAGTCATGAGCTGTACTAAAGAGTACGACGACGCTCTTGAATATGGACCTCTTCAGGCCCATAAAAATAGTTTCCCTGGTTCGGCCTTCTTATCAGGCCCATCCCATAACCTGTGCTGTGCTAGTGTGACTTTACAAGCAGGGCAAAGCAAGAACAGAGGAACCTGCAAACATCTCAACGAAGGCTTCAACAATGTAGCAACGATTCTCCCTCGCGTTCATCCTCAAGTACCACGCCAACAATTCCGCCAGCTGCTCCGCACCATCCAGCCGCAGCTCCTCCACCATCTCCTCCATCGAAGCTCGAAAATCCGCCCTCGGATCTCCGGTGTCCACGGCCGCCACCACGCAGTCCGGGAAGGGAACTTTTGCGGCCTCGAGTATCGACCTCGTGCTCCCTGCCGGCTCAAACACCAGCCTCTCCGACGGTCTCAGGTACTCTTTCACCGAAATCCTCCCCACCACCAGCTCTTCTTCCTGCTGATTATTGCCCGAATCGAGAACATCCTTGCTGCAACAATCAGCAGCCGTTGCCTGTGATGGCTGCAGATCAGTACCTTTTTTGGGTGTGGAGAGAAAGAAGAGCAGCCTGAACTTGTTCACCATCTTGGCTCTGTGCTTCATTTGGAAAAACCCCATTGCGGTATCACTCTGGGATGATCTGATCCGGAGTTGCAATTGGGGATTTTTATGCAGTATGAAGAAGAGACAGTTTTGGGTTGCAGGTGGAAGGAAATTTAATGTCATAAATAAAGGTGCATCTGTTGGGATCTTGTTATGTATGCTACATAAACAACCCAGAGGAAGTGCCTGGTTTAATGATTTCTTATGTGGGTAGCATTCTGATCAATGTCAACTTGATTCATCTCTGTAGATTTAGGGGATTGTGGTGGATTTGATCCCTACAACTGCAATTACCTACCGTGGCTTGCATAGTTGAGAAATTGAAGAAGAGAGGTCGAATTGAAGAGGTTTAGGTTCAGAATGGTAATGATACGCAAGAGTGGAAGACTTGATGCAGCATCATTATAAAGAGATGGTTTTTAGTTTGGCCAGATGGTTGATGGTGGATTAATGGCGGTGTAGTACGTTTGAGTGGCAAAGTGGATCAACTGTATTGAGGACCTTTTTAATGGCTGAAAATCAATTTTTGTCAAGGTTAAGTAGCTAACTGAAGCCTGTTCCGGAAAGCCATACGAGGGATTTATAGGTGTAGGAGTTTTGAAGTGGTAATGCCATCAACATGTGCTTGTACGGAAAGGACTCCTCAAGTTAATTAGAGAAGTTAGGGGATGAGATACGGTGATAACTTTATTAGCGGGTTGTGAGATTGACAACCCATTTTATAACCATAGGATCTTTTGTTTTTTGACAAAAGATAATCTTCATTGATCAAAACCCAAGAAAGTTACATTATGGATAGCAGCCAGGCCTGAAAATCAAAGAAACGACTCGCAGTCGGGTACAAAGAGAGAGCCTTACGAGCCACCTAGTGGGCTACCCTATTGCTACGCTGACCTACAAATCTAACGCTAAACCCTGAGCGATCCGCCAAGTGATGAATAATTTCAGCAAGAATAGCACCAATCCGACTATCACTAGCATCCGCATGGTTGATTTTGTCAATAATGACCTTGGCATCCCCCTCAAAACACACCTCCACTATACCCTGAGCCTGACACCACATGACAGCTTCCCGGAGCACCAACACCTCTACCACCATGGGATCATCAATGCTCGGGAACTGAAATCCACCAGCCATAAGGACCTCTCTAGTTGGAGTCAACACCATCCATTCTCTCTATTGTCTTTTTTTTTTCTTTTTTTTTAAATCAATGGTACATATTGAATTAAGGGGTCGTTTGGATGGATTTTTTAGATGAGTTATTTGGGTTTAAATAACTCACAATGAGTTATTTGAATCCAAATAATCCGTTTGGCTCCACAAAACTGAGATGAGTTATTTGGGCCGAGTTATTCTCAAATAACGCAAAATGCGTTATTATCAATACCACCCACCTCCCCAGTTATTTAGAAATAACGCATAACGCGTTTTTTGTTCCCCTTTCTGACCCTGCCTCTTTCATCTCTTTCTTTCCCCCCCCCCCCCCCCCCCCCCCCCTCTTTTATGCTCCTCTCTCCTCGCTCTTCTTCATTTCCATTTGCAGATCCCCTTTCATATTTCCCAGCGAACTCTCATCTTTCTCTCTTTGATTTGTTGCTTGCTTTCATTAATAAAAAAATTGTTGATTTTTTCTGCTTCAATTGAACCTCTGAACCACACGATTGGTTTAGTAGAGAGAGACTTAGGAGAGAATCCGCCATGGTTGAGGTTTCAGATTTGTGTCGATTTCTGCGTCTAGAGCGCCATCGAAAGAGAAGGGGAGAAGCAACGTTGAAGCACCGGGAAAAGCAATAGCGAACCGCCATCTGGGCCTGCTCTGTTCTGATAGCGACGGAGGCAGCGAACGATGATGATGGCGGGTCGGCGGCTTATGTTTGCTGGGAATTGAATGTGGCTTATATTTGTCTCTTCGATTTCTATTCTTGCATAAAGAGGTCCTGGCATCCATGACTATTGTGTGTCTGTTGAAAAAAAGTCATGCAAGGAAGGGTAATGGTCTTGTTCTTGGCAATTGGCATCCATGGTTGTTGTTTGTCGGTTGAAAAGAATGGTAGGGAAGAAGGGTAGGGACAAGGATATATTTGTAATTTAAGATTATGTTGTTGAATAACACACTCCAAATAACTCTTCCAGCCAAACAAGATATGTTAACACAAATAACACTTCAATACCACACAAATACCCAATTGATAAAAAAAATGAGTTATTTGTTCACAAATACCACACCCTAATTCATAACTCATCCAAACAACTCCTAAGGGTATTTTTGAACGAAAAATTTAACCACACTAAATTATTACCACTATTAATACCTAAAACCCTACATTCTCTCTTTCCTCTCGCGACAATCTTTCTTCTTCCTATTCTTCTTCTAGCCTTATGCAACTAGTCACCCGTGCTTGGGCTTTTTTGTACGTTGCACAACCAGCCCATTAAGATTTGAGATATGTGTTTATAGTTTGGGAAACTATGTGACAACTGACCAGAAGGGGAAGCCAAGCTTTTCACCGCAAAATGAATTATCGTAGATTTTCGTAACTACACCACCACAATTTACAAAACTCTTAAAACCTTCAACGAATGAAATTAATTAATTTATCAATTTAACTGTGTATATATATATATATATCTATATCAAAAGGCCTCCAGCCCATACAAGACGCCCGCATGCTTTTCAGGCCCATCCTTTAGGAAGAACACATCCCTCATCTTCTGGAACGCGTGCCACGTCAGCAAGCTATCCGACCCGGCCTGGTGACACTTCCCCACGGCCCGATCCACTTCCAGCGTGCGGGCCACCCGGTCCAGCCCACCATACAAGCTATCACAGAACCTCATCATGTGCTTCACGTCGTAAACCCGCCGCCCAAAAAACACCCGCAACAGGCCCAAGAACTGCTCCAACCCGCCGGGCAGCGACCTCCGGGTCAAGATCTTGACCAGGTACCCGAAATCGTACGCGCTGTGGAACGTCACCCAGCTCACCGCCTCGTTGCAGACCAGCCCGGACGACATCATCAGCTCCGCGAACCGACCCGATTCCACCCCTTCGACCTTATTCCTCGCGAAATCGATCCCCTGCCGCCGCAGCAGCTCGATGGAGTCCGGCGCGTGGGAGTCACGCTCCACGTCGAAGTCCCTGAAGTTGAACTCCCAGATGAACCTCTGCCTCCCTCCGGTGCCCAGATCCGGCAGGTTGCCGTCAGAATCGGAGAGGGTGAGGCCGACCTGGATGAGATTGAGCGCGTCGACGTTGGATTTGAGGATCTCGTAGTGGTCGGAGGGATTCCTCCGCTGCTGGTAGAACGGCTTGGTCCGGTGGATTGCGGGTGGAGGAAGAGGGCGGAAGACGACGCCGGGGAACTCGGTGTCCATGGAGATGAAAGGGAAGTCGTCGATGGCGTCGCGGATGAGGTCGAATTCGGCCTCCAGGTTGGACGCCCAGACTTCCCTGATTACGATCGGCGGCGGGGGTGGAGGAGTTGATAATATCTTGGTCATTGCGGCGGAGGAGAAATGATTGTTAGGTTGAATTTGGAGATGGATTGAGAATTGTTTAGTGCGGTGATGGTGGAATTGGGGGTGGGGATTAGGGATTTATATTGTGGAATTGGGAAAGTGGCCAAGTGGGGGAAGGATTGAGGAGTGAGAGGTTGCTTGGAAAGAGGGGGGAGAAGGGGGACGTGGGGGGAAAGCGGGGAAATGGTGGGGAGTTTTTTTTTTTTTCCCCCCTAATAAATTAATCAATAATTTAATATTGAGGGGGTTGAACTTGATTCAACGCATGGGGATTGTTCATTTTGAACGCGCTGGGAAATTTGACCGGGAAAGGGTCGCGGCGGCGGCGGCAGGAGTCGCCTTGTGGAGTTAGAGTAACGGATGTGGTAAGTATGAGTGTAAAATTGGGGCTGTGGGTAGTCGGCGGCGGCGGCAGCGTCAACCGACTTGGGATAATGATAGGAGTTCAAAAAATTTTAATTCGAAAGATCATAATCATGATTATTAGAGAGGGGTTAGAGGGCTATAGTCTATTTACTAAATTTATTTAGGAAATATTTGTTGAAACCTCTTCGACTATATGTCTTGAACTATATTTTTTATCGGATGTCTTCAAATGGGCTCAACTATCTTCGATTTTATATTGAAATTCTAAATGGTGACTCAAATGAGAAACTTGAGAGCCAGTGCACAAATATTGTAATGAAAGGATTGAGGATCTGATACCACTACAAGGAAGGGTCAAATCCAAAGGTTACCAGGTAGAGGTGACAATTGTCAATCCAACCTATCAATTTATTAAAAATATCTAATTAATCAAATCGATTTGATCCAAATTCAATTGATTGGTGGATTCATGGATCTTTGGCAAATTATAGTTTAGTACCTATAATTTTATTTTTACATTTTGGTACCTAAAATTCATTTTTTTATATAAAATATCATTGGAAAATCATGATTTGGTACCTAAATTTTTCATCGTGACATTTTAGTACATTAACTTTTTGCATTTTATATATAGGTCCTAGGTCGAGGATGTCATTTGAATTCGTGGATAATCCACCAATCCATAAATCCAACAATCCAATACATAAATCCAATCCATTTGTCACCGCTGGCCTTTTATGACATTGATTGATAAAAGCTTGATGGAGAACTTGAGTTCAACAAGTTGATTCACTTAGCTTGGACATGTCTTTCTGGACCATTTTCAATGTACCTGGCCGGGCTTTTGCCAGTTCCTTCACTTCCTTTCATTTTCACATAATACATAAACATTAAACAGTATATACAGACAGAAGAAAAAAAAATCGAGATATATTATGCTGTTTTGGCTCGTGTAAACTGTAATACGTTGTCACTATTAAATAATTATGAATTATTTGTAACTTCACTATAATAATTTTTTTTTCCAGTAGAAATAGTTATTATCGCTTCAGCACTAGCTCAATCGCTGCAAGTTGTACCCTTACTGCACCCTATACTCACACGTGGAAATTATGTTAGTAGTCATATTATAATTAACATACGAAAAGTCGTACGTATAGAGTTCACTGGTCTTTGCTTTGATGATTGTGGCAATTGCCAAGTGGAATGTTCAGCGAAACAACGAACTGATTAATCAAATCTGCCGACTGATCATTAACTCACTAAACTATTGTAATTAAGTTATGACGTACAGTCCAGAGGATTTGATTATTGACTTACATTCACTTAAATAATCAACGGCGACGTAATTGGCCGGTTGAATTGTTCAGCGGGTATATGCCATTGACATGCAGGGTCTATCAATGACATATAATTACAGCTTCAGTAAACAGTAAGTCAATAGTACATAACATGGATTCATTAATAAACTTCTTCAACATTAATATTTAGACGATAATTATTGGAGATGATTAATACTCACTTGATGGCATTCAATAGAGACTGAAGGTGGGTTTCATGGTAATGTATTCTCAAGAGTGTCATTCAGCGCCATTTCCAGCGACAATGAACTTTGATCCCCCATTCCTAATTAAACATGTAATTCGTCAAAACAACCCAAAATTTTAATAAATTTAATTAGACTTCGGTCAGTGTTTTATAAACCAAATTTCTGAATTCATCCGTGTGATCAAACCGGGATTTAAACACATGGTGGTTAAACAAACTGATCGATCGGGTCATTGTGCAACATGACATGTGCATATAACAAATCGAATTACTATGACTCGTCGCGCGTCTCGAGTGTCAGTTGCAAATTTAGTCAGCTCCGAATCATGTAATGGGTTGTTTGCTTTATTACCCGTAGCTTGAGTTGTTGAGAGAAAATCAATGATGAATCTTATACCGTTCTCCTACCATTCTCTGTGATATACACTGGTGGGTTATTGTAGTTGATCTTGATATGGTGAAGCAACCTTTGGAATCCCTTTGGATATATGAACAGCCAAACTAGACCAGCTGTCTGCAGACCACCACAAAAAAAAAAAAAAAATCAATCAGAAGAGCCACCACAACTCAATTAAGGAAACCATTAAAATTCCAACAAGACCACATACCGGTGTGCCAAATGGTACTCCATCCTTCTCAGCATTGAAAAATAACAAACGTAACACACAAATTAATCATTATTGACCAATAATAATAAAACGTGACATATTGCCGCTTGACCATAAAAATACTTACTGGAAAGAAGGGCACGACTATCATCGGAGTAGCTAGCCCTGGAGGCGGCCGGAGCTTCCTCGGCGTAATTCGCCGTGACCAAGAAAGTCGATCGAGCCTCTCAACATATCCGACTGCTCCTTAGTGAATATCGGGAGCCGATCGCCTACAAGCGACCTCATGCTCTTGGGCTACGCCCCGTAAGTGATCGGGCCGAGAAACCATCCGAACATGAAATCCAACGCCCTGGACGCGGCCACGTGGCTCGACGGCGAGTTTTTGTACTTGGGCTCGAACCACCGGCCGATGATCGTGATCCCGACCTTTCCCTTCTGCCTCTCTTGATATGATTCTCTGTACAGCTTCACCGCCGCGGCATGGCTCAGCAGCAAATGGTGCGCTGCCACGTATGGCTCCGTGGAGGAGTCCCCGCCGGCGCCGGTGCAGTTCCCCATCCACTCCGTCTCCGAGCACCGGCCGGGAGGCCATTCGCCGTAGTTGTAGGCTTCATGGAGTAGAGGTTGGGCTCGTTTACCGTCAGCCATTTCTTTACTCGGTCGCCGAATGTCTTGAAGCAGAAATCCGCATAGGCAAGATAATCATCCCTGTTATATATGTTGGAGCATCTATGACTTAACTTGAAATCTACAATACAAACACTAAAAAAATATATGAATTTACATGGTTTACTAACACGATGTATGTTAACATAATCGTCTATAAGTTTGTGCCATCAGACCCAATAGCATAGAGTCTCGCAAATTTTGAGAACTCAACCTGCAAACTATAATGAATCATGTGTTTAGTTTTGGGCTTCTACAAAAACTTATATAATTAGGAAGCTTATAAATTTTTTGGGCGGTCTATAACACTAGCGAACTAGGAGGTTTAGTTTTGATCTTATCCAAAAATTGATGTATATAATTTACATGGCTTCAAAAAGTTCAAGGCCCGCATTTAATTTGTGGAACTGGGTGTCGAAAATTTTACATAGGATCCGCCCTACGCGGCGGATCCAGGAATTTTATATAGGAGTGTCATCTTTTAAAAAGTTAAGTAAAATAAAAATTAAATAATTCTATTTATACACAACTCGTACAAGTTAAAAAAATCAATAATGTATTTTCATATTCTAAAAAAAATTATAAAATACACGTGGTGTCTACACTGCTCAACAAATTTGTCTCGATATATCCTACTAGACAATCATTCATGAACTGACGCATATTTGACTTCTAAATTTGTTCTTGATGTAACTCAAAGCTGAAAAGACACTTTCAACATTTGTCGTACAACCATAAAATCAATACAAATTAAGGGTACTTGTAATTAGATTAATTGTTAGATTTTGAAAATAATTAAAGATAGAGAATAGGGTTTTGCTATTACATGGTATTTAGAATAGAACAACAAAAAAGTTGTAGCCTAATGGAAATTATATTTATTAATAATAGTAGTATCCCAGGTTTGAATAACCCAAACTACCACTTATATTCCCATACGCAAACTACAAATGAGAGTAGGATAATCGTTCTTTCAAATTTCAGGGTGTCCTGAACTATTAATTATAATTTTTTGTCCACACGTAAATTACCACCGGGGCTGGACAATCAATTTTCCAAAATTAGGGGTGTCCCGGGATACCCCTAAACTCTCCTGGGTCCGCCCCTGGCCCTATGTGTTAGCCGATCCACGAACAATCCAACATGAAATGCCAATTTCTCATAATTGTTACGTATTGAAAATTGAATTTCACGTAATCAGCACGACCTAGAATACTTGCTATAACAGAGGCTACGTGGACAAAAATATGATAGCTTCGCATGTATAATTTTCAAGTTCAATGAGTTTCATCTTAGAAAGAATGATGAAGATCCATTCTTCTTCTATATATTCGAAGAATTACTCAAATTATTTGAATCAACTGTAATTCCGATGATCATCGATCATAGCTATACGTAATTAATGAGTTTACCTGGTAAGCAGCAGTCGCGCGCGGCTCCAAACAGAAACCCAATTTGGGAAGCCGCTTCGACGCAAAGGAGGAGGCTCCATCTCCATCTCAGCACGAGTTTGCAACAATGGCGGAGCAAATTGATGCGCGAGTTGCCAAGAGGCAGTAGAAGAAGATGAGAAACAAACAAGCTTTCGTACCCAATATTTCCATCTCGACCGATTACAAGTTTACTCGCTAGCTAGCTGATCACTTGGCAATCTTCGCTCCATATATATACACAGATGCTAGAGCTCTGGGATTCTGCTGTCTCCTTTTGGAAACGTGCACAACTCTGACATACTTCCCTATCAACATGGCCTAATTAACTGCCTAACTAACCTAATTAAAGAGCTATCTGATTTACTTAGTGATAACCTAATTAAGTAACTAACCGGTACGTACATGAATTGCCACTAATCAACGTTACAGTCGTACACGTACCTGGCCTCCACGAACTAAGATGCAAGGTCATTAACTATCAACAAGGTTGTCGACCTACGGGTCAACCCACTTTAACTCTGATTCTGTGAGAAAAACGGGTCGCACGCACCCACCGGGTCGACCGCTACAAGGTACCGGGTTAGAGGTTAGAATGTGTCATTTATTTATATGGTTTACTAAATGCGCATATTTTTCGATTTTTCTTTTCCGCCTAATTCAATCTTTGGAATTTTAAGTTGAACATTTGAATATATATGTTATATAAGTATGTCTGAATCTTCACAATATGTTGGATCTAAGTACAACATATTATTTTGGTGGAATATTATATGTTATAACTCATATGTTAGATGAGATTTGATATAATTTATGAGGATAAGTACAATATAATGACTCTTTCCATATTTTCGAGCTAAACCGGGCTAAAACGGGTGACCCATTAACCCTTGATTCATTAGCCGACCGGGTCCTGATCAGCCTGCCGGTTGACAACCTTGATTATCAACCATCTGCAGAGGTAGAGCCTTTCAGTAATAAAATGATCACACATATCTTCTTCAAAATTGAGAAGTAACAGGTAACCTTCCCTCGCTACATTTCACTTTGGAGAGGTGGTCGTGGTGGGGGCAAGGAAGCTTTGGAACCAATACGCAGAAGCCTTGAGATACCTCTTCAAATTGTCGTTAAAATCCACGTAGGTCATCCCAAAACGCACCGTGTAACCAGCGTCCCACTCGAAGTCATCAAAGAAGCACCACACGTAGTAACCCTTTACGTTGGCTCCACCCCTGTCACATAACATGCAACTTACATGTTAGCGTTGCATATATATAGGATTATCAAACTAGCGTCTAGCTAGTCCATCGAATATATCCCATTCAGATAATAAATATAATTTTGAGTACTGATTTTACCAGAGATAACACAATACTCACTTGATCGCGTTCGACAATGATTGAAGATGCGTGCTATGGTACTTTATTCTGAGGGTGTCTTCGAGCGCCATCTCCAACGACAACGAATTTTGATCGGCTATTCCTACACACCATAAAAACAAGATTATTCAATAAAATTAAATGGACGTAACTCTCTGACAATAATACGGAAATGAAAAAATATATATATACGCGTTACGAAATATTATTAACATACTCTAGGATACGGCTAAAAGCAATAACATTTTATAAACAGGCCAGATTTTATTTGGGTCGTGGGTTGCTTTTGATGGGCCTGGTCTCTGGGTCGGGTCAGTAGCCCGGGCCAAATGTTTAGGGTTAATTGTGATGATCAATCACTAAAATATTACCATTCTCAGTGATATAAACCGGTGGGTTATTGTAATTGTCCTTGATATGGAGCAGCAGCTTCTGGAATCCCTTTGGGCATATGAACAGCCAGTCCAAAGCAGTCTGCAGCCATTAACAAAACCCAAATCCCAATTCCATTTATCACCTTATAGATAAAATTAAGCATAATTAAGAACCGAAATTAGGATACAAAATCAATAAAAAAAAATTAAGACACTGTAGAATAATCCATACCGGTGTGCCAATCGGGATGCCGTCCTTTTCAGCTGCAGGAAGAAACACCCGACAAAAAAAGTAGATATGACATCATCAGTCGATGAATTTCAGAAATATATATTGTCACACACTTCAACATTACTATAAGGACAACGTGACAAAAATCCATCTGCGGCGGCGCCGGCAATATACGTACTGGATAGAACGGCACGACTATCGGTGGAGTAGCTAGGATTGGTGGTGGCTGCGGCCAAAAGCTGCGGCGGCGTGTTCTCGGCGTAATTCATGGTGTAATAATTCAGACCCAGAAAATCAATGGACCCTTTCAGCATCTCAGACTGTTCGTCGGTGAATTTAGGGAGCCGATCCCCTACCATCGACCTCATGCTCTTGGGGTACTCCCCGTACGTGATCGGGTGGACCAACCACCCGAACAAGAAATCCAACGCCCTCGAAGCTGCCACCTGGCTCGAGGGAATGGATCTGTACTTGGGCTCGAACCAGTGGGTGGCGATCGTGATCCCGATCTCTCCCTTCTGCCTCGCCTGGTACTTCTTCCTGTATAGTTTCACCGTCGTCGCGTGGGCCAGCAGGAAGTGGTGGCCCACCACGTACGGCTCGGTCGAGGAGTCGCCGCCGCCGGTGGCGGTGCCGGTGCAGTTGTTCCCCATCCAACCCGAGCACCGACCGGGGGCGAATTTGCCGAAGTCGTAGGCGTTCATGGTGTAGGAGTTGGGCTCGTTGATGGTCACCCATTTCTTCACTCTGTCTCCGAATGTCTCGAAGCAGAAATCCGCGTATACGACGAAATCGTCCCTACATATATTATCGGAGGAGCGCATCAGTATGATTTCATTTTGTACCGTAATTTTATATATAATTAGCATTACTTTTATAAGTAATTGGATTGAATGTGCAATTAATGTGTAGCGCCAATTTGATTGATTGATTGATTGATGATAATGACTTACACGAAGGTAGGGCTTAGAAGGCCACCGTATTCATCCTCTAGAGCTTGGGGAGGGTCGAAATGAAGGAGAGTGACAAATGGCTTTATACCTAATTAATCAATATCAGAATACTAATCATCAGAATTATATTAATGCAATATATATAACACTAATAATTAGTCGGATATTATTAGTATTTATGTTTATACATAGCTAGAGCCTAGAGTTTACCATTGGAGATGAGTTCATTGATGAGGTCGTTGTAGAACTTGACGCCAAGTTGGTTTACTCCCCCGCTAAGCTTGCCGTCTGAAAATATATAAAAATTTAGTTCATACTTCATACTTACTTAGCTTACTAAATGGTGTTTATGAATGTTAATCATTCTTTATAAACATTGTCAATACATGGAGTTTATTAATTAAGGAGTGATCTCGATTATTGATTTACTTGGGAAAATTCTGGTCCAGGAGATGGAAAATCTGAAGGAGTCCAATCCAATCTTCTTCATCAGTTGAATATCCTCCTGCATGCATCAATATATTTGGTTCATGACTAATAAGTGATGACAATTTTTATTCATTTTACCTTTAACTTTCGTTTTTTTTTTAATTTTATAAAATACGCTTTACTTTACTTTACTTTTGTAATTATACTTTACATATGAAAGAGAGAAATTAACTTGTAATAAAGAGTATGTACATATGTGTAGGAAGGTACCTTGTATCTGTGGTAGAAATCGTCCCCAATGTCTCCAGTACTAGCATCCATTATCTTTTCTGTTATACAAAAATAATTAAGAAGTATATACGTACATGAGAAGTGAGAAAATTATATACATTATAAGTTCACAGTGTCAATCTAATCATATACATATTTTTTTAAATAGAATAATCATATACACATTTCAATTGGTAATCTACAGATATAATATTGACTAAAATCAACATAATTGACCAATTACTAATAACTAGTTTGACCGCGCTGTAACAGTCAATACAACTTTATTTATATATTTTTGCTGAAATGTTTTTCAATTGACCCAACTATGTGAATTTGACTTGTCGGCGCCAGTCATTATTAATCTATTAAAAATATACAATAACTATTTCCTTATAAGCTATATATGACTTTCTTCCCTTTTTGTTATTTTGAGTACTGGGCCTAAAACGGAAAGCCTGAATTGTACTGAAAACTGACCATTGAAATTAAATATTGACTAGCTCTATTAATCACGGCAAGAATAATGCATATTGTCATCAAAACTACATTTTCATTGCCAAAAAAAAAAAAACTACAATAAATTCTGACTTTCAACTTTCTCGAGATCGATCATCGTATTTTGTACCAAAATCGAAACGAATGAAGATAGATAGATCATAAACATAATAGATAAGAAGAACAACTGAACCTGGATATTTCCTGGCAAAGCTATCCCATACGCTTGGTCCCCTTCCATAAGTAGATAATGCTGCCCTCCTTCAGACTGGAAAAAAGATCAAACATACTCTCTCTGTTAGAATGAATCGAGAATATTTGCGGTAAAAAAAAAATACAGATTTACGTAGTTCACTAAAGTGTATCAGTTTGTCTCGAAAAAAGAGAGATTACAAAACAGATCCAAAACAACAGACAAACATACGTACGTGTGTATAATCAGTCTTCTAATAACTACATACTTTAGCTAGCCAGGAAGGATGACCAAATCATCAGCTCACCTGGTAAGCTGAGATTCCAGCGCCGAAAACAAACCCACCCGGGAAGCTGCTCCGGCTCAAACCAGCCGCCGGTGCCGGCGACCCATTCCTGATCGTGGGTTCGTAGCCATTATCGCAGGAGATCATCGACGGTATCGTGGCCAGGAGGCAGAAAATCAGAACCCAACATTCCCTAATAGCCGCCATGCCCATGAAATGAATGATTCCGGCCGTCTAACAAAAACCTAGCGCTGCTGCTAGATCGATCTATAGCACAATTATAAGGTGAGTTTAGAAACTTTGGGGAAATTTGGATTTTATACGAGTAAAACGGGTTTGCAAGTTGCATGCATTTATATGGCGTTGTAGGGTCTAATAAGGATCAGTAGCCGACGGCCGTTTCGTGCAAGTAGTGGGATTGGTATGATTAAGTAGGGGTGACGGTCTGGTCCGGTTAAATTGGACCAAATTGATTCGGTCCCAGTCTGGTTTTTTTGGGAATATAAAGACCCAAGATTGGATTGGATACAATCCGGTCTTGACACGGTCCGGTCTCAATTTGATCTTGATTTTAGATTGAGCTTGTGGGGATTTGAGTGTTGGGGTCTCTTATCCGGTCTTTATCCGGTTTTTTTTTACCTCAAATCTAAGCCCGAATATGAGATTGGATTGTTTGCTATCCGATCTCACTCCTGTCTGGATTATACGGTTCGGTTTCGAGTAAAACAAAACAATCCGGACCAAATAGCCAGTCCTATTATTAAGGATAGACGACAGATTTGCGGTGGTTGGATGGATTACTTGGTGGAATAATAACGTTGAGCACATTTTTTAAAATACTTTTTAATAAAGTCAAGACTCACTCACGTCCCTACAATGAACTTTGGAGGCCCAGTTACTCAATTAATGTGGCGTAAAATTCATTTTGATGTATAATAAAAACGATGAAAATGATTATCACGTTGATTTGAAACAGACTTATATATATTAGATCTTTTTATTTTTATTTTTCAGAATGTTATTCTTAATCGGTCTTCATAGCTAATCGATTTTATAGAGGCAATGCATGATACGAACATGATTTTAACAATCAATATACAAGTATCGTATGTACGTACATGATGATGATGATCAGTAGCTAGGCTTATGATTAATTAATAGACTTTCGTGCATTATCATATACACAATCAATTAATCATACATGCACAAATTTATTCTGTAATATATATACTTGGGTTATTCGATATGGTGGAAGCCCCTAATATTCGGAGGACTGTACGTAGATCGTCGCCCCTTAAATCGACATTATGAAATGGGACTGCCAAATGGGTCATTTTATTTTTAGACGGACCAAATTAAAGTGATCATTCTTTAATTTAATCCAATATAAACCGTCATATATTGTTGTTAATAACTGCACATAATTAGGTATATTTTAACTTTAATTGTTGAAGACAAGAGAGGTTGCAAGTTGCTAGGATTTATCTATAATTGGTAACCCTACATATGAGATCATTTGTTGTGTACTCGTCTTGTGTCCCCACATTTTGAACAGGCATACTTGCACACAGATTTTGACTGCACAAAACCGGCCGTCCTCCATCCAATGCCCGAGGAAAGGGTTAAGGGCTCCGAGGTTCAATCGAATTTAAATCGATAAGCACCATTATATCCTAACTGAAAATTACGTTTTAAGTCATCTTGAAGTAAGTAAGTTTGCTTGTTGTGAAAGAGAAGAGAAAACGTCTTTGCTTGAGATTCAAGCAACCCCATTTTGAATTGGACATAATTACATTGTTTTTTTAATTTTTCGAGTGATATCAAGAGAGGAAAAGAGTTATACAAACAAAACTATCAGGAACCCCTATAGACACTCTAGTAAAACCCGGCCCCCAATAAAGTCGAAAGACTAACTCTAACTGAGACAATAGCAGTGCTTTAAGCGCCACTCTATGGGGAGCACTGCTGGCGGCTACCGCCCTAAACTCTATACAAACTGAGAGTCTAGAATCTGAAGACACTCTCGGAGCACCGGACCTCCAAAGAAATTTGTTAGGACACCTTGCCGGTTCTGATTGGCGACCACCTCGGAATCACCTTCCACTATCACATGAGCCAAAGATCTTGAGCCTACGATAGCGATAGCATCTCATACTGTTATCCAAGCGAGGTTGACTACTTCCTGGTGACGCATACTGATTGCCAACTACACCACATGCCCGTCTGACAGACGAGCACCCTAAGTCACAGACAGTTGCATCGCAATTGAAACATAATTACATTGTTTATATGGTTAGAATCTCAATCAATTTTAATATCATAATAATATCTAATACACTAAATATCTTCCCATGAAGTCACCCTACCATTTGTTTCCTTTTTTTATAAGTCGCCATCCACTTGGCCCATTCCCCCGACATCCATAATGCACTCTTCCTTTTCTTTCTATAACCAATTGGCCTTATCCATCCAGCAACTTGTAGGTCTGGAAAATGTAAAACGATTAGCAACAATGTGTACAAATTGGAAAGAAAATCATAATAATTAGTAAGGTACGTAATTAATGACCAACCTATCTAACTATCACGGTTCGATTTTTTTTTTTTTTTAATCTTTTAGCTGTTTCTCTCACTCAGATTCTACTATAACAATTGCATACTAGTCGCGTTCTTGATCTATAAGGATTGGAAATAATCCTTGACATTATGTTGAGCAGACTACTAAAAATTTAAATATAAGACATGTCAGCAATCTATATTCTAAGAAGCCTTATAGCTTTTGACAAGTAATGTAAAGTTTAGACATTACCCATAACATTGAGCCTACATATTTATTGGCAAACTACCAAACTCACAAGTAGCTAGCACGCACTTGTGTCCAATTGAAAACATTACCATGTGGTAGGGGTGTGCAATGGTCAGGTCCGTACCGGACCACACCGGACCAAACCGTTGTTAAGACCGGATCGGACCAGACCGAGTAAACTGCGGTCCGGTCCTTGGTCCTCATGAATTTTATAATTACTGAAGAAATGGTAGACCGAGCTCATATTTGGACCAGACCGAACTGGACCAAATGGATCAAATGCAAGAATGATCCGGTCTTTGGTCCTAACATGTCTTTCACTAATGGACCGCGATTCTCATGAGTTTAGTCCGGTCCGGACCGAACCGAACCGATGCACACCCCTACCATGTGGAACGTGGACAACGTGCTTCTTTCTCCAAAAGTCCAAATCAAAAGGAGAACAAAAAAGGCGTATAAATGGGCTTTACTAAAGAACAGCCTAAATTTGCTGGGCCTGGTCGTAGCCGATCACTAGTTCGTTGATTCTTTTTTTAGTTTGGTAGGCGATGCAGAGTTATATCCGGAAAGACCTCTGTTTGGGCTTGGGCCTGGATACTTCCATACGGCCCACTAAGATCCACTAGCTAGGTAGAGACTAGAGACCAAGATCCGCATTGGTGGCACAATTCCAAGGCAGAGGGAGAGCATTGATAACGAAACCAGCTAGCTAAGCTATAGCTTCTTTCGTCGACAAGTTGTTGGGTTTCCTTTTCCGTAAGTGATCATATGGCTCTGAATTCTGATAATTCAGTTCAATGGGACGATTAGAATATCGTTTGCTTGTGAAATTTGGATGATGTATTTTGATATGATCTCCAATGGTCTATTATACACGTTTAACTTACTTGACGAAGAAGCTAACGAAGTTGGGAAGAAGAAGGACATAATTTGGCTAAGTCAAAATCCGTGTTCAGGGTACTTACTTTGGAGGCATGGTTCTCTCAATTGGATTGGTGGAAATTCAATTTTAAGGGTTTGTTTTGCAGATAAAGTTACCATCTTTCCAATGATATGCTTTGTGGATCCAGATGATGTCATTAAGGTTGTTTTTCAAGGCCTCAAAGTTGCTACCTCAAAACTGGAAAACTGCCAGAAAATGACTAAGGCAGAAAACTGTTTTGTGAAGCCTACTTTGGAGCTCAATTCGAGGAGTATGGATCTGATTCAAGTCCAAAGGCTTCCACAACATGAAACTAGGTATGTTTATGTACAGAGGGAAGGAATTGGATGAAGGATTGGAGTTCTGGAAAGCCTTGAACGAAAGGCGCGAAGTTAGTACGAAAGCTGCCTTTTGACTGTTTTGCGGGCAGCTTACTTGTGCTTCAAGAAATGGAGTTTAAACTCGAATTTTGTGTCCTTGTTAGTGTAGACTTTTGCCTTATTTGTTGCCTAGTTCTATTAGGATTGTATTAGGTTTTATTTGTCTTTAAATACCGTTCTATTTACGTTGTAAAAACATGAGACTTTGATTAATTGAAAAACAAAACTTTGGTTTTGTGCAAGTTGCGACTTGTTGAGTTTGGTGGATTCCAAACTTGTGAGCTTTGTATCGATTGAATATCCTCTTCAATCGTGGTTGAACAGCTACCCTTTTATACCATACGAGCTTTCCCCAGGTATGGAATTGTCCGTTGGTTCCGTTTTATCCCAAGTTCGTATTAAGAGCGCTTCGTTCTTGATTCGAGCTCAATCGATTCTTCGATTGAGACGTTTGTTGCATTACTTTGGTAAAAATACACCCCCCAGGGTCGTATTATATTTGGTACCCAAATTCCAAGCATTATGTATTTGTCAAAATAACATTGTTTGTTGAGATACACAAATCCGTGGGGTCCACGGATTTGGTCCTTTTTTTAGCTCCAAATCCATGGACCCCACGCAATTGCAAGTACCACATTTCATTTGGTATTTGGTCATGGAAGGTAAGGTTTTGTGAGCCATGGTGCAACAACCTTTAAATCCATGATCAAAATGAACTAAACAAACAATGTTATCTTAAAAAATACAAAATGTAACAGATCCATCATAAATCCAAAGGTTTTCAAAACTCAAAACTTTCATTTACAAATCCAACAAGCAAACGCGAGCCTGTACGAGTGCTTTAATTAGGGCGCCTTAAATCTTGATTAGCACATATACTTACTGGTATTAAAGCTGGTGGCTGGCACCCCCTCCCTATACAGCTTGCAGGCAATAATACCCAACCCTGGAATGTGGATGTTTAAGTGTGGTCTGCATCAGTTGGTTGGTTAATTTAATTATGTCTCTCATTCACTCTCGGTGGAAATTATTAGTTACTAGCTAGTAGCCCAACTACTGTGCTTGCAAAACCATACCGGACGCGCGGTTGCACCGAAAAAATTAATTGCTGAAGTTCAAGTCGTGAGGTAGTTTTAGCACGGTATAAAACGGTTTCAGCAAAAAAAAAAAATAAAAAAAAAGTTTCTATCGCTGGCTTTTCCGATATAATCTCCAATAGGGTTTTACAATTCTAACCCAAATCGAGCCACCGCTGGTTGTGGAAGAGAAAGGGTACAATGTTGCAGGTGTGTGATTTATTATGGAATACTAAATGGCTTGATAGATCATGTGAGCTGCATAAATTTCAGGCTTCCATATCGCTAATTAATTAATTAACTTCATGGGTGGTGGCGGAGGGGAAGAAGAAAAGTTAGCTCAACCACTACCCTGTGAAACGGTTGAATATGCATTCATGTTGAAATGGATTGCTAGGTTGGTTCTCTGTTCAACGTCAGGGTGGGAGGAGAAAGAAGACTATTGGGTTGGGCCGGCGGGCCGGCCGGCGGGCCTAATTTTCTGTTCCAGCAGCAGCACTAGTGGTAGTACGTACCTTTGTGTTTCTGTGTGTGTAGTTAATGTTTCATCACATCAAAGCATTTAAGAGCATGACATGTTACAAATTACGTTCAAACCTTAGCTACTACGTACGTACTGTTCCAATTCTGGTTTGGGGTAGCTACTTAAGTTTCACTTCTTCTCTACTAGTTCTTATTCTTCACCATTCAATCAATACGATTGAACCACCGTTACTCTACGTTAGATATTTTTTTAAAGCGTTGATGTGTATAATTGATGGTAAGTTTAGTTGGGTTGTGTCAGAACAAATTATGGTATTGGCACAAAGTTTTCGGCCAAACAAGCGTGCTATGCATGACGGGTTTAATGACTGTATATCTCATTAAAACGATTTAATGTGCTAGTTATTTTACACCTGTTACCTAGAAAATCCAGCTCTGGCTAGCTAGCCAGCTAATTAGTTCATCTAGCAAGCTAGCTAGCGGTGTACATACGTACTATGAATCAGAAGTTTGGTTTCTAAATTATTCGGTCCACCGGTCGTAGCTAGCTAGTGCTCTCGAATTTTGATTATCACATTAGATTGTTTTTGGCTTTGACATATAGTTTTATACATTATCGCAAATACTGACTAATCAGCGGTCGTTACTTAACAAAATAATATGTACGTACGATAATCATCTATGTTAGACGTGTGAAGTGGTCCTTAATCGAGTTGAATTGATATATACAAGACTGAAATATATACTCCTATTCATTCTGATTTCATTTTTGATTCGTTCTTTTTGGTTTACTTTTTTAAGAGACTCTACGAAATTAAATCCCATTCATTCCGACCGAATAGTTGCCCACACACTATATTGAGGAATTGAGAAGACAGAAAGAGATATTACACAACAAAAAGGGTAAAGTATGGAAACGAAAGAACGGCCGGCGGCGGGTTTGGAGAGAAAGGGAGAGAGAGCGGCTCAGTTGCGGATTCCGGCGGCGGCGGGCCGTTGTTCCTGGCGGCGACGGTTGAGGAAATCATGAAGCAAGACGGAGCCCTTGCATTTGGGGCACTTGGGTTCCACCTCCGACAACATCACGTACATAAGGCACCGGGGACACCCCACCAGCATCATCGGCGCCGCCGCCGGCGCTGCCGGCGCCGTCACCCCCAATTCCTCCTCCGTCGTGGACGACACGCACGAGCTCTCCCAAGATGAGCACCCTGAAGCCGGCGGCGGCGGCGACCCCTCCCCGCCGTCATCGTTGGGCGGCGGAGACAGGTTCAGCCTCAAATCTAGCTGCTGACAGCTGGCACCTCGATTTCTACGCCGCCCCATCCCACCTAAAAAACCGAAATTAAAATACGGCAAAAAAAAAAAAAAACAACTAAAAGCAGAAGCATGTCATGTCTAGTTACCGGAAGCAACCTCGTCGAATGAAAGAATAACGGCGTATGGTCGGAGGTATCGCCGGCGGCTGAGGGTATATAATAATTTTATATTGGGAAGTATCGCCGGTGGAATATGGATAACGGTGGGTTTTTGTGTGTGTGTATATATATAGGCTGGTGGGTTAGATGAATGAATATAGCTGAGAAAATTTGGTTTGGTGTAATATCTGATAGTTATGGATTGCGACGACAATAATTAATAAGATTGGGTGGTAAAATGAGATAAAAAAGGGGTGGTGAGTGATTCTTATTAATGATGGTGAAATTAATTAATATGGGGGAAGGAAAATATAGGTGGAAAATTTAATATTCAAAACCATGTCGACTTTGCTTTTTTGTTAGGGTTTGGGACTGGTGATATTGTGATTCAATGTAACAGTATGGAACAGCAAGAAATGAACTTGAAAAATTTCATGGGTCGTGCCCTGTATGTTCACTGTCATATCTGCCTCATTTATTTATTTTGGTTGCAACAACAAATTGGTTTAGAAGTAAATCGCGTTGAGATCCGTTACGTCGGAGATTAATTTTGGTTGAGATTTTGAGGTCAGAGTATGCATGCAGTTGCAGAGAGTTTTTTCTTGTGTGAATGTGTTACACGCGTAGATGATGATTGTATGTCGCACATGAAGAGGAGGAGGTGGAATCAGTAGCGGATTCAGGAAATTTTTATAGGGGTGTCCTCTTTCAAAAATTAAATTTAATTAAAAATTAAATTAAATAATTCATATATAAAAAAAATATCTGATTAGTGCAAATATACCATATTAGACAATAATTCTCGAATTGATCACATATTCAATTTCTAACATTGTTCCTGATGTAACTCAATCTTGAAAGACTCTTTCAACTCTTGCACTATACTTATAAAATCAATTCAAATTAAGGATAGCTCGAATGAGTTTAATTGTTAGGTTTTGAAAATAATTGGGAATAAAGAATAGTGTTATTACTATAACATAGTGTTTAAAATAAAACAACAAATGAGTTGCAACCTAGAGAATATGTTTAATAATAGTAGTGTCCTAGGTTTGAATAACACAGAGTACTACTTATATATTTTTAATCATACGCAAACTACTACCGATGACAGGATAATCGTTTTTCAAAATTTAAGGGTGTCCCGGATTATCAATTATAATTTTTTTTATCCATATGAAACTACTACCGAGTGTTGGATAATCGTTTTCCCAAATTTTAGAGGTGTCCCGGGACACCCCTAAAGACCCATGTATCCGCCACTGGGTGGAATATCATGAATGATTGTAAGGTCGCGTGCAAGGAGCACTTAGATCAGTGAAATAACATGAATATCGTTTTTGGTTTATCACGTGTCGTCCTTGAGAATGTCCAAAAAACATTTCTCTATGGAGATTTAGAATTCTAAAGCGAGGATGATCCAAACTGGCCGGATTTCTAATTTGCATGTTCATTAAATCAGAATCTTCAATTTGGTTAACTAAATTTGTATGCTTAATTGGTTCTAAATCAAATGGAAAAGGGAAAGGAAACAAGTATATATACGAGGGTTTGTAAAATCGTACCAAATAAGTTAATCATATGATAATTAATGGTATAGTCGTGATGTAATCGGAAGTCATACTAGTACAACATCGTTCTTATTAATTTTAAAAATATATATTCAATTAGCGTTTTATAAAAAATGAGTCGGTATTACCAATTTAACTACGTAAAACCGACTAATATGATACTTTCATAATATTTATATACCATACAAACCTAGATAGTAAAAAATGGGCTTGACAATTTGAACAACGATATGTACGGTCTATTCAAAATAAATAGTAAATGACCAACATACTTCATCTTTAATTATCTGGTTTGAACTTTAAAATTAGAAACTATATGAAGATGAAGTACAAAAGTAAGGTAGTTAGTTCAAATTTTAAGCAAAAATTAAACCAAAAAGAGAAAATCTTCAAAAATATGGGTCTATTCAAAATAAATAGTAAATGACCAACATACTTCATCTTTAATTATCTGGTTTGAACTTTAAAATTAGAAACTATATGAAGATGAAGTACAAAAGTAGGTAGTTAGTTCAAATTTTAAGCAAAAATTAAACCAAAAAGAGAAAATCTTCAAAAATATGGTTCTGCCAGGGATTGAACCTGAGTACCTGGAAGATACTAAGAGCTGTTTTCCGCTGGACTAGAGCTAGTCAAATGTTATCTTTTTGCGCGGAACTGTAATTGTATAATAGAAAATGTCTTCAGAATTTCTAAAATTCTCGATATTTTTACACGCAATCTTCAGAATTCTCGGAGGGGGGGGGGGGGGGGGGGGCGAGGAATAAGGTAGCTACGCCCCTGCAATCCAGCCAAGTCCATGGGTTGCAGTTTCAGTTGGGCACTCATATGTAACACTCATGACAAACTTGTTCTAAAATTGTCTTGTTATTACAGAATACTAATACAAGCCAGCAAAGTCGATCCAGTTAGAGTCAACATACATCGAATAATGAATACGACATGCATATATGATTCTCGCCCCTTGGAACGAAACGATTTGCATAACAAACTTGGCTTGGCCACCTCGTTTGCTCTTACAGTTGCACTATCGTGGAGTCAATGATACATCAAAAAAATGTTAGAATCCCGCTCAAATGATCTCATCCAGCGAGTAAAATCAATGTTGTGTGTCCTAGAAACAATCGGATTGTACAAGTCGTTCTGCGAAAAAACACGATCCGACTGCAAAAGCATTTGTAATGAAGAAATTATAAGAGGGTTATGTAGCGGTAGCCAAATCAAATTACAAGTGTCATTTATTGCTAGGCCAAAGGATTGAATGTTGACTGAACAATTATTCTGTGTGTGCACAGATATTACTGAACAAAATTTGGGGTTTTTCCACCCTTCTTCCTAATGTCTCATTTAATTTGAGTTCTTGACTTTTGACTAAAGATATTCATGTGTGTGCAAGATAAGCATGCAATCATCCTTTACCAAAGAACCTGGACTTGATCCCCACATCCCTTTCCCTTTCATGAAATTTAATTCTGTTAGCCAAAGACATTCAGTGTCCAATGTGGACAAGTTACTCATTGTGTCCACACAATTTTGGCAACAGGTTCACTAACCTTCCCCTTTTCTTTCTCCTTCGATGATGGTTTTGCTCTCTGAGTCGATGGGAGGTTGATCACCGTCCACGTCCAGAGGTCCCAAGTTCGAAACTGGTAGTCAATAGCTTTTTTTTTTTCTTCTCGTTCTCGTATAAAAGTCATGTAAAATGCTCGATCGGATAACATTGATATTGAAATACTCGTCCATCCCATATTTCAGTACTGCAGGCATAAGAATCTGAGAATGGCTCATGTTAACAATTATGTTACAGTTCCATCACCATTGAAGCCGATTCAATCTCCTGGTATGATTGATCACAAACATGGCTGGCAGCTAATCAACGGCTTCAACAAAAGGCTCAAAAGCAAGACATGAAATAGACGCTATATATATCCTATTTTCAAGAAATTTTTACACTTTGAGACTTAACAGAACGAATGCAGCCGTACAAGATTTACAGATTCTCAACATGAACAGTCAGCTAACTAAGGAAAAGATCATTGACTCAAATAAGGGAATTCACCCTGTGAAGTAGGGATCGACGCAAGGGCGCGATGAAACTGCTGTCTTCCAAGCACATGGTAGAAGAAGACTGCTAATTGGTATTATTAGTATTACAAACATCGGCTTAATCCTCCAGAAACTGCTGTCTTTCGAGTTCAATAACATGATCAGTCAAACTATTCGCAGTTACAGTCGACGTTTCGTTATTGCACTTGCATTCTGATAGTTGCTGTCGAAGATTCCGAACCAACTCGTTCAGCTTGTGAATGTTCTTCTCTTGTGAAAGGATAATCTGCGAGAGGATGTTCGTAGTTAATATTTGAGGGAAAGAGGATCTCACCAGTATATGCCAATAAGAACATGGTGTGGTGTGCTATGATATTTGAGAAAGACATCAGGTGAGAATTTTGGCAATCACTCAGTCACAAAGACAAAAATTGAAGCAATCATCAGGTTTCATGTCAAACTATGATCCTTCCTTTCATTTGCAAAATGCATCAAATTTATTAAAAGAAAGAGTGCATTGTCCTGAACTATAGTTCACACTGTGTAGAATATCTAACCATATCAAGGAGCATATCTCAGAACAGGCCTAAACTTTAGCTAAGACCATCGTATTGCAGAATCATTCCGAGGATTAAACTGCTGACCAAAATAAGCAACTGAAATTACCATACAAGACCCGCTGACAGAAGTTCTCAAGTTTCTAACAGTTAAGCTGTATCACGGAAACAACTAATTATTAACAATTGTGAAGACAGACACCATCGTACCTATCATCTTAATCACATCACATGTAGTAATTATCATCTTTCAGCAAGTTCACCACATCTTACATCTTTCAGTCATATAGAGGATGGAAAGTTGTCTCAAAGTCAAAGGCTTGTAACTTGTAATAAGTAAGTTAATCCCAGAGTAACTGAAGCACATTGGGATAGGCCTAACTTCAGCCCCCAATCCTAAAATTAGAAGGAGAGTTGCAATGTACGAGCACAGAGGAAACCAGTCATGAACTCTAGAAAAGTAGAGCTATCACCATTGACTAAAGTACTATCAATTACACAGCTATGTTTGAACTAACGTGACCTTGCTTTATGAAACTTGTCCAATTTTAGACCCAAATTCGTATTGGCCCAAATTAGCTTTCTTATCTAAACTAAGGCACAAAATAACTAAACATGCAGATATCTCTTCTCCAAACTAACAAAAAACCTACCATACATCATATAGAAGGCCGGAAAAAAAAAAGAGATTTAAGCAAATGAGCATGCCAAATCACAAAAGATTCATATCAGCTCCTCAAGAAAGTTGGATTAGATCTTTCAAAAACGTATCAAAACAATGATCACATAAATTTTCATCAATAGCTCAGTAGAGAAAGTCCAACAACATGCTTGCTACAGAAACTGATATATGGTTCTTCAACACTGCTTAAGTGTAAACAGTAGCCAGTCTGAGCTTAAGAGAGCCTTTTAAGTAATAAAAAATGTTCTCCACTCTGTATCACTTGAGCAAAGCTAATTGTTCTGTAGCTATATTCTCTGCTAAAGATAGGGAAATTTCAACAGGCAAGATAAGGTCGACAGGGGAACTAGAGATCGCAAGCCTTTAGACATACTATCTATTGGAGCCAAACAGGAAGAAGTACACAAAGATAACAAGGAGATCTAACTTCACAAATCCCTGAAATGCACACTGATGAAATAAAGGATAGCACAAGATATACCTTCTCCTTGACAGCTTCTTCCCTCTTTGATATTTGTTGCTGTTTAGATGTTATCCCAGGAGTTGGGTCAATGTCGTTTACAAGTTGTTGTCTCCATTCAAACTGAGAGGTAATTATGAGTATAAGCAGCAGAAAGACTAGTAGCATAGGCCTTGACATCGCAACAGAGCTGGGGGTTCTCCTACAATACCTGCTCAATAACCACACCATAAGTACACTGTACACCAATAGCCAAACCCATAAATGAAAAGCAAAGAAACGTCCAAGTGGCAAACCCCACCTAAATGTTTAGATTGCTTGATAGGAAAATGCTTGCATTTCGATATGAACGTCTGCTTAAAGAAATACCACCACTCAAACCCCAAGTGAAGAACCAAGTTCGTCTAATCAAACCAATGAACCCTAGCTTTCCATCTGGATAAAAAGTTCACAACTTTGGCCGGTTCAATATCTAACCTAGCATATAGCAGTCACAAAACAAAGTATAATCGGCTTCGGTATCATTCAATGTCAGGAAATTCTTTCGTAGCATACCCAGTTCGAGAAATAGAACATTAAAGAATCCAAATCGCAGCAGGAGAGAAGAAAGAAGGAACTTACAGATCGAAGAACAGGAGAGAAACCCAAATTCATGATCAGGGAAAGACGCTTTGTTTCACTGTCTCGAGGCGGAGGGGGGAAGAAGGGTAGTTGGGGACGGAAAGAGGAAAAATCTGATAAAAGCAGAAAGCTGGAAGCAACTCACGATTTTTGCTTCATCCAGAAAGCTAACTCCTTTTGGCTGTAGACTTAGATTACGTTAATTGATTTTGGTGGGGAAGCAAAGTGAAGTGCTTAGGAACAGAGAGTTGACATGGAGCGAGAGTGAGAGCTTAATCGAGAGCGTTAATGGCGGAAATTAGATTCCTTTAGGAACAGAAAAGCCGAAGGAAGGAAAGACGGAGAAAATCGCGTTGTGTTGCTCCGTTGGTTGGTGTCGCACTGTCGTTATGTTTCTGTTAAATTCGCTCTTTTCATTTCGATATGGCCGTATGGCGGCAGGCCGGCAGCTCTTGATTTTACTTTCTCAGGTCAACCTTACTTCCTTCACCGTTATAAATTTACAAAATTGTTGCCGCTTTCATCAACGATTAGAGATTGTTCACGTCCAATCTAACGACACCAAGCACCTGCGAGCACGTTCACACAAGATGTATTGTAATCTCAATAGGAAAATTCTCTTCAAATAGTTGGCTAGATTACCATCGTCCGAAAAACAACTTCATATGACAGCCGAATAAAAAATAATCAATCGCGATTAGCTATAATATAGATAGTAACAAGGTGGTTGGAGTTATATACCAGTTAAATTTGTTGTAATAATATTATGATAAATACAATTTGGACATTTTAATAGCATATACCAAGAGATAATTAACCAATTCATCACTTTGCACTCTCAATAAAAACATTCCATCAAATTCACTAAACAATTCATGACTCACCTCCCAAATCAGTCATCCGAAGCATTCCAAAATTTGTTTCGACCGTTTAATATAGAGATACTAAGATGTCAACGTAACTCCATACATAAAATTCGAGTTCCCGTGACTTCCTGACTTGTCAATCCTCCTCAATAGCTGTATAGTTATAGACTAATGTCTGATAAAAAATACCCCTTTAATTCCGATTGTAAAAAACTAAGGGGTCGTTTGGATGGATCAATCTAGAAATGAGTCAATTTGATCAATTGTCTCGTTTTATAAACAAGGCAATTAAAACGAGTCAATTCGAATTACATACCCCACCCCAAGTAATTGAAATTGACTCAAAACGGATCAATTCAAAATACCGCAGGTAGATTGATCCATCCAAAATTTTTTTGTTGGCAAACGATGCAATTTTGTATAATTGTGTCAATTTGATCCGTTACAATTCCTCATCCAAACGACCCTAAGGTGTCGTTTGCTTGTGGGATTTGGGTGTTGTATTTGGCACCCAAATACCAAGCATTATGTATTTGATATATACAAATCCATGGGCCCACTTATTTGGATTTTTTTTAGCTCCAAATCTGTTGGTCCCACGTATTTGTAAATACCACATTTCATTTGGTATTTGCAAATATCTATGTGGAAGACAAATATTTGAGACCAAATACCAAATGAACTAAATCCATGACAAAAATTCAATTAAACAAACAATGTTATCTTTCAAATACAAAATACAATAAATCTATCATAAATCCAAAGGTTTTCAAAACTCAAAACCTAATCCATCATAAATCCAAAGGTTTTCAATACTCAAAACCTTCGTTTTCAAATCCAACAAGCCCTAAAACCAATCCTTAAAAATACACAAGTTGAATGCAAAAGAACCACTTTCATAATCTCATGATACAACACAACTCAAGGTCAAAGTTTTTACTCAATAGGAGCATTATCCTACAAACAAGATTGCCTTTGACTTGGGAACATCCAATGGAATCTTCCACGAAAGAAAAACTAAGTCAACACTAATAAAACCCCAAAGGAAAAAAGAATCTATGGCCAGAAGAAACAAAAGAGAACAATAAATAATCTGAACAACTTCTCAGCAGAACTTCCTTCCCTTCCCTTCCCCTTTGTATATCCCCTCACCTCCCTAGTTTTCTCTCAGCCTACCAAATCCCTAACATTTGTATAAGAAAAGGCAATTATGATCAAAAGAAGAAAAATCTGAGTTGGAACAGGCAAGGTCAGTCACGATGCTTCAGCACCAATGCTGAAACTCTCTTCAAGCATTCAGAAGCCTTGGTTAGATCAGCCTCTGTATGGCCAGCAGACACGAACAATCTGATTCCCACGGGCAACCGGCACTTATCAAGAATCGATCTTTTGGAGGTCACCATGAACACCGAGTCTTCCTTCAGAGCCTGCAAAATGAAACGAGGAAGGAGCCGCGAAAAAAGAAATAATAGCTCAGTCTATACACACTTCAATCACACAAGCAGCAGCAACGACAAAAAGATGTGCGATTGGGAACTAAGTTACTCACACGTTCGGCAATTTCTTCGAGGACTTCCATATCGCCTTTTGTCGATCCTGTGGATTGCTCCAGTTTAAGGAAAACGATTGGTGATTCTGGACTGCTCGTCAAGGTGAGGCCTTCTACGTTGGACAGCCCTGCAGTTACGGAAGGAGGATTTTTTTATATTAAATCTAGCCACCAAGAACACTTTATCTTCACAGGTACTCTTAGAGGGGATGTTCACATCCCATCAACTCCACTTTTTCTAAAACCTTTCTGAGTACAATTTTCCTTCACTTTTACTAATACTTAACAAAACACACCCTATACCAAGTTTTAAAGAGAGAATAAGTGAATTCGTGATCAGAACTTACCTTTCAACAGCAAAGAAATGTTCTTTTTCAGCTTTTTTATCAGATCAGGATTCTCCTCAATCATATCAATAGCAGTAATAGCAGCACTAGCGAGATACGGGGGCAACGATGCGGAGAAGACATAGCCAGAGCTGCTCAATCGCTGATTCACAATAAAAAGATTCATTTTAGAAACTAGAAAAGAGATGTATAAGCATTCAAGCCTCTAATTAGTTTTTGTATGTGAGATTTTGGAATGTATGGCATACTTGGTGATCAACGACTCTAGTACTGCCAGTGCAAAATCCTCCTTCAGTAGCTAAAGCATGCCCCATCGCAGCAGTTATTATATCTATCTTATCAACCTGCAACGCCATAAGGAAGATACGAGTTTAAGGAAGAAACACGTAAGTACAGACACAGTTCTTATTTTTCGGTAAGCTAGAAACAGAGATTATGGCATACCGGAACTCCACAGTATTCAGTAAGACCTCTTCCAGATTGGCCAAGCACACCAAACGAGTTGCTCTCGTCCAAAAAAACACGGAACCGATATTTCTCCTTCAGCTTGATGATCTCATCTAGAGGAGCTATTTGACCAGAATTCTACATTTTCAATATCGGAACAAATTAAAGCTTGGAACATCATTTTGCTGTTAAGAACTATAATACCATTTACAATTATATCGCTGCTCCAATACCAGCACAATCAATAGTTATGTAAGAACATTAAGCAGCCTAACATTCAACAGATGATCATGAAAATTATCAATCTTATAGAGAATTACAGATATCCATACTTGTGGGTAAACAAATATGGTAACACGATTCATATAACTGTATTTGTTCTTGTTTAAAAACTCACATGCTATAAAGTCAGTAAGATAACTTGAAACACTTAAACAAAAGCACAGTGTCCAATGACACTGTGAGACAAGATGGAAGAGACTAGAAGGAATCAAAAAGAAAGATACCTGGTAAACAGATTCAACAACTATGTAGCGCCGCAACTTCTTAGCACGTTTATTATCTGCAGTAATATTTTCTAATGTGTCGTGTAGAGACTTCATATCATTATGCTTGAAATAGACAATGGTGCTTCTAGACAAATGAAGTCCATTTTGTATTCCCCAGTGGACACCTTCATCACTAGAATTAGGAAAGATTCTCAAAAAACTTTCATATATGTAGATCAATCACTAACAAAATCAGAAGTAACAAATAAAATCAACGTTTAAATAATAGATCCTAAAACGACAATGTCACAAACAAGAATGTCATCTCGATGTATGAAAACATAAAGAACTAGTAACTTTTGACAGTTTGAGAGACTACCGAAAAACATAGCATGTTTATTTTTAGCAGTTCAAACATGGGTAAAACATCAACTAACTATAAGAATTGTTAGTTCTAAATTTCAATACCAAACCTCTTCTAACACACATCACCTTACCATTATTAGTTATTTTGCAGAGAACTTAAGTGCTAATAAAAATATGTATTGTAAACACTGCAGATACTCACACAACAATGACGTCGCCCTTCTTGGCAAAACATGGAATTGCACTGAACATTGTGGAAAGGCCATATGAATAGAGAATTGAGTCTGGTGTTCCCAAGAATTTTGATATCCGGCTTTCACAATCAAGGTGGACGTCTAGAGGAAGCAAATCTATTAGACCACAAACAACACCAATATATGATATCAGAGATATGCTCACTTAGGTCTTACCAATTGTCCCATAGAAACCACGAGGACCACAAGAACCAACACCATACTTTTCCAGTGCAGCAGTGCACGACTCCTGCATTAGAAGTTTGCTGTGAACATTGTGATCATACAAGAATAGTTCAAAAGGAAATGGATTCACGACAGTAACAAATTTTCTAACCTGCACTTTCTCATGTCCAACTAATCCCAGATAATCAGCAGTGGCAAAATTCACAACTTCTTTCCCATTGATTACAACATGCGGGCCTGCAGCACTGTATCAAATGACAGTGATGAGCAACGATTATCTTAATGGATGCATAAAGGGTATAATCCAAGGCAAAGTCGCATCATTTTAGATAAGACAACAACCATTGGAGGACCGCATACTTTAACAGGTGGCCAAACTGGCAAGATAACCCCTACAAAAAGTTTGGAACAGAAGGCACAACCAAGGTTCAACAGAGACCTCCCTTCGGAATATAGAATGATACAGCTGGGATGGGATTCACCTTCTGTTTTGGTAAGGCATTTATTTCTATCACCTAGACAGAAGACGAGTGGGGTTCATTCTTCACCAAATAAACTTAAAGTATACTCCTATAAATACTGCCACAATATTCATCTATCAAATCATACCAAAGCCATGACAAGTCTTCAACATCATGATAGAGGAGATAGTATAAATAAAAAGTTTAAATGGCGATGAAGATTGTCGGAAGAGTAATTCTGAAAGGAGTAAATAGATATGCAAATAAAACAAAGTAGACGGACCTTTCCAACACTGGTGGCTGATATTGCATCTCTTTAGTAATGGAAGGAATCAGGGGCTCCGGAACCCAATCATCACACAATTCATCAATTTCCTGAACAAAACAGTTTTTTAAGCATACATTATACTGAAATCCCATATAATTCTGTTATATTTTGACCGAGTATAAAATGTCATCCTTGCTATTACATCTTCTGAGGGCAGTAGAGAAAATTAGTTGAGTAATACAGCACCATTTTCAATTGAATACAAGTAAGTTGCAAAGGGAGCGACAATAAAAGGAACCTTTTTGCTCAGAGGCCGTTTAGGTGGCTTGTAACTTTTCTGGGAGAGCAGGAAAAGGATCACAACTAGTAAAAGTCCTTCAACAAAATAGTGACCTTCACCAGGAAAAGTAACCAAATATCACAAACGGATTCCATGATTTTACTACCATGCACCTGCAAGAGAAAGAGAAAAGGAAAAGGAGACTCACCTCCAATATGGACTCCGAAAACAACAGCTCGAGCAGAAGGTGCGTCCAAGGCCTGTGTTACCCAATTTACAGTGCTATTCAACATGTTCAACCCATAAGAGGCCATCGTACTGAACTGTAATCAAAATCAAATGTGAACCACTTGAGCATTCAATATAAGACGCAATCATTATAATTTGCAACAATCATATCAAATATGCACCACAAGTGCAATGTGAGCCACCATGTGAGCTTTGGAAGGTGAGCTGTCATGGCCACCCACCAAATCATCAGTCATCAAAACCGAAAACCAAGTCATGGCATGCACATGGATCTATGAATAAAATTAGCTAAATTTACAAAAATGAAAATTGGAAGCAAGAGAACAGCAACAGGGTATGAAGAGGGCAGGGAGCTCATGAACAAATCCAACACCAATCTCAAACAATGTATTAGGTCAATGGTAATAATATCCTAATAACCTAATCCTAAAACGAGAAAGAAAAATAAGCAGGGGTGCTGAAAATTATGCTTCTTCATCAACCAACTCCCCAGCTTATGTCACTACCAAAATTTGAAGGAATGAGAAATTGGAACAAAAATCTAGAAACAAACACCAGTTTCCAGGGAATGGAAAGAGAGGTAATTTTGAGCAACACAAGAACTCGGGAAAGGCACAGCAGGGCTTGGTAATTCAACACATTTCTGCTAGCTTTCAACTCCAGGCAAACATAAGGGTTGTAATAAATAAAAAAATTGTCAACCACCCCCAAACAAAATTAACTCAAGCAACAGAGCTCGGCTTCCAGATTGATGAACACAACTATCTGAACAAGATTGGAATCAATCGCTGGATCTCAAGTAGAAATCAGCAACCAATTCATACCCAAATCTGCTCATATGAGTTGCAATTAGATTGGTAAATGTAGCCAGGGAGAAGAATACCCACGCCTAGTAACGGCCAATCAATGTGACAGCAGCGATGCTTGGCTACTCCCAATCAGCTCCGTCCGCTTCCCTCTCGATCTACAACCGAACTCCCTTTCCAAGCTTCTATTCGTATAAGTATCCCTCTTCCCAAGCTCAGCTCTGCCGCTCTCCGACAAGCAGTAACGGCGGACGCAGTTCGACGAGAGAGCAGCAGCTGCGGCAAGTTCCTGGCAGGGACAAGGACTCGTCTCCGTGGAACCTCAATTTGAATCCCGCCTTTCTCTCTCTTCGTACCAAGAACCGCCGGGAAGTAACAGAAGAGCGGTGCCGGTTCCAATCGGCGACAGTAAAAGAATTAACCTCCCTTCCGGCGGAGTCCCCCCTTGCAAATCGACTTCCTCTCTCTCGCTGCTTCCCGCGGATCCCAAAATCGGCTTCTCCACTTGTGATACGCTTCCTCTCTCTCCTCCACTGGATTCAAAAATCGGCACTTGGAACGAAATTTCAAAACCAGTTCGTAAAACTTTGTGTATTACAAAAGAACCATCAAAGTTTTAAAAACTTGCCAAACTCGCCGAGTCCGTCTATTGACGATTTTCGGCAGCTTGAGACGTGGTCGACGACGACGACTCACACAGGTGACGGCCTGACGGGTCCCTGAGTCGGCGTTTTCGCGTAGAAAGTAGAATTGTATTTTCTTCTGTCTATCGTTTTCCCCAGCTCCATGAGACGTGACTCGTGAGATCAGCGAGTCAAAGACGTTAAACAAAAACTAATGACCGAGTCAACATTGGCATCCTCCCAGCACCGTCCCATGATAATTGGAGGCCCGGTTCGAAAATTTAAAATGTGGCCCTAATTTTTTTCTCCATAAATTTATCAAAATTAAAAATTAGTAAATAATTGTAAAAAAATACTTAAGTTCAGAAAAAAATTACATCAGGAATAAACGATCTCGTTTCGAGTTTGACCAAGAAACCAAGACCGAATTCCCAGCCCTAGTAGGGAGGAAAGTAAATATGGAAAGAAGAGAAAATGGATATAGCGCAAAAATTGAATGGAGAAATGAAAATAGTCTAAATTGATCGAGAGGTGGGTGCAGGGTTGTCTACTAGATCGTGGAGGCCCTATTTCAAAATCTAGACGTGGTCCAAATCGACCTTTAACTATAATAAAACTAAAATGATTTTAATAACATTATTCAAAATGTAATATCTTTCTATATTGTTTAAATTAAAATTATCTATTATTTTTCAGATTTTCGTATTCTCCATGAGATCCTTTTCAATTGTTATTATAGCTAAAATTATCTATTAAACACATTATCATACTCATAATCAATCAATCATACACTAAAAATACAACCTACAATATATGATGGGTAACTAACGAAACTAAGTAGAGGCCCCTAATATTCTGTGGCCCTGTGCCGGAGGGCGGGCCAGCACACCTTCTTGGCCGGCCATGCGTCCTCCATGGAACGAGTCATACTAATATGTTAACCGAGTTCTTCGTTCAAACACCAAAACATGTGGAAATGAATGGGTTAATTGCATGGTTGGTCACTAAGATTATAAAAAACGTTCATGTTTGGTCACTAGAAATATTTAAATCCAATCTTGGTCACTCAAATTAGTTAAATGGTTCAAGTATGGTCACTCTCCGTCCAACTCCGTTAAATTTGTCTGATGTGGCAGTCAACCCTCAAAGTTGATCGTTAACTAAGTGACGTGACAATTAAAAAATAACAAATAAAATAAATTTTAATCTTCTACCATTTCCAACTCATTTTCACAATAAAGCAATGCAGTCAAAAGCGCGATTCTACCTAGAAGCGGGAAAGGGGTAAAATCGTAAAGCGTAGAATCAAAGCATAAAAGCATAAGTTTTTGACGTATACTGTAAAATAACTAAAAATTTGTTGAGTACGATATATACTATGTAAAATATGAGTGTACAGAATTTGGACAAGTTAATAAATACTTGTAATTCACGTCTAAAGTAGAGCAACTCATAGTATCTTTTAACAATAAACATAAACATAGATCTTAACAATAAACCACCTTCCTGCCTATGTTAATAAATTTGGAAAAGGCCTAGCTCGTGAATTAGATTACTCTATTGAAGTTGAGAATGCATCCAAGTACCTGATATGTATCTTTTATTCTAAAATCTATCATATGGTTGGTGTTTTACCTTTAAAATATACTTTTTATAATAAATTTCATGAAAAAAATATCCATTTAGTGAACTAAAAACGTAAAAGCGTAAAGCATTTTGGTGAACTAGAAGCGTAAGCTTTTAAGCTTTAAAACGCAATTTAGTCCGAGTTTATGCACTTAAGATTTTACATGGAAACGAACGCGTTTTAGTGACCTAGATGCGTAAAACCGTAAGATTTTAAATTTTAAAACGCGATTTTGACTGCATTGAAAAAGAGAATATAGATTGGAGAAATAATGAAATATAAATTATTGGGTTTCAAAATTGAAGTTAGGGTTTGGAATCCGAGGAGAAGAATAGATCCAGATCAGATAAAGATGGAAAACCAATTTCTTTGCCTAGCTTGGGATATGCATAGTACGACGCTTAACCGGAGACGAAGCTTTTGCAAGCGGCCTCTGTCGAGACGTGGGCAGGCAAAGTCGGTCCGGGTTACGAAATCTTGCTGTGAACAGCGGCATCCGAGTCCTCGTCCCTGTCCTCGTTCTCGTCCCGCTCAGTCGACAATTTGCAATTGTATTGTTGATACGAAGGAGAATAATTGGTGGGACGTTGCGGTGCTCTTCCGTCATAAGGGCTCCGTTTTGCTACACTTGGTGAATGCAGAGGATGCGAAGAAAGTAGTTTGTACCGAGCGATTGGGCCCCACAGAAGGTATGGGTTTCATTGCTTTAGGATCAAAACTCTATGTTTTCGTGGTCCTGGTACAAGTCACTACTTTGGTGAACTTGGTAGTGGGATTTGGAAGAACAGAGACCTCTACATGTTTCAGAAAGCAAGGGATCTCTGCTAGCGAAGCCGTATCCCATCGTCTCCGCCTACTGTGCGTTGACGGAGTTGGAGGAAGGAGCGGTGTCGAGGGTGGAGGAGGTGCAGGTGATTATTGCCTGGGAGCGGCTACAACAATTGCGGGGGCGGAGCTAGGATAAGGAATTGAGAGCTGATTTTGTTGCGGGAAGGGATGTAGTGATGGAGGAGGAAGCACCCCTTTAATTTTTAACTATAATAATTTTATTGATTTATTTATTTTACTTTCTTGTGAAAATGTGCTGGAAATGGTAAAAGATTAAAATTTATTTTATTTATTATTTTTTAATTGCCACGTCACTGAGTTTACGATCAACTTTGAGGGTTGACTGCCACATCAGACAAATTTAACGGAATTTGACGGAGAGTGACTATACTTGAACTATTTAACTAATTTGAGTGACCAAGATTGGATTTAAATATTTTCAGTGACCAAATATGAACGTTTTTTTTGTAATCTCAGTGACAAACCATGCAATTAACCCGAAAATGAATGGACACCTCGCCCGCGTAAGCTAGGGTAATGTTAGCGATTATATTGACAAGATAATCGATAAATGATGATTAACTATTATATCATTAACTTATTATAAGTTATAAATGTAGTCATCGGTAGGTTGAAATGTCTTTCATTGTTCCAATAATTAAATAGTCGGTTAACACTTAATCAGACCTTACTAAATAATAATAACCGACTAAACGATAAATCGACTAACTAACGTAGTTAAGAAAAAAAAACCAAAATTATTTAACAATAACCTACAATCAAATAATATATTACGATTGATAGGAGACCGTTCCACAACAAAAAGATCAATATCTAGACCTACTAGGCTACTACCATGACAGAGGTTCTACCGTGCTAGCATAATAAGAAGAAAGAGCTACTGTTCATATGAAGCATAGACGACTCTCGACCCATCCTCTATAAACGGACAGTTGGAGACGAAGACCAAAAAAAAAAAAAAAAAAAGGCGCGCTAAGAAACCCAAACTAAGACGGCAACAGTAACACCATCAACCAACCTGCTAGCTATATTTAACACCATCATCACCATCGTTGCAGCAGCTTCCAGGAGTGTGACCTAAACGCCAACGCCGGCAGATGCACGAGTTCCCTGATCCTCCCTGAAACCTTATCATGGCTAAACAGAGACCCAAACAAGGCCATCAACCCAACCACAATCAGCACCGTCACCACGAACAGCACCGCCACCGCTTTCCCGCGCTTCTTCTCCACGAACATCACCAACCCAACCGCGCAGCTCGGCAACTTCTTCTCCCTCTTCTGCCTCTCCTTCTCCGCTTCCTCTGCCTCTGCCTCTTCCCTTTCCCTTCCCCTGTCTTTCGATTCTTCTCCCAGCTTCCCCTGCTGCTGCTGCGGCGCCAGCCAGGACGGCGCCAGCCCCTGTATTGCCGCAGCCGCCGAAATGTCCGGGGCAGCGAGGCCTGCCGACAGCTGATCGTCGAGGCGGACAATGTCGTCGTTGAGAATGTCGGCGAAGAAATCGTCCTCCTCCTCCTCGTGGTCCGAGAAATCGAGCCCCCGGCACGATTCCTCCAGCATTTGCAGCTGGAATTGATCGTCGCGGCGGCAGCGGCTCGAGGACTCGGCAGCAGCAGCCGGAGTGGCGCCGCCGTTGGGCTGCTCGATCGAGTGGGAGTCGGAGCTGCTGTCGGTCTTCTTCGAGCTCTCTCCCCCATTTCCGTGTTCATTTTTGTTCTCTGCCGAGATGCCACTGCAATTGCTGTGGTGGCCGCGGAAATCCACGTTCCTCCTCAGCCGGCACGCGACCATTGAATCCTGCGAATTTTATTTTTCGCCCGAAAACCCTAAATCAATCCAAAAATTGACACGAATCGAAACCTAATTTTACAGAGGAGGAATTAATTAATTTACTGACATTGGCGCCGGCGTACAGGGCGTATTCGTGCATGATCCACTCGGTGCGCTCGCCTTTGGGGGCGCGGCCGATGTGGAAGACGAGGGTGCGCTTGGTGCCGATGACGGCGGAGCCGGATCGTACGTTGCGCTCTTTGCCGGTGGCTTTCCAGTAGCCGAGCGGCGTCGCCCTCTTGCTCTGGGAGCCGTTGGGGTACTTCCGGCCTCGAGGCGAGAAGAAGAACCACTCCGTCTCCGATTGGACTATCGATTTCGCTGTTCAACCCAAAAAAAAAAAACACAAACCAAAAATCGTAAATGATGAATAATAAGCTTATAGTCTACGGTAATTATTTGGGTGGCGTGGCAGTCTGGCAGAGCTGGAGCGGCTGAAGTCACTCCACGTGGTAGTAAGAGTAATACGTGTCATGCTTCAATTCATCCACACCGATTCCAAAAGGCTACGTGTCATATTAGCAAGGGAGAAAGGTAGAGGCAAAGCGTTGGGTGTTTGACTGCACTGCACATCCATTTTGCTTCTTCCCATTCTATTTGAACCAATTTCTTTCTAATTGACTTTAAAAAACAATTAATAAATTCATTATGCGAGGATTTTTTTTCTTCTTCCATATCAATTAAATTTAACAAAAAAATTTTATTTTATGGATAATTCATCGAATAACCAAAAACAATTAAAGAAAATGGTGGGCATTCTTATACAGCTGATGTTTGAGCACTTCAAGAAACAATCAATCATCTCTACCCTTACTATTTTTGGTAAGCTGTTATATTAAAAAAAATCCTGTTAATTATAGTTATCATTATTAACGATTTCCAGATGTAAATAACGAAGTTATTTAGTATATTTCAGCAATGGAGAGTTGTTGGCAAAATTGAACAAAAGCGAAGGTCGGAAGAGAGGAAAGAACCTGGCAAGTCCCATGGCTCGTGTTTACAGATCTCCACCTGAGGAATCACCTCGACGCACTTCTCGTCGCCGTCCAACTTCTTCTTCAGGTAGTAGGAGATCAGCTCCACGTCCGTCGGCGAGAATTTGAAACCGGGAAACATCGACGACGCCTCGATCGACATCTGCGTCTCCCTCGAAACCCCGCCGTCGTTACTCGTCGCCATGGCTACTAACTTTTTCTTTCGATCCCCCTGTTTCGTTTTCGCTCTTCCGACTATCTTCCGTTCTTGTGCTTTTTTAGGGTTTGCTCCTGTATTCGTGAGGAAGGCTAGCAAGGGAAGCAAACAATGTATGAAGAAATGGTTTTACGTGCACTGCTTTAAAGGAGATATTTCCGCAGGGTTGCTCTTCCCGCCGGCAAAAGCCAACCAGCCGCTTTTTCCTTCTGTACTCTGTTTTTTTTTTTTTTTTTTGCGTTAAGAAAACAGAGAGGCAAGGAAAATGGGCAGCGGGAGGGCGGTCTGAATTTGTACTGTTTCCCAGTTCCCTCTCTTCCTCCTCTGACATAACATGACGTAAGCAGGCGTCCGCAGCTTCCCTCCACGTGTCCATCGACTTCACGTGGACTCCACCTCGGCCTCAATTCACTTCCCGGCCCGGCTCGGCCCACACGGACCCATGTGATCTATCTTGCCGACCGCCAATTGAATTCTCGCCGGCGGCGTCACAGCCAATAACAGCGCCGTTTTTCTTCACTGCTGTTATTTTTCTTCACTACTACACAAATTTAAAATACCAAACACACTGTATTGAGAAACCCAAACTTCAATGCTTACTACAAGTTGCTGCGAATAACTACAAGCTTTTCCATAAATGGCGCCCAATCAAAACCCAGCTGGTCGGTGGTTATGGTGAACGTTTGTTTGATCACGGTTGCATTGCGAGGGCCTGGACCAAGTCTCCGAGGTACTTCTCCCCTGCGGCGTACTGTCGCTTCTTCTCCTCGATTGCCAGTGCTGCCAGAGCTTTGTCCTGCATTTTTGTCAAACAATAACGACGATCAAGACTGTTACTTCTGGTTACACCACAGCAACAGATGGTTCTTTTTTTTTTTTTACCGCGGGCAAGTCCTGGTAACTCCTCAGTGTATCCAAGATGGGTTTGGTCTCCTTTTCGAGCTCCTTTCTGTGCTCGGCTAACTCGACCAGTACCCGGTGGTTGATCTCCGGAGTGTAGCCTACACGGTTGAGAAGCGCCTGCCAGATGACGAGAACGGTAAGAGAAGTAAAATCATCCAGCAGGCAGCCAGTAAAACAAAAACAAGACTCCATCAACGTCTCTACCGTTGTCTATCGAAATCTCTGTATTGATACCCAATTAAGGCAACAGAAAATATTATGTCATGGTTTCCTAGTACGAAGCAGCCCATCTTCACTATGAAGAAAAATGTGATCAAGCAACCAAAACATAAAAAGATTATGTCATGGCTTGCATCACAGTGAACATCAGAACAAACTTTCTAAACCACCGCAACCAATTTTCTAGAGAAAAAGGATTTATTGGTGTAGATTTTAACAACATGACACTTCCTACACAGCCAAACTCCTCTATCATGCTCTTTCCCAAGGAATCTTCACTAAAGATTACAAAAAACCAATCGTTTTCAAATATTCAAACATATAATATATTTGGCAAGGGATCTTGGCAAATCTTAAAACATCATCCCGCAGCTGGAGATGGGCAGATTCATCTTTACAATCCAAAGTGCTTCTTGTCCCTGGGGGTTAAGTAACCAAACCCCACCTCTCTCCTGTTCCCTCTGAGTTGGCTACAACTATCATTTCAATTCAATCAATAATATCTCAGGAAGTAGCAATAGCACGCTGACCTCCTCTTAACAGTGAGAAATGTAATCACTATACCACGATCTTCCTTATCATCCAGTCATTGTATAAACACAATCCTAAAAGAGAAGAGGAGTCTCAGACCAGTAGGATGGTAAGGAACTCTAGTTTTAGCATGGGGAATTATGTCTTAGGAAATGGATCTGATTCCAATACTTGTCATCCATACGTGTATGCTGCTTTCATGAACAATGTTCCATTACAGAGCTTAGCTAACTACCTGTTCCCATGGACGTATTTAGCACCATATATAATTGGTAAGAAAACGAAATGCTCCAGGTTTACTTCAATATATGCAGGTCTAGTTGTTGGTGTTTTCCTAACATCAATAATGGGACAAGACAACTAACACAGGCGTGATTCATGATCAAGCAAACCAAAGAAAGTAAAACTGACTTTCATCTTAGCCTCGGCATTATTACCACAACAGCTGCAAATGGAAGTAATATCTGACTCTGAGAGATGAGGAATAGGAGATACAAGTTGCTGTCCCATTCCAGATTGGCATAAAAGCCACCTTTGTCTTTTGAGTAATGCATCTCTGAACAAGCTACAGTGGTGAGATTCTAACCATGAACTTAACAGTATAGTTACCTTGTAATTGGAATGTTGTTGAAAATACTGTCGCTCTTTCGATGCCATTACTGCCAAATTGGTCTTCCAATTATCCATCTGAGCCTCACAAGGGGCAACATCATCCTCAAGCTGTGCAAGGGTTCTACCAGACACACCAAATGAACAACAGCAAAACCAATCAATCCAAAAACCAGAGCCCTGAAGTAGCAAACACGATTGGAAAGATTTGAAATTGAACTACAAGTCATACCTTTTTAAGTAAGTAAGCCTCGAAATTGCCTTTCGGGTGTACTCCAGCAGAACTTTGGAATCATTCCTTACTTTTGCCCTCTTTTCCTCGACACCGGTCTTCCTCAAGGAAATGTCAGCAGCTGCTACTAGGAAACTGCAGACATTTCTCACATTTCAACATCATATCCACCAAGAGAACCTGAAAATAACCCCCCATTGAACTACTGAAACGTACTAGAACCCTACCTGCTTAGTTCAGTGTCTCTTATGTTCAACAAGTTAGCCACATTTGCTAGAACTTGAGCCGAACCCACCACATTGGAAGGCAAACTCTCTTGTGCTAGTCCCACATGCTCCAATATCTCTCTAACCCTAGCAGCTAAAGCAATAAAATTTCCATCGAACCAAAATTGGATCAAGAGAATCAATACAACCAATGTTCGTCAAGACTAGAAGAGCAAAATGTTCGTTCTTCAAAGAACCCTAATAATACCTTGAGCACGGTACTCGGCGGCTTTCTGGCGGAAATCAGCGGCGACGATGTTCGCCGCCTTGGTCTTGGCCTGAGAGACGGTAGCCAAATCGTGGAAATGAGCGATGGTGCGAGGCGTGTACTCGAAATCGGGAACTTCTTTCCCGATCGCCTCGAATTGAGATGCGAGCCACGCCTTAACTTCCCCCATTCTAGCCGCGTCGACGCCGGACTTCGACTCGGAACCCGGGGAATCGCCCATGGAAATCACGTCGTTCAATTTATTTGCTTCTTTCTTATCCGAGATCTCAATCAACAGTCGCCCGATTAAGGCGATCAGCGGACAAAGAGATGGATGTAGCTATAAGAAGACGGGAGAGGCTTGCCAATGTTCGTAACGACTGAGTTCGATGAATGCCTTGACGCCAGGAGTCGGAGATGGTGATCTTCTGCTGGCCGGCGAACAGAGGTGCGGATCGATTTGAAAATCAACTTAGCGGAGCCAGAAGGGGTTAATGCGTTTTTCCCCGTTTTATCGATTTTGCATTTATCTTTTAAGTTAAAAAAAAAAACGTGACCTTTTTGCAACCAAATCCCCACCTAACAAAGCCAGCAACAAAAGAGTCCAAACAACGAAATTTCCAGCACACTCTGCTCTCCCAATACCATCACCAATCCCGCCATGTCCCTCGTAGCGACAGCTCCCCCCTCCGACGGCCCTATCATCGCTGAAGTCGACATGGGTGCCGATTCCTCTGCTCCCGTCGTTAGAGCCACCGTCGTGCAGGCTTCCACCGTCTTCTACGACACTCCCGCCACTCTTGGTAAGCTCTCTCTTTGCTTCCTCTCGATTTAGTAAAAAGATTTAGGGGGTGAGGAACCGAGAATGGATTTGCTCGCCGAACTTGGGTTTTGTTGCTTGCCTCACTCAGCTTAATTTGGTTGTAAGTAGATTGATGATTATGATTGATGGGTTGTTTGGCATATCCTTGATTTTCCATGTTAGATAAGGCTGAAAGACTGCTAGCTGAAGCAGCTGGGTATGGCGCTCAGCTAGTTGTGTTTCCTGAAGCTTTCATCGGAGGCTACCCTAGGGGTTCGAATTTCGGAGCTGCCATCGGGAACCGAACCCCAAAGGGAAGGGAAGAGTTCCGCAAGTATCATGCTGCAGCCATTGATGTACCTGGTGAGTGGATGAGGGATGGTGATGGACGAGGCAATTTCATTCAATCTGTTAGCTGAGTTAATATTGGTATGGTATTGATTCTGTGGTGTTGATTCAGGTCCGGAAGTGGATCGTTTGGCTGCCATGGCTGGGAAGTATAAGGTGTTATTGGTGATGGGAGTGATAGAGAGGGATGGATACACACTCTACTGCTCGGTTCTGTTCTTCGATGCTCAAGGTTATTACTTAGGGAAGCATAGGAAGATGATGCCTACGTCAGTTGAAAGAATCGTCTGGGGGTTTGGAGATGGATCGACCATTCCTGTTTTCGACACTCCTGTGGGGAAGATAGGTGCTGCCATCTGCTGGGAGAACCGAATGCCCCTCCTAAGGACTGCCATGTATGGGAAAGGTGAAAGCTTCTTTTTTTTTTTTCTTTTTACTTGAAGAAACAGCCTTTGCAACATTTTCTGTGTAATTGGTGAACTTGATATTTCTTAACCATTTGTTGCAGGTATTGAAATCTACTGTGCACCTACAGCTGATTCGAGGCCAACTTGGCCAGCATCAATGACTCACATTGCTCTCGAGGGTGGATGTTTTGTGCTGTCCGCAAACCAATTCTGTCGTCGCAAAGATTACCCTCCCGCCCCTGAGTATGTGTTTGCAGGGACAGAGGAAGAGCTCGACCCGGATTCTGTTGTGTGTGCTGGAGGCAGTCTCATTATATCTCCAATGGGGACGGTTTTAGCTGGACCTAATTACGAAGGAGAGGCACTGATATCTGCTGATTTAGGTATCTCTATCTCGGTGTTCATCTTTCAGCTCATATTGTCACCCATTGCTGCCCTCCTGCTTTCATGCTTCAGTTAACTAATATGTTCTTGATTGACCAGACCTTGGAGAAATTGCAAGAGCAAAGTTTGACTTCGACGTGGTGGGGCATTACGCTAGGCCTGAAGTTTTGAGCTTGACTGTTAGAGACCATCCAACGACTGCAGTTACATACACTGCATCATCAGCTGCTGCAAAAACCGAAAGCTCTCAGAAGAAGTAAAAGTCTGTTTTCAGGTCATCAGCCGTTTGAGCTGTTTAATTGGATGGGAGTAAGCCAAGCCATCTCACGTTAGTGGCTGATGTATGATGAAAATAAGGGTCCTTGTTTGTATATTAGCTTCATGTTGTACCATCGATCTGTCGTGAGAAACTTCTCTTGTTGATTCACTGTGGATGACAGTTAAACTGTTCAAAATGCTTCAAGTCAGCTGCTTTGCTTGTCTGCGTTTTTTAGATTTCATCAGTAATGTCAGGAGCAATCAAATGTGCTAAAGCTTCCTTAGTCATTTGATCGAGAATCATTCATATCTTGCGTGTATTCACAATTTGATGTTTTCAACTGGATTGCTTAAGGACCACCCTCTGAACCCAGTTACCTTCAAGTCCTCAACTACTGCAGAATCCAACAAGCCAATAGCAGAAGGTTCTGAAAGACAAGAGCTGCAGAGTTTCCTGGAGGACTCTTTCCTGAGGTAGACCATCTATAACTCTGTACAATGTTACTAAGGACCGAGTGTTGTGTGCCTTCCAGGGTTAGGCACATTGAACTTGAACCAGAAAAAAAGCACTTGAGAATTCCTGCCATAGCCATTGTCTTTTTGTATCAGATCAATTCTTGTGACAAACCATATAAAGAACGATTATCTCAATTCGGTAACCATCATGGGCTGATACCCTTCTAATCCGACGTTTACCGCTGTAGAATCGGCACATGTGGGGTGATTTATACAATTACCATTGAAGTGATCAAACGGATATAAACGTGCGGAAGGGGAACAAAACGGTATCTGTTCGTGCAGTGAGAACTTGTAATTCCAGTTTGCAATAGGTACTACTATCATTTTCGATTTCTTGACTCAATGAAAGACCTCTGGGAGGAGTAAGTCCACTTTGGTCACCACTCACTATGGATCCACTTTTCACTATTCAGAATTGACACAAGGGTTAAAAGGCAGAAAACAGTCTGAAACAATGATGAGACAGAAATCCACCAAACTTGTTCTTGGAGGCTTATGTATATGTGCATTATCATCTCCAAGGTTCCTGCCTGGTGTTAAAACTTGGCCTACCTCATCTGCAACATTATCATCTCCGCTTCATTCATTCAATCAAAGAGATTAGGCTGGCTGGTTGGTTGGCTGGTTTTCCTTCTTGGCATATTGACCTGGCAAATTGAACTGACAGTACCCCATTATTGGACCCAAGTTTGCATAATGCACCACCCACTTGCATATAATATAAATATCTTCAATTTGTCTGCAACTGCCCCAACTGGGTCATATTCATCTTGGGACAGATTCATGTTTCAGAATTTGCAGATGCCAAAAGCATATTTTCACTACTGGAAGTAAAAGTAATTGAGTATTCATTTCTTTCTGCTCACTCACCATCTGTTTTCTATGGTGATCAGCTGATAACTTGTGAGGGAAGCAACAGAATGATATTTTCTTTCTTGTAAATGATGAAAGTTGGAACTAACACAGAGCAAAACTGCAGTAACGGTTTGATAATAACTGATATCTCTCTGTTTCCTTAACAGCTTGTATAATGATTCGTATTTACATAATGATGGATTACTGTTTCGAGCTCGTAGAAAGCCGCCTTTCTCCTCTTGTTCCGGCACCAGCTCTGTTCTTCATCAAGGCATCACCTTGCTGAGCTGCTGGTTTCTCAGAAACACCGTTGTTGAGCTCTTGCAGAGGTAACGTTTCTGCTGCAGACGCCTCTCTCCTGGAATTTGATAGCAAGAAGTCCCTAAGACTCTTGGCAGACTTGAGTATCTTCGCTTCATCTTCACCACCTTGCTCTAGTGAATCCAGACCGAGTTCGTTGGATTGTCGCCTTTCCTTGTCCAAAATCTGTCGAATCTCAAGGTTTATAGCATCAGAATCCAACTTTAGACCATTGACATTGTCAGAATCCTTCTTGTACAAGGAAATGCTTCCCCATTCAATCCCCTTCATATCTTTGTCCACCGAAATCCTCTTCGCATTTTCTAAAGTAATCCCTTCAAAGTTCCACTTATAACCCTTGCTGTTATGATCCATGTTCAATTCGATCGATTGCAGCGATTCACTCTCTCCACCCGAATCATCTCCATCATCATCAACAACAACAACTCCTCCCACATTCCCTTCACCCTTCTGCAACCCCCCAAACTCGATCTCCTTCAAGTAAGCTTCCAGCTCCTTGATCTTCTCGTACTTGGGACTAAAACAATCATCATCACCATCCCCATTTCCGTCTACATCTTCTTCCTTCCTTTCCATGTTCTCCCTCAAACGTGACTCGAGCTCGCACTTCAGCCTCTCCACAGCCGCATTCTTCTCCTCGAAGTAACACTTGGCCTCCGAGAGCTTCATCTGAACTCTCTCCTCTCTTAGAACATCTGCCAACAAAAGCATCTCCCTCTCTTTCTCCACCTCCTCCCTCTGCCTCTTCACTTCCTCCGCCATAGCTCGATCGTCCCCAATTCCTGATGCCAGCTCGTCGCAAACCTGCTCCATTATCTCCTTCGCCCTCTTCTCGCTCTCAAGCTCCTTCAACGCCTTGGCCAAAGCTTCTTTAGTCTCCGCCAGCTCACACCCAAGCTTCTTGTTAAGTCTCTCGCTCTGCTTCCTCAGCTTCCTCTCTACCTCGAGCTCTTCAGCAATGCGTGATAAGGCGTCGTGGATCTTCCTTCGTTCTTTGCTCCTCCAGCTTGCTTTCTCTTCCTCGAATCGGTTGATGAGGTGGATGATCTCGTGGCGGCTTGACTTCTGGTCTTTGATCAAATGGTTGACCTGGTTCCGCGCTCTGTCGAGCTCGGCCCTTAAGGCAGAGACGAGTGATATTCCTGGAGAATTCTGTTCGTCCAGACCCCATAGACGGTTCATTACTTTCAGAAGCTCCTTGGATGTAAGAAGGCCTTTGCTTACGTCCTTCAGCCGCGTTTTGATCCCGATTACGCATTCCATTTGAGCCTTTCCCTGCATAAAGATTTGAACTTTCCTCTGTTAGGAATCTAGGGAAGAAATGTACTTTGCTCTGTGTTCTGGAAACAGGGGATTTTGTTACGAATTTTTTTTCCTTCTGTTTCTGTCATAATCTTTGCTGTGTATTTGGGAACAGGGGACATTATAAGGAAAGCGACAACAAGAGGAAGGAAATAATTGCAGAAAGGAATTCCCTATTTACCTCCATTAAATTGGCATTGTTCGTGGAATCGAACTCTCCATGGCTGTAATCTGTGAGCAGAAGCTTCTTCTTTGTAGTGACCATTGATGAAGTTCTTCTCCGGTGACCGTTTCTCCTTCCGTCCGTACTCTGCAAATCAATGTGAGGAACACATGAGCAGCTTAAACATAAAACATCTTGTGCCCCAAGAACGCCATTGACATAGGCTTTTCTGGGTGAGATCCAATTTCTGTTTTCTTTTTACCTCAGGGAAGGAAGCACCGTAAGATGCTGGATCTGAGAAGCGAGGCAGCTCAGAATTCTTTTCTCTGTCTCTGTTTCTTCTAAGCTCTTTCTGATCCGGCACGGTATCAGAATCCTCCAGAGCTTCAGCGGGAGAATGCACCTTATTGATCTCCCAAAGACTGGCCGCCAGTCTCCTGGCGGAAACGGAAGCTTCTCTTCCGCCACCACCGCCATTCTGCGACGGGAAGTTTGCGGATTCCGGCGCCGCCATTGCTGAATTTGGGGATTTGGCTGCCGCTGCCATCATCCAAATGGGAACAGGGGTGGAAGAAGACCCAACTCGTTTCCCAACCAGAATAGCTCGCTTGAATCTGTATCTATGGACTAACGACGACGACGGAGAAGACGAGTTCCCTCTTTTCCTGATCTTGCTCTCCTCCATAAAAACACTAAACCACACTACATAGGCCCAAAAAAAACAACGAAGCACCGTTGTTTTCTTAACCCAAAATAATCAGGAACCCAGTTGGGCAAACCAAAACCCCCCCTGAATCTGAAGATTCAGCAGGAAGAAGAATGTAGGATATATATTATTATTCTCTGCAGGAGTTGCAGAGTTTTCCAGAGGACGAGGAATAAGTTTTCTCTTTTTTATCCTTCCAGAACAGAGGGGGAAAACAGAGTGGGGGATCTGAGTAGAAGAGCAGTGGTGGTATGGCGGTGGTGGCCCCAGAGGAATTCAAAGAGTGAGGGGAAAAAACGGGAGATTCTTTTCCTTTCTAAAGGGCGAGTCTAAGATCGGTTCAAAAGTTGAAAGAAAACAGGGGGGAAGAGGAGGACCATCATCAATGGCTTCTTATAGCTGCAATCGAACCTCTCTCTTTACTTTTTTTGCTCTTTTGGGCAAATCCAAACTTGCTGCCTAGAATTCCTCGCGGAAGAATGGAAGAAAAGGAAAAGGAGGGTGTAGCAGTAAGGGACACAATCAAAGAGATTCAGGGGTCTCAGTCTAAAAAGAGAATGAGATGGGGGGAAGAGGAGAAAAGGAAAGCGTTTGGCAACTGTCACGATTACGGAAATGTAGCAGAGATAATGAAAGAGAAAAGATAGGCCTGGCTTTGATTCAGAGGTGTGTAAATAAGGCAGGGGAAGGAAGAAAAGGAGAGGAAAACAGAGGAAGAAGCCGAAGAAGAGAAGAAAACAATTGGTTCAATTTTGGAAATGGTCACTAAACTTTGGGGGACCCTAGCAAATCAGCCACGCAAATTCTGCTCGTAACGAGTTTGTCACGGAAACTTGTAAAATCAACGATGTATTTGTTCTATTTGCCTTAATTCTCATGCATACTATTAAAATTTGCGTGTTAACTGACTAAAATTGGTAATTGAAAAATCACATAGGTCCTAATTCTAACTTTAAAAAAAAAATCCAAGCTAAATCTATATGTCAAATCTACCTTATCCAAAATCACTATAATCACTTTTCCCCCTCCTCTAAGTAGCTAATTGACGGATCCATATGTTGCATGTTAGAATTGAGAAATGGTGGTGATCTGATCTGATCTATATACTCAGTTTACATGATACATCAAGGGGCTGAATTATACATATTGGGTATCAAATCAAAGACTATACGGCTCAATACGATCCAAATGACTTCTTTACAGTCTGGTTCAATACGGTTCAAACTAGCCAGGCCAGATCTAGTAAACATGAACAGAGTGATTGGTCCAATAAACCAAAATTCTAATAAATCATTGGAAAATATATACTTTTTCACTTACCTAATGTCGAAACATACCTGACTAGTTGATACTATAAATCTAAGCAAATACACAAAGTTAGAGCAACCAAAAATTCCACCATAACGTCCATAATCGTTAACACAATGTCAGATGGAGACGTAATCTTCTCTGCTCTCCGTTGGAGTGTGCTTTATGGAGGAAGGAGGTGACATTATTTGGAAAATAATAGTATGCGACTTGGGTGATGGGTCTCGTTGGGGAGTGGAGAGAGCCGGCTGAGTGTGTTGCTAACATGGATCGGGAAGCAGTGTGGGCCCAACGTTCTAGTTCGATAAATACCGATTTGGATTCAAACCATATCAAGATATAAAAACAACTCATAGTTATCGATCAAATCGAACCATTCTAAAACACTAAATACATGCAACACTCATCAGAACACGAGAACGAACGAAACGACGGTTGCGTTAGTTATCGACTTATTTGATTGATCTACTTCACAA